CGGATTGAGTTTTTTTCGAAATGCCACAACAGGTTTTTTCCATTTCGTTCAGAGTTGCAGTCCATTTTTTCCAGACAGGACACAAAATTGTAGAGCCTCTACAATTTAATTCACATATCTCGAGTTCATACTAAATCCAAGTGAGCATAAAAACTGTAGAAATAAGTACAATTGAACGAAAATGAACACCACAAAGAGAAAGCTGCGAAATATGGCAAGCGTGGACGGAACTCGGGCGTCGTGGACGGCTGAGCGAGATGAGTTTCTCGTCGCTGCGCTGCAGGCTCAGGTCCTCAAGGGCAAGCGCTCAGATTCTGGCTTCAAGAAGGAAGCCTGGGCAGAAGTCACGTCAGCATTCAACCTGCGATTTGTAACGATGTACCACACGTCCAAGATCAAGTCGCGCTTGGACTGTGTACGTTGTGAAGTCACGCCACATCATAACAACTCACTCTTTAGTATATAGCTGAAACGAGATTACAAAGACGTCAAGTATCTACGCGACAACTCCGGGTTTGGTTGGAACAGCGAGCTTCAACTTCCCACCGCGCCGGATGATGTTTGGGCGTCTATCATCAAGGTAGCCATCCTGATGATACACGTACAATCCAACTTATCACAGGCGAACCCGAACTGCAAACGATTTCGCTCTGCACCGTTCCCTCTGTTCGAGACACTTGCGATGCTCTTGGAAGGATCGTATGCCGACGGCCGTTTCGCGTTCATGCCGCCAGGTGTGCTCGAGCCCGACATGGATGTTACCGTCGAAGCAACAGGAACAACACTTCCAATACCCCAAAGCGTGTTTGCACCACCCAGCGAGCTTGTTCAAGACGATGAAGACTCGGACGCCAGCTCCAATGACCCGACACCTCCACCAAAGAAACAAAAACAGATGCGGAAGCGTGACAAGCGCAGCGCTGGTGCCGTTATCGGCGATGCGATTGCGAAGCTCGTCGAAGTTGAAGCTTCGAAGGTGACAAGTCAACCCGATCCACACGCACGAGTCACTCAGGCAATCGATTGCCTGATTGAGAACTACGGATACATGGACGGCTTGCAAATTGCAGCCTTGGCGGACTTGATGGGCGAAGGCTTCAACGCGACGATATTTATGGCATTGCGCGGTGATGCTCGGGATGCATGGGTGCACAAGAACTCCATTTAAAATTATAATGAAAGAAGCATTTTCATTATTATTGTCTAGCTTGCAAAGTGCTGGTATATTGCTGCCACATGGCATTCGCAATAGAATCCCTCAAGACACTAGCTTCGGCCGTACAGTCATCAGACGGCGGTACAGATCGGCGTGGTCGTCGACTTCTACTGCGTGTCATGCGCTGCTGATACTTCTTGTCTCGCTTTCGCTTGGCTTCGTCGGCTTTTTGGAGGAAGTGAGAGTCACTCTCCACCTCCATGATGATATTATGCATCGCGCACAACGCATACACCAAGTTGACTTGTGTAGCAAAGGGGTATTCCGATGGATACTCAAGAACCTTGAATCGCTTTTTCAAGACCCCGAAAATGCGTTCAATGCAATTTCGTTGCTGTGCGTGACGAAGGTTGTAAAGCTCTTTGGCGTTTTGAGGACGCTGATTCCCGTTCGCCCACTCCCGGAGATGATAGCGAACGCCACGGTAGGGTGTTAACAAATTTTTGCGCAGTCCGTACCAAGCATCGCCTACATATAACGTGTTGTAAAGTGCATACCATGCAGATATCGTATTACCAAGATACATCTTCCCATCCGGGATGGAGAATCCCTTTGTCATGAGAGCATCGTTCAGGACACGAGCATCCGACGCAGACCCTTCCCAACCCGCCAAAACGTACACGAAGCGAAGGTCAAACGTGCATGCCGCAAGTACGTTTTGGCTCATGAATCCTTTGCGATTACGAAACGCCATTCGGGCACTTGGAGGAGGCGTTGCACGGACGTGCGTTCCATCCAATGCGCCGATGCAATACTCGAAAAACGGAAACATCTTGGGATTGGAGTGGATTTCGTAAGGTATGTCCTTGCTGGGAAGTGTCACGACTACAGCATATAGCCGCAGTAGCGCATCCAGCACCTATCACTACAGTAATGAAGGGGTTCGTGTAGTCTGAGTCAACCACCTCATTGATCGATTGCGTGATAGTCCAACCGCTGCGCTGGAATCGTTCCTGCGCCCCACGATTCGAGTTTGCTTGTCCCACCACGTAGAGGAAAGTTGCAAGCTTCTCTCTCGCAGAGACAAAGCGGCTTGACTTCAATGAGTACTTCGTTTGAAGCATTTTCAGGAGCATCATGAAGGTACTTGGCAACATGCGGAGCTGGTTGCGGAAGCGCCGAGGATTGCCGAGGAGAAGTTCCGAGATCCATTCATCTCCCTTCAGAGCGGAAGTATGACATGCCTCCTTGATAACGTAGTTGGCAGCCCACCAGGCGGCACAGCCTGCAAGGATTGTTTGCATCCTCATGGCGATCGAGTTGCGCGCGAAATGAGTTGTGGATAGAGTTGCAGTTACAAAAAAGAACCCTCCACCTCTTTTTTTGAAATTGGAATTTGTTTGGCAAAATGAAATAACATATATATATGTTCAAATCTTGCCAGACGCACCACATCAAGTTGTCAAAATGGCAACTGGTCTAAAAATGGAGTTTTGGGGCTCGAAATTTCCATAATACGGCCCAAAATGGCGTTATCCGGAGGTTGCCAGACCGGCTCTTAATAAAAAATCATCCTAAAATTACGGCACTCGCCGTGATTTTACGGATGCAAGATGAAGTATTTTTACAGTTCGCGTTGAATTATAACTATTCGTGATGCTTTGATTGGCTAAGAATTGGTGGACGTGCACGGTTTTATCTTATTCAACTTGTTTGCCCGTACTAGTATTATAGTAAAAATTGCATCATATTGAATCACGAATCGACGTTATTATTGGCCAATTCAAGTTTGAGGGCTTTTGATTGGCTATTTCAGAAAGGACACGTGTACTCAGCCAATTAGAACCTCCAGCGTGCTTCAACGTTGATTTGAAAACCATGCGAGTTTTGGAAGTTCATAGCGAATTCACATAGTACTGTAGTAGTATTGCTAGCAGCCATCATGATAAAAAACTGATGCGTGCCAATATCATAACTTAGCAGCAGTCAGTCAATACGTACTGTAGTGTCCTTTCAGCCACAAGTTGGACTTGTTTGCTGGTCTGCCAAATCCACCGATCGATCTCATAATTTTTACAGTGTACTTACTACTGTATGTTGAATTTTTGTATTGAATGGCAAGCATTTTTGTAATAGTTCATTACAGTACAGTCATCGAATTACACGTGTAATTCGATGTTGAAGATTGCTTGTTAAGTTTTTGATTGGCTACTTGAATCGTGTTCTGTAGTTTGGTTGGTTGAGCGATCCGATTTGAAGCTTACTCCAAAAGGCAGTTCTGCTAGATAAAGAAATCTCGTCTATCCTAGAGGGTTAACCCGCTCGGATGGCAAATGAATTCTGTAACATATACGTATACTACTACCGGTAGTCGGCTTCTACAGTACCTTACTCTTAGTGTACACTAACTGGTACAGTATATATGTACCCCACTACAAATGTCGTGCTTCAAGTCGAGCCCAAACAGCGTGTGTGCGAACCGGTTCCGACATTGGACTGGATTCATAAATATATCTCGACGAGGTTGATCACAGTACTACATGTACCTACATAGGTCATTGCAAAACACGACACCACCCTCCCATTGAACGAGGCTGTTGCTGTGCGCATCTGCATTCATAATCACGCGTAACCATCATCCAACCACACTGCATGAACCTCTGTCGTCGTCTACACATCTGTCCAAAGATGTGCCTCGCGCCCTGGCAACCTAACATATATTGGGGTAAATGCTGCTTTCAACTAGGTATTGCCTTCAAAATGCACTTGCAATCTACTTAATTCGGACAAAAGACCTATTTTCAAGTGGCTTTAACGTGCAAATCCGAGTTTTAATTTGCAAGCCCCGGTCATCTAACGGTGCCGACCGCCGATTGGTTGGATTCGGTCGCTTCACATTCAGGGACATCCCCCTTTCCGCCATTTCGTGATTTTCCACCGACACCATCATGTTGCGTGCGGCGGTGATCAAGCGAGCGTTCATGCCACGGTTTGCTCGGCATCATGCGTCGTCGTCCTCGGAGTTCGCAGACCTCACGACGAACCTCACATACGTCAACGACGAAGAAGAAGCGTATACGCGTGCGTCGACCAATATGAAGAAGTTCCTGCCGCCCTTGCGGACGGGCAAGAAAGGCATTGATCTCGTATGCTTCCATGAACAATCGGCACGATCGGGATAGGTCGTAACGTGTATCGTTGTTGTTGTGGTAGATTCACGACCCACTGTTCAACAAAGGCACGGGATACAAGCACGCCGAACGGGATCGGTTAGGTCTCCGCGGCCTCGTCCCGCCTCGCCGCCTCAACATGAAGTTACAGCTGGAAAAACTATACTCGTTGTACCAAGAAGAGGAAAACCCCCTCCGCAAGAACATATTCTTGTCGGAGCTGCAGAACCGCAACGAAACGCTCTTCTTTCGCCTCCTCATCGACTATATTGAGGAAATGGGTACGTCCACATCCCGTCGCGCGCGCATTTGCATTCCCCCGACCTGATCCGGTATGTTGTAGCTCCCGTCGTGTACACCCCCACCGTGGGCCTTGTGTGTCAAAAATTCGGCAGCATCTTTCGCCGATCCCGCGGCATGTACTTTAGCGCCGAAGACAAGTCCCAATTTGGTTCCATGGGTACCCCATTATCATACACATCTCTCTCTCTCTACAAAGACACCTCATCAGTGCTTTCCTAGTGTACAACTGGCCCTGCGACGACGTGCAAGTGATTGTCGTCACGGATGGCAGTCGCATTTTGGGTCTTGGCGATTTGGGCGTACGTCGTTGTTGCCTGTATTTGTCCTAGCTTTGTAACGTTGCTTATTTCGATATCCTTCTTGTCGATTGAGCCAAAATTTGGCCTTTTCGTCCATCGATCGACTATTTTTTGTACTGATACCCATCACACTAATTTATGTCACACACTATTTAATTGTTGATTGGTGGAACTGATGATTTCCTGCAATCTCATGGCGCGTCCATCGATCGATTTTTTGTACTGAAACCCATCACACTAATTTATGTCACACACTATTTAATTGTTGATTCGTGGAACTGATGACTTCCTGCAATCTCATTGGCTAAATACTTCTGCCCATTTGATTGTGTCCACGGCACGTCGCTCCAAGTTGACAAGAATCATTTGCCTTGGGGAGTTGCCTGGGGAGTTTGACCTCCGGACGTGAGTGCGACTCTATCAGCGACGAAAGATCGATTGATGTTTTGATGTTGGATTTGACAGTCCAGTTGTATGTAATAATTTCAAGGGAATGAATCGCGTCGTCGATGGTCATGACATAGGTGAATGGCATGGGCATCCCCATCGGCAAACTGGCGCTGTACACGGCGGCCGGCGGCATCGACCCTCGCAAAGTGCTCCCAGTGGTGCTCGACTTGGGCACCAACAACGAAACGTACCTCAAGGATCCGTACTACCTCGGCATGCAGCACCGCCGTCTCGAAGGTAACGAATGTAGCCGAGAACAAGCACATTGTGGTGGTCCCACAGTTGTACTTTTATTCCCACTATACCAAGTGGATTGCCCATTCATTCGATGCCATTGTAGGCGAAGCATTCTACAGCGTCGTGGACGAGTTTATGCGTGCGGTGCGCCATCGGTGGCCCAAGGCGCTTGTGCAGTTTGAAGACTTTTCCAGGTACAAACCAAGTTGTTTGATACGTGATTGGCGATATTGTCCTTTTACTCAAAATTAACACTTTACGCTGAATCGCCAAAAATCTATCGATCGATTATTCTATTTGTACTGATAACTTTTGTATGTAAAAAGGTGTTCTGTGGTGATTTGTGGTATTACACTAATTGAAGTCACACACTAAATTCGATGTTGAGGATGATTCCTGCAATCTCTGATTGGCTAAAATTTATTTTGCCAATGATTCTTGTGTATATATTTTGGTTCTGTCGGCCGATTCATTCTGCATGTCGCTCCAGTTTAGAATATTATCTCCATATCTATAATGAACCGTCTAACAATCGCGAACCTGCGAAATATAGTATATATCGAAGTGAAAGAGGTATCATTGTGAACGTTCATGTATTTTAGCCAATCATATTGCAACCATTTTACATTGTTGCAACCATCATTCATTATATCCATATGTTTTCTTGATTTATTGGTAATTTCAACAGTATTCTTCAAAAATTGGCACATTTGGGCGAAACGCTCAAATTAGTTTATAAGTGCATTTTGGTTTTAAACGAGGTTGATACACCCGAGAGCCTTTCCAATTCCTAGCGCCAAATCTAGTCGTGTCCTCACTATACCGTACAATAATAATATGATGATGGGTTGTAGTGATCATGCGGCGGACGTGCTACATGCGTATCGGTTGAAGCAACTGTGTTTCAATGACGACATCCAAGGCACGGGCGCGACCGTGTTGGCCGGCGCGCTCTCGGCCTGTCTTCGGGTCAACACGCCGTTGAAAGAGCAGCGCATTCTCGTCCTCGGCGCGGGCAGTGCTGGTCTCGGTGTGTCCACGACGTTGCTCCAAGTACGACATTGCTGGGTCTATTTTTGACATCGATATATATATATATATAGACTCATACAAGGGGTAGGGCATGCTGCAAGAAGGCGCCAAGCTCGACGACGCCCGCAAGCGGTTTTACGTGTTTGACCAATTCGGGCTCCTTGGAGAATCCAGGACAGACCTCACGTCTGGGCAGCAGTTCTTTGCCCGCCCCGACCTCACGGACAAGACATCCTTGCTGGACGTGATCAAGCAAGTAAAACCCACGATGATCCTTGGGCTCAGCGCGGCGCGTGGCGCGTTCACAGAGGTTCGTGTCAAACGCGATTCGCTAGGATATGTGTTATTAGACGACGTTTTTGCGTGAGATGTTTTGTGTACTTGGATCGACTTTGTATTGGCACTCGCACAACAGTGGGCTGCCTATTGTATGTACCTTTGTACTATTTCATAGTGTAGTATTGGTGTGGGTCATAGGGTCGTCGTTCCCCTGTGTATCCATCAGTATTATCTTGAGCGGTGTTTTTGCTTAACACTAGAAGCTTTTGATAATAATATCATTGTATTTAGAACTTACTTTGTATAACTTATTTGAATATCATGATATTGACATATGGATTCCAATCTGTATAAAAATGATTTTTTATTTATTGCCGATTTGATACAAATTTGGGGTGCAATCGAATCGCGCCGACCAAACTGATCCACAATCGATCTGATTGGTTGAATTTCATTGAGAAGGTTTTGATTGGCTAATAATTTTGAGCTCATCTGAGGTAGCCAATCAAATCGATTTAAATTTCAACGAGAAACCACAACACGAAATTTCACTCGAAAGCACAATAATGATCTAATTTGTATTTAATATATATATCCTAAAATCAACACCAACCTGTTTTTTAGAAATCGGTTATCCGGATGTTTCCTATAGTTTGACTAAATTCAACACTTGGATTCATGTGTGTCTTTTAATCGCGCGTAGGAATGCATCCGCGAAATGGCCAAGCACGTGGAGATGCCGATCGTGTTCCCGCTGTCCAACCCGACGTCTGTCGCCGAGTGCACGGCGCAACAAGCGTACGACTGGACCGACGGCCGCGTCGTGTTTGCCAGTGGTAGGACTCCCATGTGGACGATGCATATATCATACTCGTCTTGTGATGGCGGGTAGGGTCTCCGTTTGCACCGGTAACGTACAACGGCCACGAGTACGTGGTGAGCCAGTGCAACAACATGTTTATCTTCCCCGGTGTGGGTCTCGGCGCGGTCGTGTGCGGCGCGACCCGCGTGACGGACCGCATGTTGTACGTGGCCGCGCAAGCATTGGCGACGTGCATGACCCCCGAAGAGATTGCCAAGGGTCAAGTGTTTCCCAGTGTCAAGCAGATCCGAAAAGTGTCGCTCAAGGTACGACTGACCGCATCCTGTGTCGTGGCCATGCAGACACGAACTGCTGTCCATGGATGACGGACGAATGGTTGTGGAGAAGCATCGTGTGGCTATGAAGATGTGGATGGATTGAGTGGATGGGTGGTCTCATCATGGTATGCATTTTGTTTCGTAGGTGGCGACGGCGGTGGTCCAGTGTGCCGTGGACGACGGCCTAGCGTTGAGCCCACCTGTGCTCCGCAAGGGCGCAAATTTGGAGGAGTTCGTCGCGTCCAAGATGTACCTCCCCATCTACCGCGCGCTCGTGGAATAGGGACAACAACGTAATAGAACATTCCATGGACTGCTGCTTGAATGACTTTGTTTTGGATGAAGACATGCCAATCATGCAGCAGATTTGATCGCTGGTGCAATAATACCCTATGGACATACGACCTTTCTTGGATATGTACTACGCACATACATGTCGAGCGTACTGTACATGGGGATGGAGATATGCAGTCGGCATGCGCACCCTTGTAAACGTTCGCCCGACTTCCAACTTGATTTCGATTTGCATGTGTGAAATATCTCCATTTGTTGGGATGCAAGCCAATTCCATCGTCACCCCACCGAGAGGAGTAGCAACGTCCATGAGTATGTACGGGTTGGACGCGCTGTCTTCCAGTGCATGGTTGAGGTTGAAGGTACCAACCACCCCATGCATGCAGGGGGTGGGTGACTCAGCGCCATGCTGGACAGAGAGCATTGGGCGTAAACGTTCGTTGGATGTGTCCATGGAGTCGTGTATGAGTCCACGGCGTCATGGTGGGTTCACGCCCGGTTGGCAACGTGTCACCGCCGCCCATTTGCGCGATCTTCTGATTGAGGTTCAACATGAATGGACCAATCAGCGGGCGGGAATAAGAATACTTTAGCGAATACAGTGGAGTTTTACAATTGCATACAAAGAATAAGTACTAAAAATCATTTCGCCAATATACCTGATTGAAAACGTTACCGAGGGTTGATGCCAACATTTTCTTGTGATGAAGGATACTTCCTCGCAATTGAGGATCACTTTTGGATTTCGTCGGTCGAGCTCAAGCCAGGCATGTTGAACGACGCGGGCACGAAGGTTGCAGTGGCGCTAGCGCTGTCTGCGCTGGTTTACTACGTCGGCTCCAAGAACACGACGAAGCCTGCTGCGTCCTCGTCGAAAGGCCCACGTAAACTGAGTCTCGTGCAAGGGCAAGGCAGTGGATTTGGACCGAAAGACTCGGTCACAGTGCGGGTGCCGGCGACGACGGCCAACATGGGTCCTGGATTTGATTGCATCGGCATGGCCGTGGATATTTGGAACGAGTTGACTGTCGAACGAGCGGATGCGTTCTCGTTGACCAACGAAGGCGAAGGCAGCGACGTGTTGCCGACGGATGAAACAAACTTGATTGTTGTGGGGCTCAAAGCTGCGTTCAACGCTGCGGGACAGGTAGTTTCTATGAGATGCATATGGAGGTGGATCGTTGTATTGACGTATAGCGTGTAGGACTTGCCGCTGCTGCGCATCCATTGCCGCAATCGCATTCCATTTGCGCGCGGGTTGGGCAGCAGTTCTGCCGGTATCGTTGCGGGAATCATTGCCGGTCTTGTGATTGCCGGTCACGAACTCTCTGTACTTGGCAAGGAAGAGCTCTTGCAACTGGTAAAAAACATTCTCTTCTCATCGCCCCCCTGCAATTGAAGCTTACCATTCATCCTGTTCAGGCAGCAAACATCGAAGGACACCCGGACAACGTCGCCCCGTGCATCTACGGTGGCCTTCAACTGGTAAAACCCATCATACGTACTAATCATGACGTTCCTCTCAACGCTTCTGCATGTTGGTGCTTCGTGCATCCTCAGGGCATCTTCACAGACGACCGATGGTACTCGTCCCGCGTGCAATTCCCGTCCACGATGCAATGCGTGTTGTTTATCCCCGAAACCACGGGCCAAACTAGTGTGGCGCGATCGATTTTGCCGAAAAAGGTACTTTGCTTTCCCTTCCATATTGCGAGGAAGCTTCCGCGGACAAGATGCAACGACGACCCCTCAACGCATATCCGTGTCCATAGATTGACCGCGCCGACGCCGTCTTCAACATCGGCCGGTCCGCGATTCTCGTCAACGCGCTGCGGAATGGCAACTACAAGGAGCTCCGCCACGCCACTCAAGACAAACTGCATCAGCCGCAGCGCGGTGCCGAGCAATACCCGCACTTGTTTCCCCTCGTCGATGCCGCGCTGGAAGCCGGCGCGCACGCATGTTTCCTCAGCGGTGCCGGACCCACCGTCCTCGCCATTTGCTCGGGCAAGTCGGGGGATATCTTCACCCAAGTCGCCGCCGAAAGAGATGAAACCAAGGTAAACCGAACGACATAATACTTTATCCTAGTAGTTTTTGACATGTGTTGCGCATAGGTGGCCGACGCGATGCGGGAAGCTGCCGCCTCAGTCGGCGTCCAAGGCTGCGTCTTCATCACGAACCCAGAACATCGCGGAGCCCACATCGTCCGCGTGTCCCCCAAGATCTCGGACCATCTGGTCGCACGCTACGAAGGCGACATCACCGACCTCTAGAGTATACTACTTTTCAACCCTTGTAACCACAGTAACGTTAGTTAGGTACCTGCACCTTCAAAACAGTGTGCTTCGAGTTACTAGTACCATGGTAGGTGACGTTATGGAGCAGACCCACGGATCGAGTATGTACTATAACAAGGTTTCCTTGAATAAAAGCTACTGTAGTTAGTTACCTAGTAGTATTAATAATTAATAATAGGTTATACATACCAGTACTACAGTACTAATATTAATAATAACGTTAGGAAGTGTGAATGAAATTATCGCGATATGACTTGAAGTATATATTGGCATACAAATGCGTAGATTTGTTTTGTTGATTTGGGTCGTGGCTTTGATTGGCTGTTATGTTGACGAATGAACATGTGCAATTTAATTGGCTAATATGTTGACGAATCATCCACATGTATTTATTAATACTTCGAAGTACTATTTTAATAGACTTTGGAGTCAAAAGAACTAACTTACTGTATTTAAATACAGTAATTAAATGAATTATTCATACTATTAATAGTACTTTGGAGTCAAATGAACTGCTTTTTCATTATTTACTCAAAGCGTCACGAATTTACCATGGGAATGTATACTACAGTAATTAATCCCCATTTCAGTGCTAGCTGCCACAACGATACCAACGTCATCACCAAGCATAGATACCTCTCGCCCACTTGCTTGGAATACGCTTGAGAGTTCGATATAGTAACGTGAAGTTCTGTGCCACATGAACATTTCTAGATCGTGCGGTAATGCAGATGTCTGGAGTGCTGATCCTTTGGTTATACGTACCTATAAAACGCACTTTGCATCAATAGAATGCATAAATTCTTATTGGTGTGAGCCATTGGACCAATGAAATCACACAGACTACTGTATCCGGTAACACAGTACTCGTATAGATTATTATCCGGATAATAGATCATGAATTTTCATGTCATCTGCCTCACCGCACTCACATGGCGACCACCAGCCTCGTGACGCTGGGTAGGCAATTCGCGCCATCACCACCGTCGCGCCGCCGATCGATCGTGCGCTGGTGTCTTGGCGACCGCCACTCACATCTGCGCACGCTTCTTTTCTTCCTCTGCAATTACCCGTGGACCATCGTGGCCGATCTCGCTGCGATCGTCCTCGTCGTGCTGAGTGTCCCCTTCGCAATCTTCGTCAGCCTGCAAGCCCGACCTCCACACAAGTACACCGAACCTGCTCTCCAACGATGCATGGGTCGATGTCTAGACGTGGCCTCGCGGAGTCTGTCGGTGTATTGGCGCGTTGAACTCAGCCTGCTTGCGCTCGTCGATCCGACTGTCTCCGGTGACCCTCCGTCAAGGCTTGAACCTGGCAACACCTCCATAGAGACGATTCAGTACGTTTCCATGTACATCCTGGCGTGGAAAACTCTCGTCGTGTTGCCGGCCACGACAGCGCCGCTATGGATCTGGTGGCTAGGCGTGCAGTCCCTGCTCGTTTCTGGCACTTCGTTGACGGTGGATGTGCTGGTGTACTGGACGTTGTACATCGTCGCAGGCCTCATGGTCGGCTCCGTGCTCTGCGCCATCGTCGTCAAGGTGAGCCTCTACTTTCTCCGCGCCACCTTCGACGTCCACTGCGCCACCTCCTCCGCCGCATCTCTCGACAGCGAAGACTCGCATTTGCTGCATCATCATCATGATGGTCCTGCCAAGACAACATATGAATCGCTTTGTGACCTCAAGAGCCCCCTTCTGACCCGCGAGACTGCCGCATCCCATCAAACCACCACCGATACTATGACTGTTGAGATTTGTATCAACGAGGAAAACTCCCCACTTGATCGCACAGCGACCCCCATTGCCGCTGTGGTGTCGAGTGGGGAAAATTCCCCTCCGCTGCCCCCACTCCCCTCAACTACTACTTCCATCCCCACGATCCCACTTTCCCTACATGTGATCGGAATCCCCACGGTCGACACCACAACCAATCACGATGATGACACTGCCGCCATTCCCAAAATGGATCACTTCCAACCATCCATATCCGTTGCGCCGTCATCTCAACCTCCGCACGACTTCTCATCGTCCCCGCCGGCCCCTCTGCCGTCCTCATCGGGCAACGCCGAAGCATCCAGCGCTGCCCTCGCCACCCTCGAGACCGACTTGGCCACCGTAGAAGCATCCATTTTAGAGTACACCAAGATGCTCGCTCAAGGCCCAAACAATAAACTCCGCCGTCGCTTGGAAAAGGAGCGCAAAGGATTCGAAGATCGCCGTGAAAAATATCGAAACGACATTGCCTCCCTACACCTACACCACCACCGCCAACCACCACAAGAGCAAAGTGCAATGTCAATTCCCATGTCATCGTCGAGCCACCACCTTGCTGTATTATTACCGACCCCCTATGCCCCGTACAACGAAGTCGATCCCCCTGACAACGCCACCTTGTCCAACAGTTACTTGCCGCCCACCCACAGCTTCCAGCCCGAATTCAACTCGCCCGTGTTCCGAGGCACATCGGGGGCGGCCGCCGCCGCGTGGGGCTCACCAGTCGCGTACAGTCAAGCGTTTCTAGCTTCCCCGTCGTCGCTGTCCCCCACGGCAGCTGCCTACGACCGCCTCTCCCCTCCCACTGCCCCCTCCCCCTTCATCCCCCCCCTCTCGCCATTATCATTATCATCATCGTCGTATGTACCGCCACCGCCAGCAACTTTCTACCCGGGGGGGGTTCCCCCAGTCTTTCGATCGTTGGCCCCTCCTACCTCCCAATCCACTCGCTCTTCCGACAACTTTGTCGTCCGGGATGGTGGTCGTGGTGATGGTCGTGGTAATCTGTCGTTTCATCCTACGTTTGCATTCGTTGCCCCCAATCCAGAGGACGAACCCGTGCATTTGGTGGCGTATGCGCCCCCGTGTGTCGTGCCCGCGTCCGAGTTTTCCTTTGCCGTGTGGGCGTTTCTGGCCACCCAGCGCGACGACATGCACGACGAAGCGTCACAGCACGACCCCGCGGCGTCGCAGCTGTCCCGTGACGTGCTGTTCCCCCTGCGACGGGGGGCGCGGGCCCACGTGTCCCTCGAGGTCCCCGCGGGGTTCTCTGTCACAGATGGCGCCACCACACAGGCGCTGACGTGGTCTGGCTCGCCCACCGCCGCGCACTTTGCCGTCGTCGCGTCCGCCACCGTCGCCGCCGGCCAAGTCGTGTTTAAAGCCACAGTTGTGTTTGGCACAAATGTGTTGCACTTGCGTGCGTTTGTGTTTGTGTCTGGCAACCACCAACCACAGCCACCTACAACGAGACAAGGCCGTACCAACGATGATATGCTCATGATGCCATTGCAAGCCGAGCTGGAACTACTCGACGAAACGTTTGACGAGATTCCGTTTGCATCGCTACAACTCAAGGAACTAGTCGGCCGCGGGTACTTTGGCGATGCGTACCGCGCCGACTACAACGGCCGCGACGTGGTCGTCAAGACCATTCGCTCCAGTGACCTCGGCACTTCGACCGACCAAATCGTCGACGAGTTTCGCCATGAGGCCGCAGTGCTCAACATGTTTGGCCATCATCCCAACATCGTGCCGTTTGTCGGCGCATCCACCGACCTTTCCAAGCCGCTGACGCTCGTGACCGAGTTCGTTCCCGGCGGCAACCTCGAAGATGGCCGCGCCGCGCTCACTTGCCGGGAAAAGATGCAAATGCTCGTGGATGCCGCCGCGGGCTTTCTCAACATCCACGATGGCGGGTTCATTCACCGCGATATTGCCGCGCGCAACTGTTTGGTGGACGTGCATCGCCGCGTCAAAGTGTGCGACTTCGGCATGTGCCGCCGGGTCAACCGCGCCGTCGGCGGGTCGTTCATTCGAGACGGCGTCGGCCCGCTCAAGTACATGGCGCCCGAGTCGCTCCAGCCGCCGTACGCGTTTTCCACTAAGTCGGACGCGTACTCGTTTGGGGTGTTGATGTGGGAAACCCTTGCAGAGCAACGGCCGTTCCAACACCTCTCGGCCCACGAGGCCGCCGTGCGGGTGCTGGAAGGCGGGAGGCTCGACGTGAATGCAACCAACACGCACATGATTCCACCAGCATGCGCGGCGCTCATGGCCGCATGCTTCCAAGAAGACCCAGCCAAGCGCCCGTCCATGCATGCGATTCTTGTGGCGCTGATCCAAGCCCAAGCGACCATGATGACTCTGACTGGGTATTGACAGTGTCCAACCATCGATAGAATGGAAGTAGATGTACGAACGAAAATATAATAAAAAAATTCTAATTTTAATATTAAATGCAATTTTTGGTAAAAAATAATATACGTTATATAAAAAAGAAATAAAAAGAAAAGAGCAAATCGAAGTAGTGGTATTGGTAAACACGTTACACTATTCTAAATGTAATATTAAAAGCAATTTTTGGTAAAAAAATACTAGTAATAAGTTATTCTAAATGTAATATTAAAAGCAATTTTTGGTAAAAAAATACTAGTAATAAGTTATTATATATTAAAAATAAGAGCAATTGAAGTAACGTTAGTAGAATTGGTAAACACGTTAGAGCATCTCCAACGGCGTTTTTATTTCTATTTCAATTCGAAGTTACGGATGTAGAATAGAAACTCTTGCTCTATCCGGAGGGTTTGTTGCTATTTTACGCGAAAATAGAAATTCTGCGAGACGAAATTTCTAAAAAGTCCGGATAGTGCCAAAATAGCAACTGTAAAAACGAATTTTGACTTTAACCTATGCTTTAGCAATAGGTTAGAATTTACCGTTGGAGATGCTCTTACACTTTAAATGTAAAATTGAAGGGCTCGAGTGATTTGTTAAGTCGAGGAGCGTCATGCTGGGCGTATTACAGTAGCAGGCGGATGGATATAAATTCCCCCTCGAGAAACCATACCAGCCGCCCGACTGGGTTTACAATTTAAAAAATATACCCCACCGTGATACTACTATTAATAGTGCTTACTTAGTATACCAGTACTACGTTAATAATATTATGTTTTTCGCCCAAATTTAACCATTGTGGGGATTGTTGAATTCCCCAAGAAGTCGAGCTACTAATATACGTATAATAGTACAGTAACAGGAAGCAGTCGAAAGGTTGCAACATGATTGGCTGAGACGATGAGATACATCAAGTTTCGCAGGTTCGGCGACTGTTATGCGGTTGATTCCACCAATTGCTAGAGGACTTGTATTGAGTATATATGTATCATATATATATATATACTATTAATAGTACACGCAATACAAGAGTGTAGGTTGGATTAAAGTGCGAACGAACGACCGATCGTGTTTGTAGCCTAGCTGGTTCTAGAAACTCTCTACATCATAAGTAGACCATTATCCTCGTCCACGTATCCCCTCGAACCATATTACTGTATGTGTCGTTTGCATTTGAAAAAACAAATGCGATGATTCATTCTGATGGTAACGTTATTATATACCTAAAACGACCAATTCGAGTCGACGTCCATCGACCACACAAACTTTTCCCGCAGCGCTTTGGGAAACACGGCTGAGATGGGCACTTCGTTCTACACGACCAAAAAACCACGTCACACAAACACTCTTGTCAAAAACCACGTCACAAGTACAAACACTCTGTCGCAAGCACATGACAACGTACGCGCTTGGCCCAAGCCACCGTGATGCGCGGGTCCATGTAATTGATCTTGGACGTTCCCAGCGCCACTTCCTTGTTGTCGTTCTATCACAACAACATCCATTATGTTCATATATGTTTGCACCTGTCCATATATATATATATATAGGTGGGTAGATGGAAGATATATATATATATACCTTGTCCTTGAGCCGCAAGTCCAGCGCCTTGACCTTTTTCATCCAGCTATCGATCTTCTTGTCCACTTGTTCAACTGTAGGGACTTTGGTGAATCGATGCAGCTGCGCCTTCTTGGCGTCCGCGTCGTCGGCGTCGTCGGCGTCGTCCTGCCGCAGCTGAATCGCCTTGGGCTTGTTCTTCTTGACGGCTACGCGCATGGCTTGGAGCTCGTTCAGTTGGTCGTTCAGCTGACTCAACGTTGCGTTCATCTTGTCCACCGTCGACCCAAATCCCTTGGGCACTGACCGTTGATGATTGCACAGAATAGCCACCTACCACAACCACCATTTAGCCACCATATATGCAGAATGCTCACATTTCATTCGACCATCATTCCCCTATAGTAACCACTCCCACACAAACTAGCATATATTTTATTGTCGATTTGATAGTACAAATTTGGGGGTGCAATCGAATAATCGCGCAAACCGATCCACAATCGATCTGATTGGTGGTTGAATTGCATTGAGAAGGTTTTGATTGGCTAATAATGTTGAGCTCATCTGAAGTAGCCAATCAAATCGATTTAAATTCCACCGAGAAACCACAACATGAAATCGAAAGCACAATACTACTTTTGCACCATCATATTGTCAACTTGATTTGAAATTGGACTGCTCAAAGCGACAATGGGAGCAGGATCCAGAAGCCAATCAAAATCCATTCGCTACTTCTCATACTAGTATTATATAATGTGACACTGGTCCTATGCTAACATCCAATAAAGTCACAGTACGTACGCATACACTCGTCGCACATATCTCGAGGGAATTGGCGAATCATATTTTTTGGTTAAAAGAACAACATACCACCATATCCACCCATTTACACTCCATCATCAACAGATCTCACACACTGGTTTACTCTATGAGTCCATCGCCTCTTATATTATAATATAATCCATGCATATATTCATCTATTCATCGATTTTTTGTCCAAAATCTGACCTTTCGATTCGCGTCGTTGTACGAGACGATCTTGACAGCGACGTCGTCGCCCGGCAGCACACGCGGCAGCTCCTTCTCGAGGGTCACAGATGCGTTGAATGTACGAAACACTTTGGCCGACAGCCCCGGCATGAGCGAGCTCAGGTGCTTGTTGAGCTCGGTGACGCTCAGTTCGTGAAAAATGTCCTGATGTGGCTCCTTCTTGGCGCAAAAGCTCTTTAGATTGTTAAACACTTGCTCGCCCACGGTGCCATATACGGCCAACTACGTTCGCCACAAACAATATATATATATACACGTGTTAATTTGATCGTTTTTTCATTGTCTACTAAACACACAAGAACACGCACAAAGCAACCATATATATACATGGTCGGTATTCCATTGTCCTTTGAATTGCCTTCCCCTCACATAAAGTTGATTCAAGGTGGTACCAAAGACAATACCCCTATAACTTTATTTTCGATGCGTTTTCGCAGGCCCCGGTGACGACCGTTCAGCGGTTCGTTCACCACCCATCCAAGAAAAATATGTATATAGAGTCGAATGCACACACAATATAGCCATATATATATATATATTATTACAAAATTCAAGCAAAACTACGCTTGCAACTGCCTTCAAGACAATTACATCCATCCCAAAATATCAATAGCACACAGATACCACCCGTCGTCGAAATATAATCAACCAATCATCCAAACGACGACAATGTCTACTAGCGAGACGGGTATATATATATATAAATCCCAGAGAGAGCAATTGATTGATCTAACATCTAACCGAACGTACCTGAATCGTGTTGTTGTACGGCATCGAGTCTTTGCCAAGAAACGACAGCGTGAGCTCGCAGTTGGTCGCGCTGAACGACGCGTGCTCGACGCGAAGGGAGCAGCAGCCGACCGTGTCGGCTTCATCTTCGCCTTTTTCGTTGCCCACGCGCAGTGCCAGCACGTCGATCACCCACATGGCCGTGGAGCGTTGCCGCGTAAACATGTCTTTGGCTGTCAACCCGTCCGTGTAGTCTTTGCGGATCTTGGCGATGCAGTTCTTGAGTCGGCGCGCCTTTTCGTACTTTTCCATGTCGGCCTTGCCCTTGAAACTCGACGACGCCGCCAGCCACACGTACTTGATGCCGCCCATGACATTTTCGTTCCAGTACGCTAGCCACGACACTGTGTCCCGATGAATCACCTCTTTCCATGCGTGGCCAGGCGTCAGACACGGCGGCACGCGGTCTTCCATCCCCACGTTGATCGTCACCTCTTCCGGCAGCACCGCCTTCTTCAACGTGCCAGTCTTGGGGTGTTCGCCGCGACCTCGAAACAAACCCGGCGGTTCTATTCTAAAATTGCCCACCTTTTCCAAATGGCTACATTCGGCGGCATATAATTAATACACCAGTGAGTGAGAGATTGTTATTATACTTGTAGAATGTATAGACTTGTCGTGACTTGACTCGTGTTGGAAAGATGTATATATATACAGTAGATAAATATGTATGTATATATATATCACAAGTTTATACAAAGATAACCGAGTGAAGTTTGTGGAAATAGACTCGTGTTGGAAAGATATATATATATATATATATATACAGTAGATATATATGTATATATCACAAGTAACCGAGTGAAGTTTGTAGAAATAGGTGGGAGAAGAGCCTGAATCATAAAGTCGCAAAGATACACAAGGGATCGTTTAGTAAATCAATAAGTCCAATATTAAGTAAAAGAGATTAAATCCTCTCGGATGAGGTAATCTAAATTGGTATTGTACAAAAGTAAACATATACTACGTAGTACTAGAGATCATAAAAATAAAATAAAACTAGACGTATTTTAAACAAGTGAATTGTTTAGAATTTAAAATATTACATTTGGGGGGTAAAATGATACAACAATTGGACAAAAGGGGATTGTTTTCCATCGAAAACACATAGTTTGTACACCAACATTATAAAAATACAAAAATCCCTCTAAAACTCAATAATATATATATATATATACATACCCGTCGATGATGGCAAAGCCGTGGCGGTACAGCTCTTCGTCCTTCTTGATCTTTTCAGGGGCTTTTTCTTCCTTTGTCCGGTCTTTTTTCACGTCGCGCTAGTGGTTTCAACCCGAATTTCGTCAATTTTGGCCAAAATGCACTCATTTTGACATAAACTCACACATTTTGGCATCAAATTCACACATTTTGGCATAAAATTCACACATTTGGCATACAATTTGAGAAAATACACGAAAAGTCCATCGTGTTCGAGTCACAACTGGATGGACGACGACGTACGAGGTCGGCCAAGTGCGCTTGGATCTTTTCAAAGTTGCACTTTTTGATGTCCTTGATCACGTGGTTCTTGCCCAGCGATGCTTTGAAGTCGGCAAAGAAGTTCTTGGTAAACATGGCCGCGGTCTTGGGGTTGCCCAGTTGTGGGCCGTCCGCCGGCATCGCCGCAAAGAAGGACGCGATTTCTTCCTGCTCGGGGGTGAGCGTCACGGGGACTCCGTCGTACAGGACAGGGATGCCGTGCGGTTCGTACGAGGGTGGGAACAGCACGCCGTTGTGCTCCAAGCTTCTCCATTGAATCCCCTCGGGCAGTTCCTCGGCGTTCCACCAACGGTACGCTTTGATCGCCATGTCCAGTCGCTCTGACTTGCTTTGGACCTTGAGCTTGCGCACGCTGCCTGCTTCCGCCTTGACTTTGACGGCGGGTTTCTTCTTTGCCGCTGTCTTCGTCTTGGAATCCTTCGCGGACACCTTCTTTGCCGACGCTTTCTTCACTGGCGACGTCTTTTTCGCGGCGGTAGGCTTGGACGCTGTCTTGTCGACTTTCGCGCTCTTTTTCGGCGCTTTGAGCTTCGTGAGTGGTTGGTCGTCGTCGAAGTCCGAGTCGTCGTCCGCGCGGACCTTGGACACCTTGGACGTCTTCTTCACCTTCTTACGCAGAGGCTGAAGGTCGCTGTCGGAGTCGGACATGTCGGCAGCCACGTGATGAGTTCCTTCGTGTCCACAGCTCCTCGGCAAATCCTGGTGTGGAGTTCTGATTGGGCAAAATCGATCATTTAATTTACCGGATATTTATTGTTCGAGGTTTATTTCAAATCAACGCTATTGAATTCCACAATATATCTATTGTAAGGGGTCATAAACTACCTTGGATGAGTATACACTTCGAAAGTTGGCTGGATCTATGACGTCAATATTGGCTGTGTTCGGACACACTACAGCTTACATTGGCACGAAAGACTGGTTGCAGCCTACTTCATAGTAATGATGTATTGGCATGGCGCACTCATTCCATACAGGACGCTCTAACTCCGTGAATATATATCGACCATACACATCACATATAACAATCATACAACATCGGTTTGAAAAGGACGTTTTAGGGGAACTCTCACCTTCTGACACGCACCGAATTCAGTGCGCTTTGTATGACACGAACTCGGATTTGACCGATTGATACCACCGTTAACATGATGCGGTTTCTTCCTTGAGAGGGAGACAAATGGAGTAACTGCGTTTGACATGCCACCGTTGCCTTCGTTTAACACTGCCTTTCACATTCAAATATTATCGAGTCTCCAAGGTTTTCTGAATCCAGTGCTGGTTTCCGACTATACGGGAAGATTGGGTGCGTGTTCGAAGTTTCAGACCCGAAAAAACAACCTCGCGACAGAATCTCCTCCCAAAGTGGCAACGACCAACGCCATCCTTGCCCACCTTCCTGAACTTAGCTCATGTCGGCCACCTCCGTGCGGTCCTTCCTAGACGGCCTGATGAAGCGGTACGCGCCAGACCCAGCGAATATGCAGTCGTCGCCACCGGTCAAGAAGGCACCTGCGGATTTGGACGTTCGGACACTGGCCAGTCGACCCGACTTGGCTCCGCACTGGCTAGCTCAACTCCAGAAAACCCGCGTGACGCCACTCAAGAGCGGCGTACGCCCCACGGCGTCGAAAGTGGCCATTCTGGACGACGACCTCAAAGTATTCCTCAAATGCATGGACTTCACGCAGGCGAGGTCGCATGCGAAGCGCGAGTTCATTGACGAATCGGTGCGGATTCAAGCTCTCAAGCATCCCCATCTCGTCCAGGTCCTCGGATACTCGGTCGTGGCGTACAGCACGACCTTTTGCGTCGTGCTCGAGTTTATGGAGCTAGGCACGCTGCGGTCATGCCTTCGAAATCCATCGTTCTTTCATTCCCAAACAGCACCATCCGCGTCCAACAACACGTCCCCGTCTCCCGCGTCGGCTTATCAAATGTGTCTTGACCTAGCCATGGGATTGCGTTATCTCCACAGCCACCGCCTTCCACATGGGGCCATTTCAAGCTCCAACGTCCTCGTGCATGCCAACCGCCAGTGCAAGTGGAACATCCAGCAACTCATGCAGTGCCAGCCTCGTCATTATTCCAGTCGAAGGGGGCATGAAGGCGACCGTTTCGGCATCTGCGACGTCGTGTATGTTGCCCCCGAACTCTTGCGATGCAGTACCGTGGAGGATTTGTTTGCGGCAGACATTTACGCGTTGGCCGTGCTCTTTGGGGAGATTTTAACCCAGAAAGCCCCCTTTGCCGACATCTACGACGCCCTGGGACCCGTCGGCGCGGACGTCCACATCGCCACCATCAAGGCCGACCCCACCTCGACCCCCGAAGTGCTCGCGCCGTTTGCAACAACAATATGGCCAACTGAGAACGCTCTGATCATGGCGAAATGCCTCGATCCAACTCCAGCCAATCGACCGACCATCGACGCCGTTGTCGTCGCACTCACCCCCCTTGTAGAGAAACCAACTCACGTTCTAGAGTCTTAATAGCATGAAAACAGCCGAAACAACTATTCATACAGTAACTAACTAGTACTAATACTTTGGGATGTTTGGCTTTTGGTCGGGGGATTAGAGTGACGTCCGTTGGTGGCATTGAGATAGACCAACTAGTACCACTAGTACTACTAGTACTTGTATTAATATCATACTTCGAAGTACGATGATATATTGATTACTTCACAAAGTATTGCAACAACCGGGCCATGGTGAAAGAGTAGGAATCGAATTCAGCATAAGTTTACAGTTAACTAACGCCCAAAGCATTACAGTAACCCTCCACAGGATTATATAACGGTGTGTTGGACACGAAGTGGAGTTGTAAAAAAGAGATGGATGGCATATCCTCACAACTATATATGACAAAGCAACGTAAGCAGGGCATGGGAATTAGTACTAGTAATAGTTATGTACTAGTAGTTCCATACTAAGCAAGCTTAGTACTCTCGTATTCCGCCAGTCAATCTTTCCAAGTCATAGTACAGTATCGTAAGTTATCAAAAAGAATGTTTTCTAACGCACACAAGCGTCAATACTATATATATATCGGCTTGCCTTACTACAGTACTGTATTATCAATCCATCCATCAAACGTACGTCATCGTTGTGTGTTGTCCCCGTTTCGCAGTAGTACGTACTAGTATGTACTAGTATACGTAGTACTTCATATATATATATATATATATATATACCCGGTATATACAAATATTATTAATCGTCAAACGTGATCTTGGTGGCTTTCTTCGTCATGTCAATGTTCTTTGCGAACGCGCCGTACAGTTTGTGTTCCTTTTTCTTGACGTGGGTGCCAAACTTCGTGAGTTCGTCGGGCACGGCAGCGTTCGAGTCGCGCAGCAAATTCACGAGCTCGCCTGCTTTGGGCTTATCAAAGTTGGTAAAGAATGTGTGCGAGATGCCCTTCTTGCCGCCGCGCCCGGTCCGGCCGATGCGGTGTACGTAGTCTTCAATCGTCAACGGGAACGAGTAGTTGAGCACAAACTCGACGTCGGGGATGTCGAGGCCGCGCGCGGCCACGTCGGTGGCAATCAGCAGCGGGATCTGGCCCGACTTGAACGCATCCAGAGCTTCCATGCGCTGCTGCTGGCCCTTGTCGCCGTGAATCGCAGTACATGCCCATCCCTTGCGCTGCAGCATCTGCTCCACGCGCACCGCTTCCTTCTTGTACAAGACAAACACAAGTACGCGGTTCTTGCGGCTCGCGTGGTATTTGCGTAAAAGGCCATCGATCTTGGCATCGCGGCCAAACTCGTCGACGACTTCGACGATCTGCGTCACGTTGGCAGAAGCAGACAAGTCCTCCGACCCGATCGTGACCTTGACAGGGTTGGTCAGGAATTCGTGAGCAAGTTTCTGAATCGATTGTGGCCACGTGGCCGAAAACATGGCAATTTGGCGCTCGGGGTGGCACCCGCCAATGATCACGCGAATATCTTTTTCAAAGCCGTCGTCTAGCATGCGGTCGGCTTCGTCCAGCACGCAGTACGTGACGTGCTTGAGCGAGCACGCCCTTTCTTCCATGAGGTCCTTGAGCCGGCCGGGGGTCGCCACCACAACGTGCACGCCCGCCTTGAGCTGCCGCTTCTGCTCGTGTTTCGGCACGCCGCCGTAGATGCAGATCGACGAAATTGACGCGGCGTTCCCGGCGATCGCAATCACGTCGGCGCACTGGATGGCGAGTTCGCGCGTCGGCGCCACGACCAGCATGATCGGACCCTTGATGCTCGCGTTCTTTTTCACCTGGTCGGCAATGTGCACTAGCCCAGGGATGGCAAATGCCAGTGTCTTGCCCGACCCAGTTTGCGCGATCCCAATGATATCGCGGCCAGAAGTCAAGATGGGCCAGCACTGCGACTGGATCGGCGTCGGCGTCGCAAACCCCGTCGTCGATGTCATCATGTGCTTGGGGAAGTTGACTTCCTTGAACGTCAAGAGCGGGCGGTACAGGCAGTCATTGCCTGACATGATCATTTGGTGTCGTTGGTGGAACGCGTCCACGTCCGCGTCGGTCATGGCGGCGGTCGTGGCACTTTCAACGTAAAACGACTTGACAAACGACTTGTCGGACGGCGGCGGTTGCTGGAACGGACCGTTCGAAAAGTCCACGGCAACTCCCTTGGCCTTCTTGGACGAGGATGGTTCGTCGACCGCCGCCGCGACTGGCTCGTCAGCGGCGTGCTTGCGCTTCTTGTCCTTCTTCTTTTGCTTCTTGTCCTTCTTGGACTCGACGACGTCGTCGTCGGCGGCAGTTTTCTCGACGGCAGGCGTCGCTTCAGCAGTAGCAGCAGCTTCGGCAGCCTCCTTGCGCTTTTGCTCCTTGCGCAGCTTCTTGGCGAGTTTCTTGTCGGTCTCGGTCATGCTTTTGTTTGCGATGGAGCGACGATGGAGTGTGATGGTAGTACCTTTGACCAATCAATTCCAACCGATGCGATCATGCAAAATGGTTGGCTGGACTAGGATGGCATTCTATGTGAAATAGCTACGCGTCTATATTTACAGAATTCAAGCGCAATTTATATAAAACTATGAATGCAGCAATTATTAGAATTCCATACATGCATATTGAGTACTATATAATTTAGAAATACATGCCCATTTCGTTCGACACAACTATAACCTTTGATATATTATCTTGTATTAAATTTGACGAGTTGCTTGGAGCATAGTTTTTGCTTGTTGCGTCGTCGCACAGGACTGGGTAGCTAGCTCATTCGATGGGCCATGAGGCTGTGAATGACCCTGCGATCGAGGCAACACAGACGTATGCGAGCGCCGTCAAGCGTGCGGCAATCGACTACGCCGCTGGCTGCCTTGGTGGGGTTATGGGGATCATTGTGGGGCAACCATTTGACACGATCAAAGTCCGACTGCAGACGCACGGCGCCCACTACACGAGTCCGTGGCACTGCGCTCGGCATACGGTAGCGTGCATGCATCCATTTGTCTCGATATGTGGTGCATATAGTACATTCAAGACAACCTCATAACGTAGGTGCAACACGAAGGCGTGCGAGGACTGTTCAAAGGACTTGCATCTCCGCTTGTCGGGAGCGTACCAATCAATGCGTTGGTGTTTGGCGTCCACGGTAGTACATTGCGCGCGCTGGACAGCGCCGCCATGCCATCGCTCTCGTCCGTCTTCTACGCAGGCAGCATTGCCGGGTTTGTGCAGTCCTTTGTCGTTGCTCCCACGGACCTGGTCAAGTGTCAGTTGCAAGTTCAGGACGGGTACACACACACACACACCTTCCCTTATCCCCTTTATCACTCTTGTGTTTTCTCTCACTTCCTCGCATGTAGCTTCCAGCGCGGCGGGCGGCGCACGTTTGCCGGCCCCATGGACTGCATTCGACACATCACCGCGACCCACGGCGCCCGTGGCATGTTCCAAGGGTTGTGGCCGACAATTCTGCGCGATACCTTTTCTTACGGCGTCTACTTTTACGTGTACGAAGCCACCCTGCGGCACCTCGAGGCTCGGCGAGAAGCTCTCAACGCAACATCCCAGCAAGCCGCGTCGATGTTGTTTGCAGGCGGATGTGCGGGCGTGGTGAGCTGGACGATCATTTACCCCTTGGACGTGGTCAAGTCTGTGATCCAAAGCCAGCCTTCGACTTCCGACTTGGGTCTTGTTCGGCATGCCCACACACTCTACCGCGAGCATGGCTGGCGCGTCTTTACCAAGGGCCTCGGCACCACCATCTTGCGTGCGTTTCCTGTCAACGCTGTCACATTTTATGTCTATGAAGAAACAATGACGGCGCTGTCATAATGTAGTTGGTTGTTGTTGCCGACGAACAGGCGGTGGCTGCTCATGCTGGCGAGCACGAGGCACTGATGTGCTGGTTGGATGGCTCTTTAGGAACATAGATGCATCAGGTTATGTCAAGTAGAAAGGGCGGACGAGGGGGGCTAGCATAAACGTAGAACGGTCATAGCCTGCTGGTAATCTGACGATAGACACTTGACAGGTGTGTATTTAAAGAGAGGGGTGAATATCATTGAGATTAATAATGCAGTGTGTTTCGGTATATTAATAAATCAGTCAACGAGGTAGGTATACAAAATACAAGTACTAGTTTCAACAATTGAAATGTCCTTCAAATTTATATTTTATTGACAAGGCATTTTTGCAACAATATGATGATACCCACACCAGGCAGAAGAAGCCTCCTCGTGGTAGGGATTGCCACCATTGATGTGATCAACACCATTCCAGAGTACCCTGCAGGTCAGTAGCACACAAGTATGATCGGTGACCTGCCCTATCGCCTAATACATATGTAGAAGACAGCAAGGTACGTAGCCGACGCCCTGGTGATGATCTCGATCAATGACCAAGTCATGTGTCAATAGATCCGAGCGACAAGTTCCCGTCGGTCCAGGTACAGTGCTATAATGGATTGTCCATCCCTCCATGTCTTCCCCTCGTCTTGACCAGAACGTTGTTGCGATGGATGCATGCTAGGGGTGGCAATGGCACCAATGTGTTGGTACGTCGATCTTCCCTAAGTCAGCATGTTCCATGTGCTCGGTGCAGGTCGTGTGTGCCCAGATCGGCGCATTCGACTCACTTCACTGGATGGGGGTGCTCGTGAACCCCGAGACAAACGGCGACGCCAAGTTCATCTGCGACGAGTTGCACGGCCAGTATGGCATCCACGTCGACCACTGCCAAGTCGTAGCTTCTGGGGGCATGCCGACATCTGTACGACCATGTTCCCTTCCTTCGTCATATGATCATCATCTAGTACATCATGGCGAGTGACGCCAGTGGATCCCGCACGATCTTTCATCACCGCGACCTGGCCGAGTTGAGCGTTGACCACTTCGCATCCCGCGTGCCCCTTGTGCAAGGAACCGTGTCCTGGACGCACTTCGAATGCCGCGACGCCGCCGCCACGCCCGCCATGCTCCGTCTCGCGCGGCCGGTGATGCCCATCATATCTTTGGAAGTCGAAGCGCCTCGCCACGATTGGTCACTTGTGAAGTCACTGTACGTTGTCCACCACGGCTCTCCATCATACTGGCATGGACGAGTACAGTAATAGTGGGGTGCATGCGATACAGTTGGGGAACTATATGTGATACCGTTGTGGGCCACTACGTATGCTTGGTCTTTTGTTCTGTCGATGATATATGTTGTAGCATGGTTCCACTGGCAGACTATGTGTTTGTCAGTCAAGGCTACATCACATCCCTGGGATATCCCAGCGCCACGTCATTCCTTCAATCGTTCGCTCAAGAATACACGGCCAGTGTCGTCCCCACAAGTAGCAGGTATGTACATACATAATATATACAACACGTCTATATATATTTATATATTTATATATTTATATTACGCTGTAAAGTTAAAATCACTCAGCGGGCACTTAATGGCCTCGGCCGCGTACTAGCTGCATTGGCAGCTAGCGGACTTCACTAACACGTCTATATATATATATATATATGGTAGATTCCAACAAATATATATATATATACATTTGTTGGAATTTACCACACCCACGAGGCATGACGATCTTGATCGTTTACTGTATTTATTCATAAAGTACCTACTAGTACTACTACTAGTACTACTAGTACTACTACTCGATCCCAACGAATCCCAACAGTAGGACCAACTCAATCCCAATATTAGGACTGACAACGACGACCGTTGGGACGTTCATCGTTATTTGAAAGCCATGATATGTCCATGGGGAAGCCACGGTGCGTTCGTGTGGATTGTTCCTAGTAATCCCACCGTTGGGAAGGGCGACACTTTGCACATTCCAGTGCTGCCCGTGGAGTCTGTCGTCGACTCTGTCGGGGCCGGCGATGCGTTTGTGGCCGCGACCATCTCGAGTTTGCATCGCGGCAACTCTGTTGTGGACAGTGTCGCATATGGCTGTGACGTGGGGCGACTCAAGTGCGTGCAAGTGGGGCTGCACTTTGACCCATGCTCGCTAAAGACTTCGTGTCCAAAGTAGAGGAGGATGCTGCCATGGAATATCATAATAACTACATTTGAAAACTAGGCAATTTGGGTGTTATCAGTGTTTGAAAGCCAACCCAACTCTGTCACAAGTATACCAATAATGTCCTCTGTGGTGCTATGCCCATCGGTACAAATCCTTGCTGTCTGAGTGAACTAGGAAGTATTCCCACATAGTCTACCGGTAGTAGCGAGCGTCGACAGTTAAATGGAACATGATATTATTAGGCTGTCGTCTTCAAACTACGAACTATCGTTACTCCATACTAGTACTTACTACTATTAATAGTACATGTAGTAGTAGTACGGTGCACACTCTTGTCCTGGACTTTCTCGTGTATCAACGTTATTATAACTTCAAAAATATATCGTTTCCATTCACCATAATGGTTTGTAGAAAAACCAAACAAGAAAAGAATATCCGTAATATTCGGAAACTAAACACTATAAATAATAATAATAGTCTTGATGATCATCGTTTTGGCCAACCAGAGATATTCAAGAACCTCTACATATTAATACTACTTACAGTACTGTACTGTAGTAGTTCGACCAGTTGCAAATAATGAACGTACACACCGATAGTATGTACTAGTGTATACCGATAGTATGTACTAGTGTATACTAGTGTATATGTATTGCGACAGGTGATATTATTTCACACCCAGCCGACACTCGTTCTCAACAGTTTGTTAATCCTTTGCGTCATACAAATTTGAAGTATATTCAACATGTTCACACGTAAATATCAGTTATTACAAGAAACTTATCAGTTATTACAGGAGTCATCGCAATACATATACATTATACGGTACAGCAAAGTACAGACGTCACGAACCCCATCATGTGTCTACTTCTTTCAAAGAGTCTTTAAACGGAAGGGCCGTCGCGTGCTCTATAATGTTGTTCGCATCATCATCATGGTGTGATGCTGATGGTGGTGGTCCTGGGCTAACATGCGACCCAAGACGTGAAATATAAACTGGCGACTTTTCGAGGTGGTCGGCACTTGAATGCCCAATGGCCACGTATGAAACGACAGCCAGTGCCACAGACAAGGCCCAGCGTACGTCACATGCACATGGACGCGGCGCCACATGACAGTGTTAAGGCCAGTGAGTATATCAAGCGAGATGGCCACTTGGTCGCTACGATAGAAAACACGATTGTTTGTTGCCGTACTTATATGGATTGATCAGCCTCGTACACATGTACCCCCCCAAAGCTCACGATTCAACGGTACAGAATAACACGATCAAGACGCAGCTACACGACTTTCTATGAGCAAAAACATCGTCAGATCCGTACCGATCGTCGGCCATCCAACGCGATGAGGCGTCCAAGGGGGGTGGGAACGACGACGACGAGGTGGGGGATGTGCTGCCAGTCGTCGTGTCGAGCTCGTCGGCAAACCCCGAGTACGCCACGGACCACTGCCACCCAGGATGGTTGGATGGACGAGGAAGGGTCGGCATGTGCGGCTGGATGGCGGCAGATGCGCGCGGCACGATGTAGTCACCTTGCAGCATGGCCACTGCTGTCCGGTGGTCGAATGCTTTCAATGCTGCCATAAACACAGAGTCTACAGGATAGAATATATATATATATATATGTGAGTGTATGTGTGTTTGAATTTTCATCCACATGATATATTAATACGCTACTGGAATTTCATTGTTTGTACTTACCTGGCTTGCTCATCAACTCTAACAACGGCGTGTCGTTGTGGTCTACGACAACAAGAATACATAAATACAAATATATATATATATATACAGTCTACAACAAACTTGTATAAATAAAGTACAAGTATATATATATATTATACAGTGTACAACTTTTGTATAATTATTGATATACTATATATACTTTGAAGGACATAGGTAATTGGAACAATGTTGCGAGTATTTCTAAATAATACCTTGACAAAGTAATTCCATCCCCGTTTGGCCGTAAATAAATGACACTGACATGAGGCTATGTACGGCTGACTTCCAAAGTTCCTACAAGAAGACATGTGTATGTACAAACGTGCGTTGAATGGTTCAATCCATCGATCATCATATATATTTGTCGAAAGTTTCAAATATATATATATATATTTCATGAAGCATGAAACATTACGAATCGACGAACGCATGCGTCGCAATTGAACGAAAGACGAACCTTTCCGAGCGAACCACCGGGCCGACGACTGCCGAGATGGGGAGTACACAGCGTAGTGAACGACGTCGGCTGGATGCCATAAGCTATGAGGGCTGCTTGGAGGTACACGATGGCATACCGAGCGACGATTCCGCCCAGCGAATGCCCGATGAAGCTGAGCCGCGTCCCATCCCCTCGTCGTTCGTTCGTTGGAACGTCCTTGCCGGGATGAGTTTGATGGGAGTGCAACATGTCCAAGACCTCGATGGCCAGGTTGGTACCCATGAGGCGAACTCCCAGGTGGGTCTTGTGCGTGTTGGCTGCGCTTTGAAGGACTTTTGCGGATTCGCCAAATGTGCGCGTGAGGGCCGCGGCGATGTGGTCCGAGTCGGACGGTTTGCCATAGATGCCATGCACACACACAAAGATATGCCGCGGTAGCAGCGGGCGAGTGTTCAACGATCCCAAAGCATCACCCCCTTGCTCGGACAACGACGAGGATGACCCAGCCATGAGACCCTCGAGACGGGCTAACCACACCGATGTGGCAGCAACATCGCCGATTTCACTGGCAATCGCCACGTTGGCACGCGCTTGGTCCTTAATGCAGTCGTCATGGGTACAGTACTGGCCCTGACCATCGTGCGTGGACGTACCTCTTGGATTCGATGGGACTGGTGCATGCTACCGGTAGGTAGGTACTACACCTTTTCCTGATGAATGTGCATTATTCCAATCAAAAGTGGTAATAAAAAATATATAAAACGTTCGAAACGTTTTCGACTGCTACATAAAACATGCAAAGTGGTGTATTGTCGATTTGATACAAATTTGGGGAGAGGCCAAACCGATCCACAATCGATCTGATTGGTTGAATTTCATTGAGAAAGTTTTGATTGGTTAATAATTTTGAGCTCTTCTGAAGTAGCCAATCAAATCGATTTAAATTCGAACGAAAAACCACAACACGAAATTTCACTCGAAAGCGGATAAATCATTTTCCATATTAATGTTCGCAGTTTTGAACACAAACACGAAGGTAAAATTGTCCGGATACGAATGAATTCACTGAATGAAAGGGCGTGTCGGAGCACGGTATGGAGACCATTTCATTACTCAAAATTCTCTTCAACATCCTCACTTGCGTTCTTCTGCTGTGAGGTCTTGCGTGAGCTGGCCATAATACCTGGCTGAGTTGACTTGGAAAATGTATGCTGTGGTGTCGATCACTTCGACGACTGGCTTCCGTGTTGAATTGTTGTATGAATCAAAATGCTCTCAAGACCAGGAATCTTACAAGCCAATCAGATCATTGATATTCATCCTGTATGAGATAATACAAAAAAAAACGTCAACATTTTGGAACGGGGTTATGACGGTTTACTAATCTCGTCGTCAAAATCAATTAGAACTGCATAGACCGTACCGAAATGGTTGTAGTATACAAACTTTCATATAGATCACTTTGCCAAACCATATTGATTGGAACAACCAGTTTTCTTTCACGTCAGATGCCAATTTCGTAAACAATTCCGAAATCAGTATTAGTAATTCAATGTAGAATTACTAATATTCAGTAGAATATACTACGTAACGTTAGTACGACGGTTGGCGAAGTCGGTTACATCTGACGGTTTCGAATTTTTACGTGGACTCATGAGTTCTTACTGTCGAATTGGATCATGGCGCCACCGACGACGGCCGCGGAGACGGCGTACATTTCGCTGCGTCCAAGCTACAAGAACAAACCCACGACCACGAAAATGAAACAGATCATTGCGACGGTGCTGCAGCAAAAGCTAGACCACACAGCGTACCAGTCGGACAAGGCGTCGCAGCTGACCAAGGAGATCGCCGACGCCGTCAAGCTCCAGCTCAAGGCATGCGAGTTTCCTCGATGCAAATACGTGGTGCAAGTTGTGATCGGAGAACAGCGAGGCGAAGGCGTGCGCATGGGTTGCCGGTGCTTCTGGGATGCAGAAACCGACTGCTACGCCACTGAAACGTTCACGAACGACAGCCTCTACTGCGTCGCCACGGCGTTTAGCGTGTACCTGTACTAACGAGTACTACGCGTTGTCATGTAAATGTGCTTGAAATGAAACGTGAATGGACGTCGTATCCCCTCCAGACTCGGTTGATAAGCTTATTTGGTAATTGGGAACCACCTTTCAGCTAGTGACGGAGACGACGTTACTATCGTGAACTGGTTCGGCAGCTTCCTAGGTATCAGCTACAGGGGCCACCACTGGACCTTTGCTTTCAACTAGTTTTGATAGAGGCTTTCTCCTTTGCCTGAATAAGGCGGGAATGTTCTAACGTTACTTGTACATATGTATATGTACTCTACAGAGTAATGCTATTCGTTCTTTTTATGCCTGGTTTCTATGAATATATCTGCTTGCACACATCACGAGAGGTCACAACACCGCCGCTGCAGGCTTTCAAGGTAAGCTTAGCCCCCCGAGTCAAGAATATGCAACCCCACCCCTCTCTCTCTCGCTAGGATGCTGTAGATAGCACTATGACCTTTCTCGATCCCAGCTCATCCCTGACCCCCCCATGTATTATTGTCGGTAAAATCTGTGGTACTAACTACATTGTACTACTTTACATGTATCCTTTGGCCAACACACACCCGATATGACGAAGTGGGAGAAAATAACTTATAAGTGGTCTTCGCTGCTAGTGACCAGCGTCCCAGGCAAGTGGCCACACTCATTGACGGCGAGGATCTTGCACGCGCCAGTGGAGCTCACGTCGATGCGGGTGATGCTGCAGTGGTTGATTTCAAACGCGCCCCACACCCCCGCAGCCACAATGCCCATCGCCCGGCACAAAAAGTACCGAATCACGTTGGCATGGCACACCACGACACGGCAAGTAGGTCCAACGGTCGCGGCTTCGTCTTCCAACGTAGTACTAGTACTACTAGTACTACTAGTAGCCATCGATGCCTGGACCATAAACGTAGCTTGGAACGCCCGATCGAGGCGCCGGTCTTCGATGGCTTGGGCTTCGGGGGACGGCGATGACGTAAAAGCAGCACCACTAACACCTCGTCCTCCTTGTTCCCCCCGCTCTTTCGCGTCATGGGGGGGGGCATCGTCAAACTCGTTCTGGACGGCGGACGGGCGGTTCGAGCTCGGCGCCCCGGGCCACCCTTCGCGCAGCAGCGGCGACGGGGTGCGGCTGCAGTCGGGGAAGAAGTCGCCGATGATCCCCGCGGTTTCCACCGCCCGCTCCATGTCGCTATGTACGAGGACGAGGTCGTGCCGCGACGACGACGCCGCCACGAGCTGGTGATGGAGATGCCGGCCGGCCCATTCGGCTTGGCGCCGTCCGATGTGCGATAGCACTTGGTCAGAGTCGCGAGCATGCTTGGAGTGCGCGTTCACATAATGTCCGTGTCGAACGAGCACAATGTGGAGGACTTTGGCGGGCGGGAGCGACGGTAAAGTGACGACGTACGTGTTGGATGAGAGAGAAGAAGGAGGGGAGAGGCTGCGACAGGCGGTCGTGGTCGTGGGGAGGGTGTGTGTAGCCGCGGTTTGCGTGGCGGAGGTAGCGTGGGTGGGTACACCAGCAGCAGTGTCGTGCACTCGCCGCTTTTTAGGGGCATGTGGTGGCGTGCCGATGGCGGCAAACGCGTCGAGCCACATAAGCGTGTCGGCAACCGTGTCCGCCTTAAAGTGTAGGAATCGATTTCTGTGGCTCATGGATCGATTATCCTAGATTAACATTTGAACAACTTGTGGTCATGGCGAAGAGAAGTACACATGCCTGTAGAGAGGGATCGGCGTGATCTTGATCGGCAGGCTCAAGAGTCCGTGGAAGCGAGAACGAAATGGAGCTTGTACGGGTCAAGGAGTCTGTTGCAGTGGATGCCGCAGACGAAGGTGGGAGATGCAACTCAACCTTGTCGACCCAAAGATCGTCTTGAGGACTGGCATTGAAAATGTACAAAGTCGATCCCACCAGTTGACAGTAGCGCTACAAAGGGTTGTCATGTGTGGGCGAGCTGTTGTATGATCGAGTGCGATGCATGCAAGTACCTTAGCCCAGTCGTGATGGTCGGCGGTCGGCTGAAGCGTTGTAGCTCCTGCTGCTGCTGTTGTCGAAGATGCAGCCTCGAGCACACTTAACGGACCTTCCATATCGACGACGTAGGGCTTTTTACTCGATGGGCTGCGAGTGCCATCCATGCTCTTGGCACTGGATGCACTGGATGCACTGGAGCTTGCGGTTGAAGGCGATCCCGGAAGCTCTGCAAACGACGACGCGGACGCCACTCGCGCGAGTTTGCGGAGGATGCGATGCAATGGTTCTCTAAAGCCAGTACACATGCATTCATGCTGTCGAAGAAGCCAAGCACGCCAAGGGACTTACCTCGTAGGCGCAGGTGGTGGGGATGACATGAGCGTGTGAGTCGGTGGTGTGACTAGGATTGGTGCTACGACCACCGCAATGTAGCAACCATCTGCGAAACTCCCTCTCTCTACAACTATCCAGTGTGAAAACGACATGCGCCCCGGGGCGCAAACAATGGACTTGATTAAGGGAATCTTTCTCATCCCGAACAACTCAAAGTGTGCCTTGGTTCCCGTGAATTCCACAAGGCCGGCTGACGTGGCATCGCCGGGTCTCCGTGGCCTCGTAAGTAACAGCGCCTGGAACGAGGTGGTCAGCGCTACACTTGTTACTAGTACATGTTGAATTCCCAAACCACAGCGTACTGTACATACTTGGCTCAGATCCAGCATCGTCGCTGCAGATCAGAGTCCGATGGATGCATACGACCATGGGCGGGAGCGAACGAGGTATAGAATGGTCGTGGGGTTTGGTTCTAGTCATTGTTGTGCCAGAGCCGCCGACTGTAATAGGACGGTTAGGTTGACTGACATAGGGAGGATTGAAGTAAGATATAAGGGAAATCGAAGCATGAGGTTTTGCGTTGATTGGATTGGCTACTTGAAATTTAGGCTCGTCGGATTGGCTATTATTATATATTAACTACGTTTAGAGGAACACGGGATGGATGTCCCGCAACGTGAGTCCTTTATTACACAGTGGACATCGATGCATATCGACGATGGCTTGGGCGATGCAGTCCCTGCAGTACACATGACCGCATCTTGTGGATGTGATGGACACCATGGTGTCGAGACATAGAGGGCATCGCATGTGGAACTTGGCCGCGTTGATCGAATCTTGCTGGACACGACCGACGTCTTCCGCAGGAACTGGTGGAATAGGTGGGACCACCATGCCGTCTGCACGTCGTCGCTTCAGAGGACGTGGTGGGGAACTGTTCATTGCATCGTCGACTAAATCGATCGCAGTAGACGCAGTTGTCGGCAGCGGTCTCGGATTGGTGCGGACGTGATGTTGTCGAAGAGTTGGAATCATGAACCTGTACGTCGGATGGTGTTGCATTGTAGGTTGTCGGACTTCTGTAATGACAACGTCGTCGTCGTCATCGACCTGCTCGGCGGCCTGCACTACCACTGGTACTCCAAGCACCGCCTCAACCGTGGCGGGTACACCCACGTCCGATGAGGCGTCGTCGCTCGAAGCGGATGATTCTACAAAGTCGCTCTGGACTTGCGCGGCATCGTCGGTCGCGGATGCATGGACGCGGAGCATCTTGTGTGGACGTAGAAGTCAAATCTGCATACAAACATTCTTGGAAGGCCAGCAAATGCGTCATTTATTAAAAACCTGATTCTATGACGACGTTTTATTCCAAAATGCCGCCTGTTTTTGGCAAATAATTTCGAGATATTTTGCGTTTTGTTTTCAATGTAATATCTCGACGACAACACTTCGTGATCAGCAAGCCAGACGCCAGAGCATTATGGACGATCAGTTTGTGGGGTACAATGCGTGGGCAGCGGAAGCCCTGGACATTGCCGTGAATGCCGACTTGGTGTACGAGGAGACGAGCGAAGGTGGCGACCGCGGCGTGTACATCTCGGACGAGATTCAGGCGCAGACGACGATCTTATCGATTCCAGCGGCAAGTTTGCTGAACGTGCACACAATGGCGCAGTCTGTGCTGCGGGACCTGGTGTCGCTGCCTCTCCGTGAAGACGACTGCTTGGCGTGGTTTCTCATCTACGAGCGGTTCGTGAACCCCCAGAGCAAGTGGAAGCGTCATCTGGACGTGATGCCCCAGGCGTTCCACAACATTTTGTACTTTACCGAGGACGAAATCAACATGTTGCAAGGCAGCAACGTGTACTACGTGGCACTGCAGCTGAAGCAGCAAGTCGCGTCCGACTTTGGCGAGTTGCAGCGAACGTTGCTCCCAACCACGCTGCGGCTCCTACACGCCGACCACTCGGCTGACGACCTCATCCGTGTGTTTACGATCGAGGTCATACATCATCCCACGTGGCGTACTACTATTGTCACTAATGTCGTCGTCGTAGAACTACAAGTGGGCGTTGTCGGTGATCTGGAGTCGCTTCGTCTCGATCGCCATCCACGCCACCGCCGCCGACGACGACGACGATACCACCGCCGCCGTCAAGAGCATGGTGCCAGTCTTTGACATGTTCAACCACGATCCCTTCGCGCAAATGAGCCACGGCTTCGACCCCACGACCAACTCGTTTGTCCTGCGGTCGCACCAGCATTGGCCGGCCGGGTCCCAAGTGTACATGAACTATGGTATTGATTTTACCCATATTATTTTGGGCTTTTGTGCTGATTCTTTGCCAAATCTATCGATTCGTTGTACTGACTTTTTGTATGTAAAGATCGTCCAGTATCACACTAATTTTATTCACACACTAATTCGATGTTGAAGTGGTCGAAGAGTTGACTTGATTGGCTACTTGATTCGAGTTGTGGTTTTTGATTGGTCGTATATCGATTGTCTCTGCCTACGTTTTGGTGATTCTGCTCATTCGATTGAGCACCCAAACACTCCAATTTTGAATATATCGACTTGACAATATCGCATGTTTACTGGGCTTCACATATGGCTCTGTATGCGACAGTGTTTCGTGCATGCCTACTATATATATATAAATATATATATGTGAGTGTGTCTGTATGTACTATATACATGGCACTAGTTTGGATGCAACTTGGTGTCGAACGACAGGTAGTCCAGTTTGAATTTGCTTGCTGTGGAGGTTTTGGTGACTTACACTATTTGGTGGGGATCTGTTTATTCCACATGCTAACTAACGTAACTGTAGTATCCCTTTCATTCATTGTTGATGTGTTGACATACACTATTTGGTAGGACTGTTGTTAACATACACTATTTTGTGGCACTCTTTTCATTCCACATGCTAACTACTGTAGTATCCCTTTCATTGTTGATGTGTTGACATACACTATTTTGTGGCACTATTTTTTTTATTTCACATGCTACTATGTAGTACTGGTACTATCCCTTCACTCATATTGGACAATGTATACAAGGCTCTGGATCTGGACGTACTAACACCTACTACTACCTACTACTCCAACTACGTCGTACTAGTATATTTCAATACTTCTGCCTCCTACAAATAACATTAACATTTCTGTATCCCCCCCTTACTATGTACTAGATATATATATATATTTCAATCCTACCAAGTCGACGTTTCTCCACCGCATATTCCGTTCTCGTTGAGATATTCAACATGTATGGCGGATGCCAATATGTAGGAGCGTTGCCCAACCATAAACTTCTCACATTGTACGGGTTCGTCTTGCCCTCAAATCCATTCGACGTGGTCGAGCTGTGGGCTCCCATGCACGAGGACGTGCCTTCGTATGACCGTAAGCTGGCCCTGCTCACGGCCCACGGCCTCGCCGAACATGCGACGTCCACCCCCTTTGATCTGTACTCCGACAGCGTCAACGACGAACTCCTCGCGAGCCTTCGCATCCAGCGGCTAACTGACACGGAGCTGAGCCAGTTCGAGTCGGGCACCCCCCACTTTGCGTTTGAGCCCATTCACGATGATAACGAAAAGGACACCCTCACGGCACTCATTTACGCGCTGCAGCAAATGCTAGCGGCGTTTCCTACTGCCGTTGAGGACGACGAGGCCGAGTTGGCTGCCCGACAAGAAGGCGACGACGAACAAGAAACAGGCGACGAAGCCTCGCACCATGTCATGGCTCTCCATCTGCGCGTATCCGACAAGCGCATTTTGCACGCGCAGATCGACATGCTGCAGGAATTGCTGCTGCCAGTGCTGGCTCGATTGAACTTAGCGAGCCAAGACTAAGTGAATCCACGGGTGGTGGAAATGTAGTAAGGCATACGAAAGTACATAGAGGGATAAGCACAGAAAATATATGGTCGTGTGCATGTATACAGTATGTATGTATTGTGCTTTGCACCCCACTTTGGACGTTAGTTACCGTACGTAGACAAGAACATTTGACCCTATTTCAGCTTGTTCAAACTACAGTAGACTAGACAGACAATGTTTAGCATCATATTGTGCTTTCGAGTGAAATTTCGTGTTGTGGTTTCTCGTTGGAATTTCAATCGATTTGATTGGCTACCTCAGATGAGCTCAACATTATTAGCCAATCAAAACCTTCTCAATGAAATTCAACCAATCATATCGATTGTGAATCGGTTTGGTCGGCACGATTGGATTGCACCCCCAAATTTGTATCAAATCGACAATATACTTCAAGGTTTTGATTGCCCCACTCTGAAGGAATCAGTACTTTGGATTGGCAGAAATTCGACTGAATGTACTGATTTGATTGGCGGTTGTTTAATTCACTCTTTGTAAGACACTCGATTCGGTGGCGGCTCCAGTTTCGAATCGATTTGCCAAGATATAGCAAAAAGTGTGTGGATACTGTAACTACTGTATGTATCTCAGCGATTACATAGTGTACTGTACATACATATCGAGCTTCGGTCGCACGAGCACGTACCTGTCCACGTTCGTTAGGAACACTGTTGTGCTGAACAAACAATGTAATCGAATTCGATTAATACACAAAAAATGTAAAAAAATGAATATATTATTGTCGATTTGATAGTACAAATCTGGGGGTGCAATCGAATCGCGCCGACCAAACCGATCCACAATCGATCTGATTGGTGGTTGAATTTCATTGAGAAGGTTTTGATTGGCTAATAATTTCGAGCTCATCTGAGGTAGCCAATCAAATCGATTGAAATTCCAACGACAAACCACGCCACAATGAAATTTCACTCGAAAGCACAATACTCCAAGTGTGCGGTCAGGGTGGAAGTAACTACTGTAGTGGAGCCCAATTCAGTAGTCGTACACTGTTCTATATAGTAACAAACTTAACAAAGCAAGTGATTAACGCTCTTGGATTCCTTTTCGCGACAGGTCAAGCCATCACGACGACGACTGAAGCGGTCGGCTGCGATATTATTAGTTCTTAACCATGGAAGCTGGTGGTATACAGACAATATAGGAGTTACCTCCATCATCCAACTACACGCCATAGTTATGTACACTGTATAAACCATCATGACGTGGCAATCCCTTTGCATTCTCGTTATGCACCCCTGCTTTTTTACTCACACTATTTAAAGGTCGGGCGTGCGGTACACCTTGACCACGCGGGCTCGAGTCCCTTGCACGAGAAGCTCATGGCCAACCGCATCGAATTGCAGGCGCGAAATGGTATCTATTATAAGCAACGTTAATGTACGTTAGTTACACCAGGATGAAACCAGAAACCAATTAATTAAAATAAATTCTTGACAAGGGATAATATATATATACTAGTATATATTAATACCTTCTTGGGCCTGCGGGATCACAAGCATCACTTGCATGGTGTCGACCCGTACGAACGCCACGTCATGTCCATGCCCCAACGCAATCACCTAACAAAAAGGAGTGAAAAAAAAGTAAAAAAAGAAAAGAAGTTATTTTTGGTTATGAAAGAATTAATATATACGATCGCAGGTTGTATTGGATGATGATGGCCTTACTTTGCCATTGGGAGTGATGTCCACGGTAGAATACACGACGTCGCTTGTGTACGTTTTGATACACTTGGGGTCTTCTTGGAGCTTGTAGCGCACTGGAATCATGCATGAATATATATATAGTTTGTATATGGACAATATATATATATTCTCAGTTTGGTATAGATATATCATACCGTTGATGTCCCACATCCGCACCGTGCCGTCTCTGGACAAAGTGACAATGTGGTTGACCGGCGTCGAGTCGGACCCGTCGAAAGCCACGTCCAATACGCCACTCTACGAAACAAAACCAATCGGCGATTTAATAGTATCATTTACTTCCCCCAGTCAATCTTCATTTAAAATACTTCATTTTACTCAATAAATATGGTTCATTTTTACTCGTTAAATATCATTCATTTAATATCATTTATGTCATTCATTTATTAACGTTATCACTATTGTTTACTCGTTAAATATCAATCATTATTTATTCCTAACGCGAGCCCAACCACGAATATCGTTGTCACTGTATCACACACCAGGCTACCACTTCAAGCACAACCATTCATTCACCTCTTCATTCACAAACACTATAGCATAAATCCCTACACTAAGTATTTTATAAAAAATATAAATTAAAAATATAGTTATATATATATTTGATTGGATTTAAATAATTTAATACCTGAATTTAAAAAAACTGAAAGACTCGAATTCTAGTACGAGAGACGACCGAAGAGGGTATAAATCACTGGTGTATCGGTTGTTCTAATGGAGCAGCGCCGAGAAGTATAAATAATAAAAAAAGAAAACGGCTTATAATGTAGTAATTGGTTAGAGCATAGTACCGCTCATAGTAACGGTAGAGTTGTAAGGTTCAAGTGCTACTAAGCCTATTTCTTAAAAAATATTATGCAAATATTAAAACCTGTTAGCCAGTGTTTCAGCGCATGTGTGCATGTCGCCGACCTTACCGTGTGTCCTTGCAGAGCCATCACTTTGTGGAGCTTTTCAAACGTGCCCGTGCCTTTGGTGCGGTGAATCTCGTAAATCTATCCCAAAAAAGGCATATACTGTATATATGGCGATTCTTCAAGAGTGTATGTAGCCAGGATTCACGCACAACCAATCGACATGTACTGTACCTTCACTTCGGGGGTGAACGAGGCCACAGCGATGAACCGGTTGTCCTTGGATTGCACACCGTGGTAAGCTTGGAGTTGGTTGAGGTTGGTCGATTGCAGTAGCGTGCCGTCGACGGCCCAGCACCTGATGTCCGTGTCGTCGTCCTTGCCGACCGTCACCACGGTGGTCCAGTCGTCGCCCACGTCGTTTAAGAGCAGCGATGCCACGCCCTGGGGGTGCTCGTGGATGGGAAACGTATGCGTGAGTTCAGGTTTGGCCTTGAACTTGCTGTACAAGTGCACAGCTTGGCCGTCGGCTGTGACCGCGCCCAACGTCTTCCCGTCGCAGCTAAAGGTACACGTCGTTGCGTAGTCGTACGGGATGTTGATTGTCTTGAACGTTGGGTTCTTGGACCCGAGCGACTCGCGCAACGTGAGGCGAATTGTGCGGTCCGTGGACGCCGTCGCGATAAAGCGACCGTTCGGACTAAAGCACGCCGACGTGATCGGACCCGTGTGACCCTTGAGAACATGCGACAACAGCGCGTGGTCAGGCAGGTGCACCTGCTTGGCCTTTGCTGCGTCGGAGTGTGGGGCATGGTGATGAGCATGATGGTGCTTGACTGGTTTTTTCGCCACCGGTTTTGATGGTTTTGCGACCTCTGTGGGTCCGTTGGGTGGTCGTTTCGCGTCTGTTGGAGCCGTAGACTGCCAAGACAAGTAGAGATACCCCGCGACGCCCAGCAGAACCACGACGATCACGGCGAGGAAAGGCTCCATGTTGTTGGTTCAAATATCTTTGTGGTTGCATTTCACCGGATAATGATGTAGCAAAATCCGAATACGATGGGTTCTGAAACCATGTAAACCCATATATCATGTTGCACAGGTTATAGGCTAAGTCCAGTTGAAGGACCATCATTGTCATTTGTGGACATTTCATACCTGTGTGGATACACTTCGAGTACGACTTGACGATGGGTTGTGAGAGTCGATCGATCGACGTTGATCAAGCCCTTGTCGAGCTTCTATAATCTACAAACCATGACATATAGAGTTCGTATCGAGAAACGACCAGAACCATTCAAAGCGTCGTCGGGTTGAAAGACCATCATTGTGAATTAGCGGTTTCATGGGTTGGACACTTGATGACTGTGAAATTCAATGTGGAAGGCTGTACAATTCGTCGGACCATCACTCACCGACTCAAGAGGACGGTTGAATGCAGGGGCGTGAAGAGCTCAGTCTTCAAAAGCTCGCCCCCTTCGTATGCCGGTTCGAGTCTCCCTCTAATGCACGGGACGGCGTACACCCCCCCGCTGTTTGTTGGTGGTTTCGTCCACCTGAAAGCAGCACCCAGCCACACCTCTGAAAGGCAACCACGGATCTTTTCAAAACAGCGCACAGCCTCCCGCCACTCCCAAGCTGTTTGTTTCCACAAACAACCTCCCTCCATGGCGTAGCAGCCATGTGAACGGATACTCGACCTTTACGCCATTTTTCGCTGTCTGTGGACCCCTGGTCATGCCGTGGGACCAATCCTCTAGAAGACAGCATCAGCAGCACTCTACCATTGTCAACACGGAGCCTCGCTCCACCAACCCTCGCAGCAGTCTTTTGCATCCAACGCAGCTGACTGCAGCGGTCGATACTTGAATAATTCACTTCGTCGACACCACGTCTTTTGTTTGTCGCTCCGTTCACTCTAAACTAGAGTAAAGTCTGCGTGTCGATCCAGCCAACATGCTCATGCCATTGCGTTGGTGCTTCTAGTATACAGTACCATAGTACATACTGTATCGGGCAACCAACTGCAAACATATCTAGCTCGACAGTACACGTAGCGTTAGTGCTTGGATACCACTTGCGTCGACATGGCATTATTGGTGCCAAACACGATTCGTTACACGGTATACTGTACATATAAACTCTAGAATCTCAACCTGTAGCATATCTATCACCCCCACAACTCCCCCCCACCAAGTCCCCAACCCCCCAATGTAACTGTCAACACCACATCAAGTTTTATTACCAACATCTTTGGAGACACTAAAAGAATCCGCGTCCAAACTGTACTAGTAGTTAGTTATGCCACGACCATCTTGTCCATGTATCCGCCTTCCGTAACCAGTTCAAAGAAAATACCCGAGCCTTGCGACACGAGGGTCTTGGGGGAATCGCATTGCGCCAGCTGACCCTGGTCAAACACCATGATGCGGTCGCAGTCGAGCACCGTGTCGAGTCGATGGGCGATCGTTAGCACGGTGGACGCGGCAAACTCGTCTCGGATCACGCGCTGCAATAACTGGTCCGTTTCGTGATCGATGGCGGCCGTGGCTTCGTCCAGCACGACAATCTTGGCCTGGTGCAGCAGCGCTCGAGCCATGCACAGCATTTGGCGTTCGCCCACGCTAAAGTTTTCTCCGTTCTCTTCCACTGGACCGAGCAGTTTGTCCTCGACGGTGGCCAACCGATCCATCAACTTGACCTTGCCGAGGGCATCCCATAGCTGGGCGTCGTTGTACTCGTCGAACGGGTCCAAGTAGTTGCGCAGCGTGCCTTTGAACAGCACGGGGTTCTGCGGAATGATGGCGAGGCTGCTGCGAAGGTGCTTGAGTCCAACGGTGGCGATATCGACGCCGTCGATGGCGATGCTACCGGACGCAACTTCGTTCATCCTAAACAGCGCCATCATCAAGCTCGACTTGCCGGCGCCAGTGCGCCCGACGATGCCGATCTTTTCGCCTCCTCGCACAACGAAGTCGACGTGTTTTAGCACGAGCGGGTCGTTGGGTTTGTAGCGGAAGCTCACGTTGTCAAACTGGATTTGGCCAGCAGATGGCCACGTATGGACATCCCCCCCAGCGCTCGAGTAGCGGTCGCCTTCCTTTTCCAAGTTGATGTACTCGTACAATCGCTCGGGGGAGATCAAGGACGTCTCGAGCTGGGACCAAATGTTAACCAAGTACGCCAAATTCGACGGAATCGTGAGGCCATACGTGATGAGTAAGCCGACGATGCCCGGGCTAAGCGACTCATGCAATACTACGACAGCTAGCAAGATCATGGCCACGATCGTGCTGCTGATCAATTGAATTCGTAGGCTAAACCATTGGTTGATGGCCGAGTTGACGAACCGCGATGCGCAAAACACCTCGAGTTTTTGGTCGTGTACGCGGTAGAATCGGCGGAGTTGCTTGGGTCCATACGCTCGGATCGTAGCCGAGCCGTCGATGCCTTCGCTCACGAGGCTAATGAGCGGCGACCGCGTCGTTTTTTGAATCCGGTTCACTTCGCGAAGGGGTTCCAAAAAGTACGCCCCCACACGGTAGTACACGTACAAGAGGGGAACAATGCTAAGGCCGAGCCACTGTGTGAGCACAAGCGTAGTGCCAAGCGTGAGCACCGCGCTCGACACTTCAAACAACATGTGCGCAATCGAAAACGGAATCTGCATATCGCACGTGCTAATGTCGTCGCCGAATCGGTTCAAAAGGCGCCCGATGGGGTTTGTATCGAAGAATCGCATGGGCGCCTCCAGCAGCGCATGCAACATGAGTGTAAACAGGCGGGACGCCCCACGCACGCAATACCAAAACACGGATGAGCTCTGCACCCCCGTGAGCACGCAGCTACCGACCGCCAGCGACCCGTACACGACCATGTTATAGTTGGTCGAGGCTGAAAACGCGAGGGCAGACATGGTTGCCCCTGAGTTTGTCCACGATGTGAGCCACAGATCGCTCGAGATTTTGAGCGCTTGAGTGCCCACGGTTGCCGACAGCATCAGCGTGATGGCGGGCCAGCCCCCGATCGAGTCCATATACTTGCGCACGACTTGGGCGGATACGCGCCCTTCCGCTCGGTTTTCGTCTACCACGAGGCGTCCATCGTCGTCGCTGCCGCCGTCGCCTTGGGGGAGGTTTGTATGGCGGGGGGTGAATAGCATTTCCAGCGTGTTGAACGTATATGGGGTACGGACCGACGGCGTGACTAGCATGTCGTATTCACGGACATTTGCGACATCGTACACTGGCGGCACATTGTCGTCGGTAGTAGGTGGTGGTGTCCAGTACGGCGCACGCGACGGTAGCGGCGACACTAGCGGCGGCGACGACGTACCAGAAGCATTTCCAACCGACGCCGAGTGGGGGGCGGGGGCTGTGGACGCAATGACGTGGCCATCTTGCACCAAGTACACGCGGTTCACATGGGGCGAGTCGATGATTTCAGGGTTGTGCGTCACGAGCACGATCGTTTTGTGCTGGAGTAGCCCAAGCAAACACTTTTTGAAGATTTCACTCGCGACGATCGCATCGACGGCCGACAAGGGCGAGTCCAAGATGAAGATGTCGGCATCGCTGTAGCATGCGCGGGCCAAACTCACGCGCGCCTTCTGTCCCCCCGACAAGTTGAGCCCCTTGGCGCCGATTTCAGTGCGGTCGCCCGCCGGGAACGACGCCATGTCATTGGTCAGCGCACACGCGTCAACTACTTTAGCGTACTTGACGCGGTCATAGGGTTTGCCAAACAGAATGTTTTCCCGGATCGTAGTGTTTTGAATCCATGGCTGCTGGCCAAAGAACGCCACGTCCCCCCCCACAAATACACTGCCAGCGTACTTGTCCATTTCTCCAAGGAGGATGGAGCACAGAGACGACTTGCCCTGACCCACGGCGCCGTGCACGACCACAAGCTCCCCCTTGGCCACTCGGAGGTTGACGTTTGTGAAGAGCGGGCTGGCGGCATCCCACCCAAACGACCCAGCTTCAATCGCAACCACACACTGGTCCGTGGCGTACGTAGCCGCGAGGGCTGGGTCGGTTTCGGGGGTCGCGATGTTGTGTGGGTTCACCTGCTCCATCTGTAGCACGTCGTTGATGCGCTTGGCTGACACAAGTGACTGAACGAGGCTCATGATCGAGAACGGGAGGTTTGCCATCGCGTCTTGTAGCGACTTGAACAGCGCGACGGTTGAGAACACGACCGACACTGTCAGGACCTGGTGCATCCCCAGCGTAAACACGGAAAACACAGACACAGTCACGAGCACGGGCGTGCAGTTGATGAGTGTCATGAGCACAATCACGTACTGGTAAAACGTCCACAAAGAGGTGGCTTCGAGGTCGCGCAGCTCTTGGACCCGCGCCCGAAACTTCTCCTCCCATGCATTGAACTTGACGATTTGAATCGCCCCAAATACTTCGTTGAGTACTTTCATCCGGTTATCCTTGCGCTCAAACAGGGTTTCTTCTTCTTTGCCGAGAAGCACCGCGGACTTAGCGTTGATGGTCACGATGGTCACGACGATCGCGAGCCCGACAAAACTTGCGATTCCCACGATTTGGAAGAGCAGGTACAGCACCGCAAGCACTTGGAGCGGCACGATCCACATTTGGTGCGCCGTGAGCGGGAACACCATGATGTTGATCACGTCCACGCTAAACAGGTTGGCAATATCCCCCGCGGTCTTTTCCTTCTTGGACTTGGCGCTCAGCTTGAGCGCTTTCTCAAACAACATGGCTCGCAAACTCGCGGAAAACTTGATCCCGACCACGTCGTTCATAAAGCTAGTGTGCACCTTGGCAAATGCAGACACGGTCGATAGCACGTACAGCGACGCGATGAGCTGGAGCACGTAGGTCGAGTCGAACTCGGGCGCTTCGAGCGCGGCGATCACCTGACCCAGCACAAACCCAGGGCCGTACAGGTCGCACACAGCCGTAAACACTTGAAGCACCCCGAGCCAGATAAACTGCCACAAGTAGATGGAGAAAAACGTGCGCAGGATGCCATGGCCAAGGCGCTGGTACGCGGCAGCAAACGCGACGGTCAGTGGGGCCACCTTGGTGTTGGACTGCAGCTCCCACAGGTCGTCGGGCGACAGCTGCCGCTTGTTGCCTAGCGACATCATCGACTCGGCCCACGAGAACGCGAGCTTGGACAGGCCGGATGCCGACTCCAACGGATGAGGGCCACTTGGCACTGCCTCGAACGTGCTGTACTTGTGTGGCGGTGTGGTGAGCATCAGACTGCCAAAGCAAAAGTGACAACATTTATTTTCATGGGTGTGGGTGGTGACACGACCATGTGGTGGACACCTTCTGGAAGTGGGCGAGGTATTCCATTAGAAGTCCCATTGAAGTGCCTGTTACACTGTCGCGGCCGTGACATTCACTAGCCAAAGCCTGATCGTTCGCCCAGGCCTGCGTGCATTTCCCATGTGGATTCCTAGACCATACTAGCTTCAGGCATCGCTCCTGTAGTTGGCTCGCTGGGATAGGACATTTCAACTTTTTTCGCCAGGGTGCTACAGATACTTGAAAGGAAATCCTCGTGTACTAATAATATAGAGTATTATAGTATTCGAGAATGGGTGATAGGATAAATGTTGGTCACATACTTCATAAGTGCATTGCACGAGGTCGTCGAGGAATGCGCGTCGATTACACTGTGCAGCGCCAGCATGATCCATGGCATCGCAAGCAATTCCAATCATATCGGCCTACCTGAACAGTCTCATGCAGCCCTGGTATCGCCCTCTTTGGGAAGGTTTGAATATTACGTACACAAACTACCGGTACATAGTGGTCAGTACCGGTATAAGCTTTCTACAACTCCGTCAACACCATACGTCCGATCACTCACTGAACCAGACGGTGCACAGCTGTCAAGGGAGTTAACGTTACAGTACTGTAACACTACGTACCGGTAGTAGTTTTTAGGACCCCATTGTTTGCCAGTCCCGTTGATTCATGCGTGCTGTTAAACTTGAGATCGTGATTGTGCTGGCCTCATCAAGGAGTGACTCGGGTTTTTGACTTGCAAGAAGAATGTGTGCGGAACGTACTCTCCCAATACGATGTCATGCTGGCCGTGGACGCTGTCAAAATCTACTACTCCGTCCCACAATAATGGGTCGAATCAGAATTTTGATGTATGGCTCCTATCTTGGGCATGTTTGTCAGCCCAATATAATGATTCATTTTTGGAGGTGTAACGGTACAAAATTGTCTCACAGGAAACCTTGTCAAAAGTGGACAAATCGCATTAGAATGTGCACGAAACATGCCCAGTTTGAGGTATCGACTGATTCGTAGATTATTCGTAAGTATATTTATTGCATGCACCAAAAACTCCTACCGGTACTCGTGACAGGAGTACTTGTTGGTCAGGTACTCGTGACAGGAGTACTTGTTGGTCAGGTACTCGCCAAACCCTTGGGTAATCCTGTGCAGTAGCTGCCGTTACTCTTAAGTAGCATTTCACGAAAGATGGCTTCGCGCTCGTCGTTGGTCAGGTCCTGCCTTTCCAGTTCCCATTTTAGTGACATGTGAATGAATGTATGTCTAAGAATAATGGTTTGATATGGATTTATGTATGGAAATTTTGAGCTTTAAAATTGGCTACGTTATGGTACGATTTCTCGCAGTCCAGGTACATCATGTTAAAGCTCTTGGCGTGCTCTTTCTCGTTGTCCAAACAGAACTATTTGATCCGCTCTGGGGTGGGATGCAGACACATTTGAATTTTCCTTCCAAATATAATGACGAGACATGTACACCCTCCCCATAGTCGAGCCATTATTGTGGGACGGAGGGAGTACGTAGGAACAATTACTAGTACTCCGGAGTACAGTAGCTTTGAACTACACGCTTGGTTTGTGGTAAGTTAGTTTAACCTGCCTTGGGTTTTTAACCTTGTGTGACATCAGGACTGTAGGGAGTGATACTGTACTATGCACAACGCCTCTTTGATCTGAATACTGCTTACTAGTATCCTCCAATGCATACGTTACAGTAGCACGGTCAATTCTCACGCGATGTTTCATTGATCCGTCTTGATCTACCGGTAGACCGAAACATACACTCTCCATCATCACCTGCATTCGATTCCCCTACCTCTGGATGGTGCGACGACCATCATTGACCAGCGACGTCAAGTGAGTGTTGGTTCAACATGCCCCTTCACGACATACATTGCACCTAAGTACAGCACATATCAAGCGTCGTCGACCTCAGCGCCTCGTTGACCACCCACTTTGAATGCACGTTCCAACCACTCACAATTTCCTGGATCCGGCCGATTGTGGACCAGGGCAATATGTACCACGCCACTGAACGTGGCCAGAACCTCTCAATACTAATCAAAGAAGTAAGATCCACTTTATTTCTACTTGGTATGCCACATTAAGGTACTGCATGCAGTTGGAACCTACCGCAAGGCGGCCGATCGGTTCAAACGTGCATAACTACCCGCAGCGTGCTTTGGCCGCGCTCTTTTCGTTGTACTGGAGGCGCTTTTGGTTGGTCGGGTTGCTTCGATTGGTGAACGTTGTATGACACAGGGCTGGCGTGCTTAAAGAGGTCGTGGGGGTGGTCCAAGCGTTCCAGTTTGACACGTCCTACGCCATAGCATGGATGGCCGGGTCGCTACTGGCCATAATGTGTTTGGCGTGGCCCACATGACGTTCCAAAAACAACTTGCTCGGTCAAGAGTTGTCGGGGAGATATCGCTGCATGATGTTTTGGAAGGCTATAGCCCTCGGCGCCACCTCTACTGTAAACAGACGAAAACCGCGGCGGAGATTGCCAACTTGATACGCAATCAACGCCTTCAGCATTATCACGTGTACCAGCAATTTGCACTAAATATGGATCGCTCCTTCGCGAATCAGGGCTGTGTTGTTCTTATTCTACGGTTCATGGGCCTGTCGACCTTTGTTTCGTTGGGCGCGATGGCCGCCTTCTTCCTTGTGAATGCCGTACTGGCCATGTTGCTTTAGGGACAAGAGAGCAACCTGTACGCCCTTGTCGAATGAAAGCTATTATCGAGCTGTTTGCTACCATTCAAGTGGTCAAGTTCAACGACAAGTTTGTAGCCAAAAATTACTGTCGCCCGAAACGACGAAGTGGCTGTGATGGATCGGTTCTTAGGGCTCGAAGTGGTCGTAATGTCCGTCATGAACTGCACGCCCCTGCTGGTCACCATGGCTGTCTTTGCTGCGTTTACGCTGTGGATGCACCAACAAAAATTGACAGCAACGAACATGTTTTCTGCGCTGGCGTTGTCCAAAGCCGTCCAAGAGACACTTATCACGTTGCCGATTGCTCTTATGGTCAAGGCAGACAGTCGCGTCCACGACACGGATCAATATGTATCATGCTTGAAATGACCGATTTCTAACCCGGATCTTGTGGCGAGTACCGTCGCATTAGACCCCACAACCAAGACCTGGCCTCGCGACAGAGCCTCCCCTTTACGGACACGTGTGGCAATCTCATCATATATATTTAACAAAGACCCCCCTATATCTTCTTACATGTTGTTATAGTTGGAACTCATATTCCATAAATGACTTGGGTATGCATTTGGGGCGACAATATTCTTGCAGGTAGTTAACAGTAAGTGTGCATGTCGAACCTTGTCATCGTGTGTCATGATCCTGACATATGCATCACCATTACTTTGCATTCGATATCATCGTTCGAGTCAGCTAAAACGTCCGCGCGAGGTTAACGGGTTCCGGCGACGCTTTGTCCCGACAAATGGCCATGCGAGCATGACGTCCGACGTGAAAAGCACCGATATGTCGATCGGTTGATGTAAAGTGTCGGGCGTGCCGCGTATGACCCTGCTGCGACCTGCTAAATCCCGTTCCAAGCCAATGGCAGTCGGAAGTTCACAGGAAATGTCGTGAACATTTCTGTCAAAATACAATATGGAAATGGAATTGGTTTATCAAATTTAATCGCATTTTAACCAATCATATCTTCGGGGGTTTTGGCGATCTTCAACCAAAAAACATCGACGGGCAAATAGTTGTTTGTGGAATCCCACGGCAAGGCCATCCCTTCATGCGTCAGGAGTGTCGCCTCCGATGATGGGATATGTAGTCGACATATTCCCGTTGTGAGCGTATAGCACCATCCAATGCAGTGTTATCGTGTCTTGCCGCGCGTGGTCCACGTCGATGGATTCTTTGGACATTCTCGGGGTCGTTGCAGTGTTCTGCAGAAGAACACTTTTGAAATTTCGACGTTAGAAGCAAGCCATGTTGGACGCAGTACTTGCGGATGGGATGGCAGAGAACTTCGCAACGTGCCGCGAATCGGTGGCCCTCGCGACACAGCGCCTGTTCGACGACATCACGGTCGCGGTGCAGGACTCGTCGTCCAGGATGAGCAGGTTGACGCAACGTAGCATCCAAGATAGCGCCGTGGACGTGGAAGTGTCGACCTTGAACAAGTTTGTGTGCTTCGTTTGCGATAAGGTGGACGTTCGGAACGTCGACGGGTTGGTCGCGCTGGCCCAAGCGTTTGTGTGGAACGACCCGGCATTGGTCGACAACTTCATCCACAATGGCAAGAACGTCGTCGTGTATGCGAAGGAGTCGTCCTGCTCGAAACCTCCAGCGTTAGAGCAAGTCATCGCCGCCGCCAAGTCCACCCCGGCTCCTCCCCTCGCCATCAGTCCGCCGACCACTGCACCAGAACATGTCACCTTTGCTCACGTCCCGCGTTCTCCACCATCCAGTCCCCATGTTGTCGAAATTGCACCCGACGTTCCATCGAAGAAGCGTGCACTAAACGAAACCTCATTTTCGGAAGACAAACTGCCGCCGTCTTCGATGGACCCGCCGCCATTCGCCAAGAAGCAGCGACCCATGACATCAGGTGTGTGGGAGCCCGTGGATGGTGTAATGATTCAGCTGCCATCCCAACCAGCAGCAGCGACAAGTTCATCCCGTCGCAACTCCCAACGCGTGTTTGCAGTTGATGACTCCACGTCGTTCACGGGCACGATGCCGAAGTCCAAGCGAGAGGCCATCGATCGCATCGCAGATTTGGCTGGAGCCAAACCCGACGCGGACTGGATCGTTGCCAAGGCTTTGGAACTGTACTCCATGACCGTGCACCCAGATTATGCCCGCAAGATCCTGTCCCGTCGTTAAACGTTGGACGACGTTCACGTAGTTGCGCCAAACACATGATTCCATGTAATACATCGACATGCAGGATGCATGGCATGTTTTCAAATGGGTTTCGCAATGAGACTTTGAGAGGCCTGGTGGAGTTACAACGATGGACATTTGGCCGAGGAATGCATGTCCCTCGTCGTAGTAGTACTACAAGGCGTGTGTGGTTGTAAGCTTATTATTATCGTGAATAACGGTCGGGACATCTAGTAGTACTAACTAACAACTGTGCACATGTCGTGATGTCGTTGCCCATTTACCATTAACGTTATGGCGAGCAACGAGCATGGCGCGACCGGCAACATCTCGACATGCCAAGGGACTCCAAATTCTATTGACCATGCTGGTGATACAGTGCTGCCTGAAGCAGTGACAACAGAGAGATTGATCGATAACCCCGTTGAACACTACAGCCGTGACCCCATGGAGCGGGCGACGACACTCAACGACTTCATGCGTTTCCTACGCGAAATGACATCGGTGGCGAATCTGGATGGGCTCATATCGCTGGCCCAGGCATTTTTGTGGGGGGATCTTGGCATGGTGTCGTCGTTTCACAAGCATGGCGTTCCAGTTGTCGTTCATGGAAGCAAGTCCAACAACCGCGACCTCCGCTGGCACGCTCCCCTTCCCGTGATTGCGCATCTCAAACCACCCACGTTTACGTCTGCCAGTGCAAAACATAAGGGCATGCCTTCTACCGCGGTGGAATCTGCTCCATTGCTTACACCTCCACCTGCAGCAGCCCATAATGCTGACGACATCATCGAGGAACTGTACCAAGCTCTTCGCATGCAAGTGCGCGAGTCCAAGGCCAAAAATTCGATGCAAGACACGATACTTCCCGACCAGGCAAAGCGTCCACACCAGCCCAATGCATCAAGTACCAAACCGCGAAAGAAACCCCAAACAAGCCACCACTGCGTGATGGCCACCCACGGCCATCGATAGTAGTTGTCCATGTGCTTCGTGCTACTTGGTAAAGAAGATTCGTAAATAATATGAATACACCACATATTGTTTTGCTACGACAGTGAATCAATGTGTCCTTGTCGTAGTTGTAGTTGCAGGGCTGGGACGGGTTGGTGTATATATGGTCATCATTGTCACCTGGCTTGACGATGTTGGGTGCCGTTGTCGCTTGGCAGTTGACCGTTGAGTCTGAGGCCAAAACTGGCCAATCACACAACGCTATACCACTCCAGGATCGTCCTGCAGCCAATCACAAGCTAGCATGTATTTTCAGCCACAGTACATTTGCGTCCACGCGACGGATTTTTCCAACCCGCTAAAGATGTTGCACATCGAGCACATGCACTTTACAGTCTGCGATCATGTCAAGTGATGGCGTGGGACAACAGCAACGTCCTTCTCATCTCCGAGGACCTCCGCGACTGTCGGTAGTGATGCCTCGTCCGCCGACGGCACCCGCCATGCTGTTTGTACACTTTAACGACATGGCACGACACGAAGAGATGCTGAATTCCATGCTCCATCAAGCTTTGGCGTCAGTTCTCGAGGCAGAAAACGGCCTCTCCGCTGCCCTTCACGACTTGTTCATGGCTAGCATGACCTTGGGACTCGACAACGTCTACGGTCCTGTTCATCCGACGTCGCCCAAGACCAGCTCGACGTTTCTCAACACGCTCCAAGACCACTGGTGGTCCCAGCTCCCAGCGACCGACACATGCAATTCCGACTGCCCCATCTGCCTTTCCGACTTTACTGCGTCCGATCTGGTGATCAATTTACCCTGCCACCATACATTCCATTCGACGTGCGGCTTGCCGTGGCTGCGCGACCACAACGTGTGCCCGACGTGCCGGTTCCAACTACCCTCGGACGACCATCAGCATGCAGCGAAACAAGATGCAGGGCGGTCGTCGTCGATAGAAGTGTTGCCCACAGAGCCGGACGAGCGGCGCGCCCCCGAGCCAGTGTCGCAACTTCCTGGGTCGGTGGACGACGCCGACTCGATGTTGGAAGCAGAAGCCGATGCGCTGGTCGCCGACGATGACATGGGGGACCTCGTGGAGGAAATCCTGGACGAAATGATGGAAGTCGAAGCAACGAGTGTCGTGCAGCAAGTGCAACGGCAGCGCCAACGCATGCTCGAAGTGGATCGTATCTTAGACGAAGCCATTCGAACAGACACGGTGGAATAGTGCCGCGTATGAGGAGTATAATAATGCAATCCTTGGAAATGATAGCTTGACTAACGTTACGTAACGTGCATTAAGCTGAAGCTGGCCTTATGTTGCCTCTGAAAAATGCACACAACTAGACATGCATCGCGACAATAATGAACGTTACAATAGAGTGATTGCTTGTTGTACATACTACCATCAGAGTCAACTTTGCGACGTTACGTTTGGTAACATTTCAATAATAATATGCCATTTTCTCGCAAAATGGGATTAACCAAAATGCCATTTTCAAAATGGAGGTAAAAGGTCCATTTTGTAATGTGGCGTTTATAGGACCTCTTCAACGAGTAAATCCCACGTGGAATTATTGGATTTGGGTTAATATTGCAATATTTCCGGTTACCAGACGAACCCTTGATTCTCATCTACTGGCAATTACCAGTACAAAATCCACTGGTGTATTAATATACTGCTCAAAGAAAAATGAAATGCTGCAATTTATTAGAGTAATACTGTAAAATAATCATCACAGGCGAGGTGGGCTAAAACGCACATGCAGTCGCCTTGACCAGTAAAGTGCCCGTGTACGTTCGCCCCAAAGCCGGCGAATGGTCTGACCATGTCTCCCGAGGGTATTGATTCAAGATTCCTGCTCCCAACCCCAACCACACGGCACGTTGGGCGCTTTGCTCCGGGTTGTTCATGTTAACTGTGTCTAGCCAACGCTGGTAGCCAAAGTACGGGAATTGCGACACACAAGCCGCAAAGACGGCGTCGGCATTGAGTAATTCGGCCGTGATGCGACCAGAGGCCACGTGCAAGACGTGGTCGCCACTTGGGTCCAAGAGGTAGTCGGAGTAGTGGGCATTCACTTTAGGTACTTTGGTGGCTTCGGCGACAATGATACCCTTCAGCACGTCCTTGACCGCTTGCGCGTTGGCATAGTACTCAGTCGGTTGGTCAATCGGAGCCCTTTTCACGTTCGAGTTGAGCACGAGATCCAAGTTGTTTTCGCTAAGTCGGAGAAAGTAGTGGGCGGTGTTGCCAATGCTGACCTTTTGGATGTGGTGGCCGTTCAAGAGAACCGTCGACGTCACGGGTACGGGGGAGAAGACTCCAAACATGTTGACCCAGGTCTTGGTAGCCGCAACTGTGCCGACTTCTCGAGCCTGCCACCAGCCACTGGTTTCACCAGCATCCCCGGCAGACAAGTACACAAACACAGACTTTGTTGTTGGCGACTTGATCGAGTTGTACACAGGTGCAGACATGAACAGCTCGTGGTCGTCTTCGTGGGCTGTGACGTACACATCCACCTGCGACACTGTGGTCATTGCGTCAGGTAATGTCTTGGGAATGATCCAGCCCATTGTGGATGCAGCATCGAATGAAGGTTGCACGTAGGTGCAGGCCTTGGAAGTCGAGTCAAACACAGTCGCAAAGCACAAGTTTTGCGACGGCACGCACAACTTGTAGCAGTCGGCCGCGGTGGTCGCGGCCATCGCCCCGCTTGCCACGTCACTACCAAACGTGCCAGAAGATAATACCACAGGAACTAGCGGGGTGTTGACCAGACTGATGCCTTTGGTTGGGCTGGGTGTGGGGGCGTAGAAGACGCACACTTTGGTGTTGGAGTTGAACCCAAAGAGGACATATCCCTTGGCCTTGGCGGACGAAGCGCAGGCTTGGAGCGAGGCCACTCCCGGGACAGATTCCTTGATATAGGCGTTGGGGAGGGCAGCGGTGGTCATTTTCGAGTACTGAACGCCAGCAACATCGACGTTCGACACTGGATCCAGCACCCAGCCAGCAGTCACATCTGGAAACGTAGCTGGTTGGGGCTGGTACAACGCACACGTTTTGGCACTAGTCGAGTACTCGACGCCAGCACAATTGCCCTTGGATGTACAAGCGAGAACGCAGTCAGTGTTGGTGGCCACATTGGTCAAGGCGGTACTTAGGTAGGCAGGATCCGAGTCTTGGGGAAACGTAATCGCCTGACCGGTAGCCGTGAGCATTTGAAGCGACGTTGCGGCCGTGTGTAGGTGCACAATGCAGTACAAATGACTCGCCCAGTACGTGAAGAAGTTGTTGTTGTACGTAGCGGTCATGTCTGCGCACTCTCCGGCCGACGTCACGTTGATGTACACGGTCATACTCAACGCCATCTCGACGTTGTTGACTACAATGGGCCCGCTGCCGTGAGAGAAATTGGTAGCCAAGGCCACCGCCACAAACGACTCTGTCTCCGAGTTCACGACACTGAGCGTGCCTTGATCAATCCACTGCGCCCCTGTGATGTAGTTGAACGCGGTGGGCGGCAACGAATTCACAGCGTACAGTCCCGACTTCACGTTGGAGAGGGGGGTGCCAGGGATCGTGAGGGGCAGCACGCCTGCTCGTGCTCCAGGCGAAGGGGACGAACTGCCTTTTTTGGATTTGAGGTAGCAGGCGCCGCCATTGTCAGGCCCCCACACATACAACGAGCACCCGAGTGTGTTTTGGCAATCGGTGCAGCAATCTTGGTAGTTGGCGCGAGATGTGTACAGGATGTCGTTGCCGGCGTAATCAACGTCGTTCTCGACCACCGGACAAGCAGACGGCGTGGGGGCCGGCGTCGCCTCGACGACGTACGACGCACTGGCACCCGTGTACGCATATGGAATCCCCCGGGAGCTCTTGAGAAGGCAAGTGCCGACTCCGCTTCGAAGCACCCACACAAACGCTTTGCAACCTGCAGTGGAGGTACACGCCGAGCAGCATAAACCAGTGGTTGCCAGCTGAAGCGTTGCAATGTCGTTCCCAGGAAGATCTGTGTTGGGTAGGATTGCAGAACATTGAGCAGGAGCTGGGGATGAGGTTGGCGCAGGGGTAGGCGCGGGGGTAGGTGCAGGGGTAGGTGCAGGGGTAGGTGCGGGGGTAGGTGCAGGGGTGGGTGCGGGGGTAGGTGCAGGGGTAGGCGCAGGGGTAGGTGCAGGGGTGGGTGCAGGGGTGGGTGCGGGGGTAGGTGCAGGGGTAGGTACAGGGGTAGGTGCGAGGGTAGGTGCAGGGGTCGGTGCGGGGGTAGGTACAGGGGTAGGTGCGAGGGTAGGTGCAGGGGTGGGTGCGGGGGTAGGCGCAGGGGTAGGCGCAGGGGTAGGTGCAGGGGTAGGTGCGGGGGTAGGCGAAGATGCTGGGGTTGACAAATACGACGCTCGGGCTCCTTGGAACAGACTTGGAACTCCCTTGCTGCTCTTGAGTAAGCACGTGCCAACGTTGTTTCGAAGCACCCACACGTAGGCTACGCATCCCTTGGTATACGCACAGAATGAGCAGCACAACCCGACGGTGTCCAGTTGAAGGGGGTCACCAATGTCATTGCCAGGCAAGTCGGTGTTTTCTTGGATGGTAGAGCAGGTCGCGGTGGGCAAGACCAACTTGGCAGCTCGGGACCCCCATAGAACTTCTTTGTTGGATGGTTTGCTCTTGAGAAAGCACTTGCCAGACGAGCCGAACGGTTCCCAAGAGTACACGGTACATCCTGGTGTGTTACCGCAGTCGGCACAACAATTGGCGGCGGAACTTCGTGTCGTTTGTTTAATGTCGTTGCCAGCGTAGTCGGTGTTTTCTTCGATCACCGAGCATGTAGCTGCGGCGGAAGCAGTGGCGTGTAAGAGTAGCGCACTCATCGCGAGGATGGCGACGACAAACGTAGACCACTTCATGGTTCAGCGGTGGTGGTAAATTTATAAATGGTCAGTCAGGACAACGGAGATATCTACACGCAGGTAGCGGCACGACAGATGAAATTGAGTTGGATTTGTCACCGGTCTGGGACGTTATTTGAGTACCATTCATATTAGTGCAACAAACATAGTTTGTCCGTATTGTAGTGATTCTACGTATTGTCGTATTGTAGTGATACTACTTTATTTGAGGTAATAATCCCTGGTGTTCAGTTTTGGTGAGCTATTATTTTATGCTCAATATATATCTTTCATATTAATCACATTAACTGTGGGGAATTGCTCCAGTGAAAGTGCCGAACTTTGCCGTTTTGCCACCATGAATCCACTACGACATCTAACATGCCTATGACATATCACCTTAAGCTTGACTGGACGCAGTGAATTCAATTGTGCACACAGCGCTGCGAATGATCTGGCGAACAACAATCAACAATAAACGGATGCGAGAGCTCATCGATCCAGTATTGTACGGGTGTGGTGGGTGATGACATGCGACAAAGGTGCCCACATGACCGGAACAAGCCACCGTAAACGAACTATTCCTTCCAAACAACACCTACAATGCTACGTACTTCGTAATCATTTTGGCATCCTCGATTTTTGCAGTAATATCCCATGTAAAGCTATACAATATTAAGTTCAAGAGGGATTCATATAATTGAAGTTCAATCGAATGTAGCCAATCCGGTGCAACAACCGCAGGTCTACGACATTTGATCACAGTGCAATCACACAATGCCAGCACTTGCCAGGCGACTGACGCTCAATCAAAAAGACAGAGTCAGAGCATATTACAGCTGCTCTTCCGACCGCACGTTATCGATTACATGCACGTGGATCACACAGGAGTTCGGCGTCATCGTGCATCCCACACTGTTGGTCGCATTGTTCGGGACGATCGCACCAGCTCAGCAGCAAGCATTGATGCAGACGTCACTGCGTCACGCTGCAACATCAAGGGACGAAAGCAAACTGAGCTTGACTCTGAGTTGGCGGCTTGGGTACAAAACTCAAACGACAACAACGCATCCATCACAGTGGAACTGTTTTAATGTGGGAATTATTCTATTTTGATTGAACGACCACAGGCAACAACCACATTATCTACACTATACTGTACATACTGTTGCATATGTAAGAAGCAACACTTCACGATGGAGAGCCCGCCTTAGATCATTCAAAGAAGGCCTACATATCCCTTTGCAAGCTCTCGTTTATGCATACAATGTATGCTGCGGACAGTTCAGTTCTATTCATGACAGTGCACACACTACCTTTGTCAGGAGTATTATGCATCTCTCTGTACCGGTACTGTATATCTTTTTTCTGCCAAGTGTTACATGGTTGTCAACACGACTTGTTGTATGGCAAGGCGCCATCGGCAACGACCAGAGAACACAGAGTTGCGGTCCACTTGACAGGACTAGGCATATTGAACTCGATTCACATTTCAATTTGCCACCACCGGCGCACATCATGTCTCGGGGTCTCTTGCTCGCCGTCATTGCGGCGATCAGCGTGTTTAGCGCTATTAACCTTTCCGATGCCGCTGCGACCTGCTCGGCCATCGAGGACAACACCGACTACGCGGGCAACGACATCGCCCAAACAACGCAAGCCTCTGCCTCGAATTGCTGCACCGACTGTGGCAACACCCCAGGCTGCAAGGCGTTCTCGTGGGAGGCTGGCACATGCTACCTGAAGAGCCAGCCGTCCAACAAGGTCTCCACCCCAGGCTCCCGCGCCGCCATCGTCAACTTGCCGGCCGCGACGTGCTCTGCCATCCAAGAAAACACCGACCTGCCAGGCAACGACATTGGCGACCCCCTTCAGCTGCCCACCGTGGGACTGTGTTGTACTTTCTGCGCAAACACGAACGGCTGTCTCGCGTACGTGTGGGTCCTTCGAAATAACGTCGGCACGTGCTTGCTCAAGAGTAGCAAGGGAACGCCCAGCTCATACCAAGGCGCGCGGGCGGCCTACTTGGACTCGTCTATCACGCCACCCCCCACTCCTTCCCCCCCGCCGTCAGGGACGTGCGGTGTCGTGGAGCGAGATGTCGACTACCCCTTCAATGACATCATCTCGACCCAACGAAGCAATTACAACGACTGCTGTGCCGATTGTCAAGCGACCCCCGGCTGCTCGCTGTACGTGTGGGGCTCCACGGATGGAGGGACTTGTTTCCTGAAGAGCAAAAAAGGCGACCGCGTGTCCTCTCCAGGCGCCCGTACTGGTGACTTGACGGTCACTGGTCCTATCACCCCGCTCCCCAACGTTCAATCAGCCGTGTATGGGACGAACCCGTTGCCCACGATTGCGTACAACTACATCAGTGCAGCTCAATGGATCGACCAGAGCATCATGACCGCCGTCATCTCCCAAGTCGAGAGATTTGAAGCTGCCAACTTGGCCAACAATTTCTCGCACGCAACGGGACCGTTCCAAGTGTTTGCCCTCGAATCCGTCATAGACATGAACGTGTACATCAACGTCACATCCCAAGGCGAATGTGCCACGCTGACCGCCGCGTACGGAAACAACTTCTTCACGTACTGGCCGCAACATTTGTACTGCTTGGTGCATATCAACTCGATGGCATCGTCGCTGCAGATGCTCACGGCGTCTGGCGTAGCGATTGTGTATCCCCAGAACTCGGATCCAGCATTTGTCGCTTCCACGGTGGCCAATGTGGCCACCAACGCGGACTGTGTCACAGCGTGTGCGACAAAGCGCAACTGTGCTGGCGTCGAGTACTCCAGTGCCAACCGCAACTGCGTCTTGTATCAACCACGGGCGTCCACATTTCCAGATGTGTCTGCTGGCTGGGTGTACAACCCCATCTCGAATGTCGACAACGCTGGCGTTCAGTACTCCCAAATGACCTTGGCTGCCCTCCCCAACGCCTATATCAAGGAATCCATCCCGGGCGTGGCCTCGCTCCAAGCCTGCGCCTCGTCCGCCAAGTCCAAGTCCTACACGCTGTTCGCCTTCAATTCCGCTACCAGAGTGTGCGTCTACTATGCTCCCACCCCCAGCCCAACCAAAGTCCTCAGTCTGGTCAACACCCCGCTAGTTGCTGTGGTATTATCTGGCACGTTTGGCGCTGACGTGGCAAGCGGGGCGATGGCTGCTTCCACCGCGGCAGACTGCTACAAGTTGTGCGTGCCGTCGCAGAACTTGTGCTTTGCGTCAGTGTTCGACTCGGCGTCCAATACGTGCACGTACGTGAAGCCGTCGTTCGATGCTTCGTCGACTCTTGGCTGGATCATTCCCAAGACTTTGCCAGACTCGATGGCCACGGTGTCGCAGGTGGACTTTTACGTCACGGCCCACCAAGACGACCACGAGCTATTCATGTCTGCGCCGATTTACTACTCGATCAAGTCGCGAACTACCAAGTCTGTGTTTGTGTACATGTCTGCGGGGGATGCTAGCCGAACTGACGGATGGTGGCAGGCTCGCGAAACGGGAACGCTGGCCGCCTCCAAGACCTGGGTCAACATCTTCGGCTTGTACTCCCCCGTGTCAGTGTCGTCGACGGTTCTCTTCAACGGCCACCACATCCAGAAGATTGTGATTGGCAACACGGTGCATTACTTTCTTCGACTGAGCGAGGCCAACCTGGAGCTCGTTCTCAACAAGAATCAACAAAAAGCCCCGCTGGACCAACCGAATGAACCGTACGCCAACGCCCAAGCAGTCAAGAACGTGTTGAAGTCCATCATCGTCGCAGAAGCCACCAAGGTAGCCAAGGTCACAGCCAGCTATTCCAACTACCTCATCGACCCAAGTGAAGATCACGTGTTGCACGTGGCAACTGGTCGCGTCACGGCCGAGTTGCTCAATGCGGACTCCCTCTTCAAGACATGTGTATCTCAAACTCCATTCTTTGGCTACCAGTACTGGCTGGATGCAGTCAACATGAAGGACCCGGAGAAGATCTCCCAGCGAGCGGTATGGTTGGGGTTGGGCGTGGGTATCTTCAACCAACACGGCGATCAAACGTGGTCAGACCATTCGCCTGCGTTGGGCCGTACTTACACTGGCAACGCCGTCATCAAGACGGCTGCCTGTGCGTTTTAGGGGCGTATGTGATGCATATCGAACGCCGCGGCGACCAATATGCACTACGATTTCATTTTGTGGGTGTTCGTTATAAAACAAATGTTCCTTTTGAGCAGGCTTTCGAGATACTAGTACTAGTAATAGATACTACTATTAATAGATACTATTAATAGTATATTACTGCTATCGTCCACATTTGATTATAAATATATCGATATCTGCATATTTTTCAATAATATTGTGTATTGTTTTCCTCGTCTAAATACTGGTATACTATATATCTCCACGGAATAGCTGGGACAGGACCAATCGCAATGCCTACTACTACCGTTGTTTGTCAAGTACTACCAGTCTGAGGATGCCGCCTCCGCGATTAAACCTACAACATGTAGTACGCGGTACAATGGATAACCTGGTGAAATACTGGGTGATTGTTGCAAGTAGCACTTCGAGTGTGGGGGGTGAAAGATTAGCATAGGACCTGATAAGGCAGTGCAAAAAAGATATGAGACCACAACATGCATTCTTGCGCTGGAATAAAATCTATAAATAGACCTGTCGTGTGTTCGTAACGTACAAACACAGTTAAGTTAGTCGAGAGTACTCATTCTCGTACCGTATTGTGTATATGTATTGCGACAGGTGATATTTCACAACCAGCCGATACTCGTTCTCAAAATTTTGTTAATCCTTTGCATCATACAAATTTGAAGTATATTCGACATGTTCACAAGTAAATACTAGTATCAGTTATTACAGGAGTCGCAATAGATTAATCCGTCGCAATGCATATACACTATACGGTAGTACAATCTCATGTCCGGATTGACCGTTCTTTTGGGAGCATGTCTACTTATAGATAGATCACTTTACACCTGATCTACTGTAAGTAGGACAAGAACACACCGATGGTCGCTGGTTCAGTCCCAGGTTTCCTCAGGTCCTTGGCATCGACACCAGGAAGCCTAGTTAGGGTCGAGTCAGAACCCTCCCCTTTCACTCAGTTTAACAGGGTAGTCCACTGAATACGATGCCAACACTCAGGCGGAGAAGGCCGTGCCGGAATAATCTATTTTCGTAAACCGAGGGTACAGCCAGCCATTACAGTATCTCATTGACCCCAATCACGTCCATGTCTTGGACGTGGCAACTCGTCGCATCACGTCGGAGTGAACTGCCTGTTCAACACTCATGGCTAACTCAAAACTCGATACTTTGGCTAACAGTAAGTGCCAAGTAATGGCGTATGTACCAATTAATGACTTATAAAACTAAGCCAATCACTTATGCCTAAATTGGAAATGCGCCAATCACAGAAGAAACCTCTGAATATGTATACTCGTAGCCATACAACACGGAAGGTTAAAATAATACGTCAACAATTGGCACACCATTTTATAGAGGTATCCCTTGGTTCGATGCCTAATTGTTGTGGGTTGAATCATTATCCGGAATTCACACGAGTATATCCGGATATCAACGTTACTTCCAAAATTCGCATGGTTTTCTTATCATTGACTGTGAGTAAAATTCTGATTACTTTAGCTGAATATACTTGCCCTTTCTTAAACATACCAGCAGCCAATCTAAAACTCTCAAAGTTGGATGTAGCCCAAACCGTCGATTACATTCGAGAATTGATTTTCCACATAGGGGGTGAGATTCGATTTCATGATGGGGTCTGGATACAGTTGTACCGACTGATATCCTTATTTTAGTGGATTAACTAAAAGGAGCATGGTGCTGATTTGGTCACGACAGGGCCAGCGTACGTGCGACCCAAGTGGGCCGAGTGTTCGGACCAGACATTCCGCGGGTGCACCGAGAGGATGCCGACCGAGAGGCCGACCCATGCGGCGCGCTGGGCCAGCCGCTCCGGCTCGTTCATGTTGACAGCGTCTAGCCAATGCTGGTAGCCAAAGTACGGGTACTGGGTCACGCACGTTTTGAAGAGGGCGTCGGCGTTGAGCAGTTCGGCCGTGAGCCGACCGGAGGCCACGTGCAGCACATGATCAATGCCTTCGTCGTTCAAGTACTTGGAGTAGCTGGCGGTGACCTTGGGCACTTTGGTGGCTTCGGCGACGATGATGGCTTTGAGGACATCCTTGACTGCTTGGGCGTTGGCGTATGGCTGGCTGGGCTGGTCGAGGGGGGCTTGGGGGGTGTTGTTCACGATCACCGACAACAGACCGGCTTCGCTCAACCGGAGAAAGTAGTGCACCGAGTTGCCGACGACGATCTTGACAATGTTGTGGCCCTTGATGAGTACCGTCTGGGTGCGCGACACCGGTGAGTACGTCCCAAACAAGTTGAGCCACGTCTTGGTAGCCGCGACCGTGCCGACTTCTCGAGCCTGCCACCACCCAGTGGTTTCGCCGCTGTCTCCAGCCGACAAGTACACAAACACAGACTTTGTTGTTGGCGATTTGATCGAGTTGTACACTGGCGCAGACATGAACAGCTCGTGGTCGTCTTCGTGAGCCGTGACGTACACGTCCACCTGCGACACTGTGGCCATCGTCGTCGGCAAAGTCTTGGGAATAATCCAGCCCAGTGTTGATGTGAGGTCGACTGTGGGGGTCAGTAACGTGCAAACTTTGGTCGTAGCATCAAACAACGCGCCAAAGCAGGTGGATTTCGACGGCACACACTGACGGTAGCAGTCGGGAGCTGTCGTCGCCGCCACAGCAACCCGAGCAACGTCAGCCCCAAACGACGAAGATGGCAGCACCACAGGCACTACGGGCGTATTGACCAATCCAAGGCTTTGACTGGCAGGGGTCGGGCTGAAGATGGTACACACCTTGGTGGACGCCACGTACGTAAACAGCACTTTGCTTTTCCCCGCAACCAACTTGGCGCATGCATCCAACGACGCTGCGCCAGGCATCATGTCGGTCACATATGCTCGGGGCAACGACGACATGGGCATGCGCGAGTACTGGACATTAGTGGACGAATCCACAGGCCACACGGCTTGGTTGACCCATCCCGCTACGACGTTGGCATCCGTGGACGGTTTCGGCTGAAAAAACGTGCACAGCTTGGAGCTAGCCGTGTAAACAATCCCAGCGCATGTGGATTTGGCTTGACATGCCTTGGCGCAGTCCGCACTGGACGTGACGTTGGCCTGCGTCCCCGACTTGAAGGCGTCGTCCAGAAGTTGGGGGTACGTTACGGCGACGGGGGCTTGGCCAGCGACGGGCGCCGACAGCATTTGCAACGACTTGTCGAGTGTGTTGTCGTGTACGAGACACACAAGCAACGACGGAAGGTACGTGAAGAAGTAGCCCTTGTACGCAGACGTAACCACCGCGCAGTCCCCCGCGGACGTGACGTTGATGTACGGCGCGAGTCCGATCGCAGCTTCGAGGCCACCAAACAGTTGAACGGCCCTGCCTTCGGTCGTTGACGACGGGCTAGCTAAGGTCTCTTCTTGGAACGATTCTACTTGGGACTGGACCATGGCGAGAATGCTCTGGTCGATCCACTGCCCCCCCTTGATGTAGTTGAACGCTATGGTCGGCAGGGGGAACTTGCCTTCGCTGCCACTGGTAATCGTAGAGAGGGGGGTGGTGGCTGCAGTTACCGGCAACACGGCGGCCACTGCACCCGGTACAGACGATGCCTCCCCCTTCTTGCTCTTAAGGTAACACATCCCGTTAGCCCACACGTACAACGAGCACCCCGGAGTGCGCTCGCAGTCCCCACAGCAGTCGGCGTGGTTGGCGCGGGAAGTGGCGAGAATGTCGTTGCCGGCGTAATCCACGTTCAGTTCGATTGTGGGGCATTTGGAAGGGGTGGGTGCAGGCGTGGGGATCAGAGGGAACGACGCCCGTGCACCGGGGTACGTAGACGGCTCCCCCTTCGAGCTCTTGAGGATGCAGAACCCTACATTGTCGCGAAGCACCCACACAAACACCACACATTTGGACGTGTTCCAACACGCCGAGCAACACTGGCCAATCGTGTCCAGTTGCAATGCGTCGCCAATGTCGTTACCAATGTAATCCGTGTTTTCTTCAACCACGGCGCACTGTGGCTGAACCACAGTGGGTGCCGGTGTAGGTGCAGATGTAGGTGCCGGTGTGGGTGCAGAGGTAGGTGCTGGCGTCGGTGCTGGGGTGGGTGCTGGCGTAGGTGCAGGAGTAGGTGCTGGGGTAGGCGCCGGAGTAGGTGCGGGGGTAGGTGCAGGAGATGGAGGGGCTAAATAAGAGGCCCTAGCACCAGGGTAGAAGCTTGGCTGCCCTTTGGAGCTTTTCAAGAGACACGTGCCGAGGCCATCTCGTAGAACCCACACATACGCAGCACATCCTTGCTGTCTGGAGCAAGCAGTGCAGCAGAGGTCGACGGTGTCCAGTTGAATGGGATCGCCCAGGTCATTGGCTGGCAAGTCGGTGTTTTCTTGAATGGCAGAACACGTATCAGCGGCGACGACGAGCTTGGCGGCTCGGGCACCTGGGAAGTACGACTTACTGGACGGCGTGCTCTTGAGGATGCAACGACCGGACGAGCCGTCCTGCACCCACACGTACAGCGTGCACGTTGGGGTGGCAGCGCAGTCCGCGCAGCAGCCGTCGGCCGTGGCCTGCGCCGTGATTCGAACGTCGTGCCCGATGTAATCGGTGTTTTCCTCGATAATAGGACATTGGGTAGTAGCGCCAAGCGTAGAGTCTGCTACCAAGCTCGCAGCAAGGGCGAGCGCGGCGCAGAGGGACCACATCGTCATGATGATGTTGATGCGGTGGGTTAAGCAAGGAATGCAAAATGAGTCGGCGAGATCAGAAACGAGAGGACCGCCGCCCAGCCTTTTCGCCGCAAATACATGTTGCATGTCACATCCCAACAGCATTGCAGACAAAATAGTCGGACATATCACCAACGTGATGGATGCTGACGTGTTTATGAGTGATTCTGGTTGTTATATACTAGTACATATAAAGTGACTGGGTAGTACAGATTTCTATGGGACGACCAAACCGTACTATATTGACACCACATAAGCCAAACTCGTGGATACTGTGATCCATAAGGTATACGATAGTTTATTCAAGGCCACGATAACGTCGTTGCCATGCCTGTAAGCAGTACCTTGGAAGGCTCATGTTGGTTGAAGTCTACTAGTATATCACGTGGGTAGCTCATGGTTACTTTGACCGCGTGGTGTCTTTTCAGACTAGCTACTACGTTTCAGTGACTCGGGATTATAGATTGGACCCAACGTTAATTGTGTTCAATGGTATGTTTAAATGCAAAAAAACGAATAAAACGTGAAATGGCGTAATACCTGTGTCTGACACATAATTCGCGACATCCTGATCATGCGATACGTAATGCTGGTGGACTGTACTGTACGTTTTGCTGAGTGTAGAACTGCGTTCGTTTCGTTCGGCGGCACCTTCACGAGGAGGAGGATGGGAACTCGGGCTATACAGTCGGCTTCACTACCGGTAGTCAGGGCCGCTAACACGTCTCCGTTGCGTTACATGTAATCTCAGTACTGAAATCACTACGGTAATCTCGACACATGTAGTACCTCCCTGACTATAGTGTACTCCGTATATGTTAGCTTAGGCAAGAAAGAGGCTAACGTAAGCTTAGCGTATTGGCATCCGATATACGCCGCCCCCCATGCGGCAGCGCCTTTACTAGCTTGCCACTTCCCCTTTCGTTTGGAGGTCGGGTGGGGATGTAGGGTTCACCCTCTTGGTATGGTAGAAAGCGATAGTTTGGTAGAGGGGGGTTCACAGTGTCAAGTGCACCCACAATTCGTCCTTTCGCCTGCCTGTGGTAGCTTATTGTATACCGCTTACGCTTTGGGCGCAGTCTCCTCGTGTGTTCGTCGTTTACTTCTTCAAACGTTAACGGTATTACTATACTGTAGTGCACTACTACGTAGTATGTACTTACTACTTGCGTACAATTTTTATCCGCCCATGAAGGTACTACAATTTTTACGAATAATTCCCCCACAACAGGTATACCCTACCTTCAAAATTCGTCCTTTGACTTGTTGTGGTACAGTAGCTTACGTAGAGTTCTTGGTGGGGGCAATTTAAGCGAGACTTTGGTGATTGTTCCTCCAAGTATACTGTAATGTTACTTGTAGAAACAAGTCCAGAAAAGTAATAGTTTCGCGTTGTTTGTGAGCATTTCTCTAGAACAACGACGATGTCGAAGGGTGTTATAATCATTGCATTGGACACACGCAGCAGTCGCGTGTTCGTTGTGCAACGCGCACGAGGCTGTCTTGGACACGACCGCGCTAATTAGTGCGGCCCATCGCAGCACCGGTTGTCATGCTGGTTGTAGACGTCAACTCCCAGCCACGCAGCTTGCTAACTACATCCAATCAATACTGTTAACTATACAACTTTTTTTTGTTTTTCGGAGAATGGCCATAATTCCTGACTGTGAGTCGTCCTTTTTGAATCCTGAAGTGCTAGACAATTTTCAGCGCAATTCACCAATTACAGTATTAACGCGCGATGTATTTCGAACAATTGAGCTGTATACAGCTCTGGAGTATTTACTCTCTACCATCGGTGCGTATTACTAGTACTACTGTAATCATCTGTAGCTTCGTTTATAAGTGCATAAACGGGAAACATTTCTACTCGTTAGCGCTTTAATTGTTTTGACTGCTCTTTCTACAGTGAAGTACTACTGTATTAATAGTATCATTTTAAATACTAACGTTAGTACTGTAATGCTCTCGATTTCCAAGTTATTAAGTGCGAATGAAGTCGCACCTAAGCGGTTCTTGGGCTAGAGCGAATACTGTATATTCCCAATATCATGATGGATACTCTGTTCCAATATGAGAGCGTCTTAGCTGACGACTTGATCGAAAACAGGTCAGAGTATATCTTTTGCAGCATATCATATTTTTTAACTTTTTATCTTAGCTTTTGTAAGCAACGGTAATTTTAATACATACTTGTAGTTTGTATACCCATAATAGAAATATTATAATAAAATAGATGCTAAACATTAAGGATGAACAACTCGGACGCCTTGTCGACACCTTTGCAGGACGAATTAACACATTCAAGCCATGCCAAGACTGCGGCGACCTTACTAGGGGTCATGTTGATATCTGGTAACATGGGAAGCTAATTATTGGCACTTAATACGCGCAAATGCTGAGAATACAGCGCTCCACTCGAATCACAAGCTTGGAGCGACCTCACGAGCACATCTGGATGCCTACACGAGATGCAACTGGATGGGGAGAGGTACAGTAAGGACATCACACGAGCATACTATCTTAAGCTTACAAAAATGCAATCACTATCGACTTTGCACCGTAAGATTTTCTGGTTTGAAAAATAAGGTCACAAAGTTTTGGGGTCATGACGCACTAACTACTTTGACTTTTCCGGAACATGAGGTATCAAATCAAAGCTGGAATGTATATCTATCGAATGAGCCAATCCAATTGCGATTACGAGGAGAAATGTAAACTTTAGTCCAATCAGAAGTGAAGTGCTGCAATAATTATGGAACGGAATAGTACCAATACTATGATGTCAAATACAGCTGTATCATAGCCAATGTTATGCTATACAGTAGTTTTGCTGGCCACGTACCATGTAAACTTACATTGGCTAACATTATTGGGCTACAGGCAGTAGTAGTGTATACGAGTTTCCCACACGATGAGACTACGCTCAAGGCTTACAAAATCACCGTAGCGTGGTGGAATTGCATTGTGAAATCGCACTGTTGAACCCGTCGTTATTTCGAAGACAACGCAAAAGACAAGATCATCATCCTACGGACTCCCACCAACAATTTCTTCTTGCCTGTTCAAAATACAACCACTTTTGGTTTTTAACTTGGATCACTATCCGTTTTACACTGTGATGTGGGTCGAATACTCGTAACGAAAGAAGTACTGTACGTCTAGTACCACTAACTACTGTACGACTGCAACCCAGTATATTATTGGGTTCGTGTTACAACTTGGTTGGCTCGTTTATAGGCAAATAAACTACGCCAGGGCTGCCAACACAGCAATTAATACAGACGCTAGGGTGATACCGAAGGTGGCTGCCGTGTTCCCCACTCCGGGGGGAAACATAATGGTTGGAGGAGCATCCGTGGTTTCCTGCGTCGAGTTTGCCGCATTTTGAATCGCCCGATCGTTGACAAGGGTGATGTAGGCAGCCATGGAGGTCGTGTACCTGTTGGTGGCCACTGTTTGGCCGGCGAGGACGTCCGTGTAGGTGCAGGGCGGGGACGTGTTGACTATCGACATGGCCAAATTGCCATACCACAACCGGCAGGCAGTTGACGCCAGCACTCTGGAAATCGTTGCACTCGAGATGGGGACCTTTCCAAGGCGTGTGAGGCCGCTTTGACCAGTGCCGCCACCACCAGGAACAAACTCCGGTACATCTTGCGCACATGCGACTGCGTTCATATTTGCGAGGGATCTGTACGTGGCGCTGGCCACCAGGGCCCCGCATGTTTGCAGATTGAACGGCGACGTGAATCCTGCAGTAGGCGTGGGTGTTGTGGCAGACGACGCCACAACGATGCCTGCGAAACCAGCATATCGATGTGCCACCATGCTCACGAGAAGTTAACGGCGGCGAATGGGGGGAAAACTTGTCAACGAATGTAATATTGTCGACCCGAGTTGGTACTCGATGTATTGGTGGTGCTATAAATAAAACGAATCCATTCAACGCAAGGTTCGTTGCAGTAGATGTACAGTAGTCCTGTGCATTTACAGTTCATAAACCAAGGTATTTCTTGAGGTTACTATTAATGTATACGTATATTACTAAGATTAGTATATGAACTGCATCATGGTAGGGCACACAGGGTAAGGTTACATACTTGTATGTTGTGCAGTGGTGATTCTCTGGTCATGAGATTGTATTACGATTACTTGACTCAATCGAGCCCACAATCCGACGACCATAGTTGACCAATCACCTGTGCTTCTACATGGTTCTGCGCTCGGATTGGCTGTTGGACGAAACGGCTAAAATGTTCAACAAAGCTTGTGGTCCAAGAAAGATGAGGCCATACTGATCAATATATCGCCATTATTTGTTGGGCCTGATGGGATTATGCCCGCGGTGCCTACGCGCTCAACGATCTTCCTCCTGTACTTTATGTTCGTTAGTACTGCTCCGGAGTCGTTCAATCGAATCTATCTCCAGGTGTGGAACGTCCTGTCCACAAACACAAAGAGCAGGTGGCACCGCAAGCCGCCGATGGGAAGCTGCACCAGTTCGTACCTAGTTTATGACATGTCATCGTACGATACTACTACTGTAGTATAACGTGCCAAAACAAGCGGTTGCGCTGCCGCCCGCCGATCACGCCACCACACACTTCGTCGTCGTAAATCTGGCGGCATCACCAGCATACAGCGCGTGATGTGGGTCGTTGGTCCACAGTGAGGAATTTTCCCCCAGCATACAGCGCGTGATGTGGGTTGTTGGTCCACAGTGAGGAATTTTCCCACCGCTACTTGATGGGATAAGTAAAACAACATTAGAAGTAACTTAGCGGTATTTCACTTGCGCCGGAGCTCCCGCTTATTCTACACCTCCTAAGTCATTTCACAACGTCAGACTAGTGAAAATTCACATACTCGTGCCGAGCGTTCACAAGGGCATATTGGGTGGTGTGTGCGTTCACCTCGGACACAATGTACAAGAAAACACACAACAATGGTGGTGGTGGTGGGGAAAATACCCATTTTCAAACGGATATGTGACGTTACTTTGGGAAGAGTGCGGCAGTATTGAGGGATCAGACAATAATGGGCAGGCAGCAATGTCAAGTCAAACGCAGCTAAATACTGGTCCAACGAGCAGCACACAAGTCGCCTTGTCGACGAAATACACCGGCAAAGGTGTCGTGAGTCCAAACAAGATGGAAGTCTGGGGCCACATCTTCGTTCCAAGAACCCATGGAGGGAAAACATAGTGTCCGAGTTGTAGTACATTTGCTGGGTAATCGACCCACTGCTTGCCGAGGGCACGCGACACGGGGTGGGCTAGCAACGATGTGCTTCGCCACGTCGGCACCGTTGCATCCGGCTGTCTCTAAGATGTTATGTCGATCTATCTTGTCGTGATTTTGTTAACTGTGAAAGCAGGATCGTTCGTATGGGGGAGTGCGCATCCACCCACTGAATCATCTACGCCAGCACGGTTTTGTACACATCGATGCACGCTTGTAGGGCCGACGTGTGAGCTATCGCGTCGTGCGTGGCATCCTTGACAGCTCGGGCCACATCCATCCAAGGTAAACAGCGTGGCTGCTTGGAAAACGAGTTGGAAAGGTGCTGCTGCCGACGACGACGTTCCAGTTGTTCGATCAAGTCGTTCGGAGACGCCAGTTCCTGCCGCTTTTGAGACCAAGGTACGCAGTCATGCGTTCAGCCTGGCCATCTCGATGGGACTTCCGCTTGGCACGAGGAGCAACGGGTGGCGCCGCGACATAAACTGAAGGACCTGAAGCTTCAATGTTGATTTCTCGGTGAGGATATGTCGTTGTTTGGGTGATGGCGGCAGCAAGTCGGACCATGCGATCGCCGCCCTCGGTCAACATGTACGACAATAACGGTAAGCTTAGTGAAAGTGATAGCGACATGATTTCGTTCTATATTTTCATCACAGTCAGGTGGTTCTATATTTTTGATATAATATTTGAGAAATATTCAGATTATTGGCGGAAATATTTCAGGCTTTGGGCAAAACATGATTCGAAATCCGTCACGAAATTGGAGCAAAAATGTAGAAAAAGTCGGAATTATTATCCTGCTCTTATCCGGATTTGTTGATGATTGTATATCCGGAGGAGCTCGCTTCCTTGACACTCGCGAAGATGCCAAAGTTTTACGGCCGCGGACAATGGGACCCCAAGCTCATCTTCCTCCAGATCGTGTGCATGCAGGTAGGTGCTGCTATCTCATGAGCCGCCCTCCATGTCTCGTCTCAAGAGCATGTAGTGCTCGCATTACCTGGCGCTGGGTCTGCTCCTCGCCCTCTTCCACGGACGCAACATCACGATGGACCAGTTCTTCTCGTACAAGTTTCATGCGTTTGAAAGCATCGATGGGATGCAGACATCGACGGCGCATGTGTTGGGCGGCCTCTGGAGCGCGCTCTTTCTGTGTGTGATTGTCGAGCGGGCGAAGAAATGCCTCGACTTTGGTCTCACGCTATACTTTATTGACTTTGTTTTCTGTTGTCTCTACGGGGTACCTTCATCTTTGTCAGTCCACTCGATCATGATCACATGCGAACGATGCGTAGGGCGTTCCATCGAGCCTGAGCTGGTGGGCCGTGCACGTCATTTCGCTTGGCATTACAGTCGTGCTCGGTAGGTCCGTCTTTGAGTTTTCATCCCCGATATATTGCACGTGTCCGTAGGCGAGTACTTGTGTTCGGTGCGCGAACTCCAAGAGATCCCCATGCTCGACTTGTTCACGCATCGCCGCCCCCACTCCCCGACCAAGTCGTCGTATGCTCCTCTGCCTACCTCGAACAATACCATAGCCCCCGAAAAGCAATCTTAACGCAATCCTAGTACTACATACACACTTACAGCAGTCTTCACCTCACCATGTCTAACGTCATGTCGTACATGACGTTCATACACACTTACAGCAGTCTTCACCTCACCATGTCTAACGTCATGTACGATATCATCGACGTAAACACCCCTGCATATACATCACTAGGGATTGGGAAATCGTCATCCAAGATATATATCTTCTTTTTTGTGTCGATTCGTATCTAGATTTAAAAGAAATAATATATGGTATCGCTTATCGAAAAGCTATCTCGATATAATATCGTATCGATCGCAATGGAGCAAAATATCATATCGATATCGCCACGCCACTATTGGATATTCGATATATATATATCATATATATCGCATGTATATCGTGGTTGTGTACACTAACATACTAGGATGAAGTACACAACCATGCACAATATATATATCGAAATCGAATGTGAAACACGATAATATATCTATATCGAATGGATGCCTTGGATATTATATCGATATCGCACGTGTCATATCCGGCAATAAGTATTGTTGCACGATACGATATTATCGAGAAATAACGATATATTTTTCCGCATCGCTGAACACCACTTTGATGGAACTCTTATCCCATGAGCATGTTGCTACCCACTCCGCGACTTCCCATGCACCTGTTTGCAAGCTAACTTAGTACTATGTACGTAGTACCATACTTCCGAAATGCCAAATGTACATACTAGTTACCGTAGTATGCTTATCCGGTTCACTTGCACGCGACAACCGGACGTTTCAATGTACATAGGTATGTATTAATAACAGTAAAGTAACGTTATCGTAAAAACCAACATTTTAACATTTAATACTTCGAGTAAATATATATATAAATTATATTGAATGGCAGTATTGTATAGTATCATTTAATACTTCCAGTACTGTAAATATATATATATATTATATTGACTGGCAGTATTGTATAGTATCCGTCTCCCAGTCGTCCGCAATCTTCAAGTGACAAGGCACAACGAACTCGTTGACATGCAGTATACAAACTAATATTTGTAAATAGCTAGTAGGTGGACAAAACACTCCTCTAGAAATCGCAGGAATCTACTACTAGTACTAGTACTAGTACTACATCTATGCAGCCACAGCCCCATCTATCTCGTCCGGGCGACCAAGCACTCCATTGAGGATGTGCAGCTGCACTGTGTATGACGACTCCAAAGCGGCCAGCGCCATATTGAACGACGTTTCAACGCCCTGGAGCTTGGTCAGCGCGCCGCCGGCGAGGGCCGCCACGACGAAGTCCACGGTGGGCTCCCTTAGCATGGCCTTGGGCACCATGAGTTGCTCAATCTCGCCAAACAAGTTGAGACTGGTTAAGATCGTGCGGCTCGATAGATCCACACACTTCGATAAGTCCAACCGCTTCAATGTCCCCGCCTAAGTGTTGACCAGTTAGCTTCCATGGAGGACATTAGCCTCCTTTTAGCCAAACATGACATGAGGTAGCTAGCTGGCTACAGTAGACAGAGGTAGCTACTAGCTACGTCCAAGGAATAAACAACACACAATGGGTACAACAATATATAACCCAGGTTATTAGGTACTATAGTAGTAGTAGTACACAGTATGGTTCAAGTCGATTCCAAAGGTCTTTGAAGTGGCGTGGGCTCAATCGAATATGACCAGCAGCCTCAAATCGACCGACAATATCGATCGACCAATCAAAAACAACCCACAACACAAATCCAGTAGCCAATCAAATTCTACCTTCTTCAACAACCAATTCCACATTGAATTCGTATGTATCTGAACTTGTATTCGTGTGAAAATACTTCCATCCAAAAAATTCAGTCCACTTAATATATCGATGGAATTTGGCAAAAAAGCCACAAAAAAGCCGCAATTTTCGCGATATTAGGATCATCAAAATATACCTATCGTAGAGGTCTGTCTGCTGCTACTCCTAGCTACACCATATATTTTGCATTCGAAGTTGGTTAGTCCAATCAAAGAGCGGCAAGCAATCGACTAGCCAATGAAATTTCTTCAAGCCTAAATTCCAACCAATGGTAGTCCGACCAATGCTTTCCCCCCAGTTAAACTATTTAGATACCATTTTCGTATGGTATACATCGTATGGTATATAACTGTGCTTTGATTTGTCGAATAAACTGCCCAGTCCAATATGTGACTAAAATCGGCAATATATACTCGATGATTAAGAGTGTATATATGTAGTATACCTGCGATATGGCGACACTTTGGAGCCATCGAGAGGTTGCGTTGCGAGGTGCGGAAATGGATCCGTAGCGGGCGAGCGCCATCTGCGACGACGTCAGCGGTCCATCTAGAAACGGATGGACGAGGTGGGACGACAGGGGAAGCAGTAGCATCCCCTTCCCCCTCCCCTTCCCCCTCCTCGTCGAGCTTTGAGACGCTTCGTCCTTGAATTGAAAATGTCGTCGCTGGGTAGACTCGATGACTCGTTGCGGTGCCGCCATATACCGAGGCAATTCCGCGGCATACCATTGATTAATCGACTCCATAAACGTGTGGCTGTCGACGGCGTCGTCGGCGTCCACAGGCAGCACCGAGTCCCCCGTCGTTGGGCGGTCAAAGTACGGATGCCGAAGCAGCGGCGCCATGGACGGGGCCCCCGTATACACCAAGTGAGCGGCGCATTGCAGCATCGCACGGCAATCTACCCATCATTCCGCACACCCATGTGAGAACTGCCGGCGCTGAGACACTGTGCACGTGTGTGTGTATGGCGAAGCAAGTGTCTGATATGATCAAGTCGAAATTCGAAATGAATTAGATTGTGGGTATGAGCAGCAGAATCACCAAATCGAAGGCACAGAATCGATATATCGACCAATCAAAAACCCCAGATCACGAATTAACGAGCCAATCAAATCCACTCGTCGACCAAGTATCAACCACGACGTAGTGTGTGACGACTTCAATTAGTGTGATACAGAACCCTTTTTACATGCAAAAAAGTCTGTACAACGAATCGATATATCGATACATTTGGCAAAGAATCAAAAGTCAACCAAATTTGGGGCAAAATAAAGACAATATATCATAAAACAACACACACACACACATCGACGACGAAATCGATTGTTAAAACTATATATATATATATATAATGATATTTCGCTCTCTATATATACATACAATGTACCTGGTAAAAGGCTCGCGGTGGGCTGCCGGAGCGTCCGCCACAAAGAGCGCGGACTCGCAACATTTGGGGGGTTGGGAGGGGGAGCCACAGTCAAGTCGACCAGAGGGGCGTCGGCAGTCACCCATCGCCCTCGGCTGCATATATCGAGCACACAATGCATGAAAGACACGAGCATGATCAAGGGCGGCGACGGCGCGCTGTCACGCAGGCCTTCGTCGTCGTCGAGGGCGTGGCGGCGCAGTCCCCCATCCCCCCGCGGCTTCTTCATGCATGTCCAGAAGCGGTTGTGGAATGACTCGTCCATGTGATGCAAGTTGAGGGGGGGGGCTGCTACACATGGACATGCACAGGATCAGCATGGATCGGTATTGTGGTGTTTATACTCCAAACTGGAACGTCATGGCAATGAATGAATCGACACAACCAACATATGTACACAAGAACCATTGGTTTAGCCAATCCGAAACCATCCTCCTCAACGTCGAATTTAGTGTGTGACCTCAATTAGTGTAATACCCCCAATCCCCACAAGGCACGTTTTATATTCAAAAGTTATCAGTACAAATAGAACCGATTGATAGATTTGGCAAAAAATTAGCACACAAAAGTCAATCCAATTTTGGGTAAAATAAACACAATATTCGAGACGGACTCGGCGACATGTTATAGTGTTTATATTGTTTAAACTGGAGAACGTGGAATAAATATCAAATGTACAAAAGTGTATTTGGCCAATCCGATTGCAGGACACCATCCTCAACATCTAATTAGTGTGTGAACTTCATTTAGTGTGATTATAATCCCCTTTTGATATATACACGTCAAATTTGCATCGATCGATCGATATTGTTTTCATGCCAGAATCGAATGTGTTAATTCAAGAACCGCCTAAGCCAATCAAATCACGTTCTAGTAAATCTCGGCCAATCCAAACGTTTGCCGTATTGGGCAAAACCATATATATATAGATAGACTAATCTTTGTATAGTTCGTACAAGTCTTAAATTCGACGATCAAATAGATTATTCGAATGCAACCACTGTATTTCGCAAAAAAACTCACAATTTGGGTGAAATGGCACAATAGGTTTGGCGAAATTTTAGGTAAAAGGACAATACCTCCTTGGACTCCTGGATCGCGGCGCGGCGGAAGACGTTTGATGAACGCATGGCCGGCGACTTGCAACAGCGGGACGGCCATCGTTCCATGATCATCATGATCGGCAAGTATTTGGTCGACGGCGGGTGATCCGTTGGGTTCCAGCGTTTTGATGGGATGCAAGGCGATCGTGCGGATGCTGACCTTGTGATGTGTCAGCCCTGAAGCTTCCAGCGCGACCAGACCATGTAAAAGTTGATGGAGCAGCGATCGAAGCACGTCGGTCGACGCGGGCGGCGGCGGCGGCGTCGTGGCCGTCCACCGACGAAGCCACGAGCGGAGCGATAGACACGAACCAGTAAAGTCTTCGTCGAACAGGCTATTTTCCATCGAAGAAAGAGGGCGGAGGACGAGGTCGGCGCGATCTTCGCGGTGCAGTTGGACGCGCTGCACGTGGATAGACACTACTGACGTGGTTTCCAGCAGATGCAGCGTGGCTAAGGGTTCATTTCCGTCGGGAGGCGTCGACTCGTCGATTGTGTGCTCGGCGTGTATGTTGTCCAACGCTCGCCCGAGCAATGGGCCGTCACCTAACCCGCTCAGCCGGAACAGCATGTACACTTGGATATTTGGCATGATGGAAGGCTGGGGAGGTAGAGAGAGAAGCAGGCGGAGGGGATATCCTTCCACGGGAGTCGTCATAAATTTCTCCCAGAGTCCGTCTTGTCGACACAGCGAAGTCCATCGATGACATACCATCGACGCACGCAGCACGAGGTCCTGTGCGTCAAGGAAGTCTAGAACCAACGATTCCATGCTGCCGAGACGGGCGAGTCCGCCGCTCGGATTTGCTTCTCGGTCCACGTCCCCTCGATGCAGCACCAGAGTGGTCTTGAACGCGTTGGACGGGACAACGTGCAGCCGACCGCGCAACAGACGCAACGCATCCAGCTTCACGCTGGTGTTGCGATGCTGTACACGCATGGGGTTCTCCTCCAAGTTGTGTGGCATGTACGCTGTGGGTGGCGCTTCGTAGGTAGTAGTATGCGTCGGGAACGGCAATGCTGGCGCAACTTCCATGGCGGCTTTTCCAGTACTGTTGTATGGGTACGTAGGAATCTGTTTCGAAATTGTTTTAAAATAGATTAAATGAAATTGCATACAAACTACAAGTAGTTGGTGGTGATAAGATGGTTTTTTAAAATATACTGTGGCCTTTGAAACGAACTTTTTGTCGAAGCTCTTTTGCCCTCATATATATATACTACTGTAGTATATATATATATATATATATATATATATATCCCTCTGAGAAATACGGAATGTCCATACAATTATGCATACTACAGCACTGTAGTACTAGTACTGTAGTATTAAATTAATACCACAACAGCTAATATTATAATGTTGTTTAGTTTCTCAAAGCTATTATTAATAGTATATACACTCATTCTACTCCGAGATATACGTACTATATAATACAGTACGTATACATTTGGCAAGAATACTTTTGTGATCCTGAACAATCAATGAATAACGAAAGCTATTTCTGCAATCGATGGAGCATTATATTTTGACGTTAAGAAGCCGTAACATTTGCTATTTTCGTGTAGGATTCTGTAGAAGCCATATACTAGTAAGTAGCTACGGTGGTCTGACCACCTTCCAGAGCATGATGTGCATCCTTTGTGATAGTACGTACAGTGGTTGCCGGTAAAACCCGGCCAGTGCAACTTTTGCCCATGACTTGAAAATACTATGTTCAGTGGTATGGCGCACAATCAAAATATAATGAAAATCACTTCGTGCAACTCCGTGAAGACGACATGTATTGGCTAAAACTAAAGTCAGTGAGTCCGGATAATGCGCGTCGCACGCGTCGCAAAACCGGATAACGCGCATATTCGAGTGTCCGCAACAATCTTACACAATACATGACCATCAAATTGTACTAGTAATGAATTAAATCTCAAGTACTGATGGGATCGCTTTATCAAAGGCTTTCACAATCGTGTCTGTCGAAATACGATCCCAGATCTTAATCGTCCGTTTCACTGTGGCCAAACGCTTCTCTTGTGCCGTCAAGATGTCGCCGTTGCGTTCGTCGTCTTCTAGCAACCACGCTGTCTTCAGCATGGCCTTCAAAGGACCCATCACGCCGACATCAAGCGGCTGACACCGGCTGGTCGAGTTGGGTGGCAGTGGCTCCAGAACACTGAACATCGTCTCGCGCTGGCCATTTGTGTATCGCGTCTGTTTTCCCTTGGTTGTGCTCATTTGGAAATGCGTGCTGGACTTGCTGACAGATTTGAAAAGCGTCATTTGTAGATTTGAATCGAGCCAATTAGAGGCAAGCGACTTTGTGATTGGTTATCGAATATTCCCATGAAGTTATCCAATCAAAACACAGAATCATACATCCCTACTTTTGGTTATTTATTTAAATTTTGGAGAGTTGCCCTGGCCGGGTTTTACCAGCAACCACTGTACTGTAGGTATAGATAATAAGTACCACGTACCACATTCATCTACAAGCCCAGCCCCATCGCTTGTTCCATCGATGTGTCAATATACAGTAATTAGTAGAAAACCAATCGACATCGAAGAGTGTAAATAGGCATCGCTGGCGTCATTGCATGTTGTCCGTTTCGCTCGAATTTGAACTGGCAGCTAATTTAGAATTTACAAGCCACATGTTAAGCTTATTTAATCTAGAGTATACACTGTGGAAGATGAACATTTCGACTGGGCCAATCTGTTGGGCCAAACTTTACTAATCGATGATTGGTTGAAATTTCGCGTGTTTGTGCACTTTGATTGGCTCGGTCATTCTAGAGTAGAGTTGTTGGACTTACGGCAATAACTGTTAGGTCACGTCTTAACTGTTAACCACGAAATTCGCTCTGTTAGCTTAATACTGCGCCTATTGTTAGACCGTCGACGCGGCCATCCGTCGTCGTTCCGCATTTTCGTCAGCGTACACCATGATTGCTTCATGCAGCTGACTCAGTTGATCATGGATCTGCTCCAACATCGTCTGCAAAACAGTCATACCCTGCAGCCCACCACACAATATTATATCCTTCCATCACGCGATTCAAAAATATATATATATATATTCCGACCTCTGCACGTCGACTGGCGTTCTTTTCATACGCTGGCACATGGTACGTCCCCGTGATTGCCTTGGCCCGATGCAACACATTTTCCACTGCATACGCCTGGGCACAACATCCAAAGTTGCATTTGACCATGAATGTGTTTATATATACATATATTTAATTATATATATATATATATATTCGTGTACCTTGTCCAGGAGCGACCATTCGCTTAGTAAGGCTGCGTGTTGGGTCTGTCGAGCCACGAAATCTTCGTCGGTTGCAATCGGTAGCACCGTTCCTACCTTTTTGTATCAGTCTCCACCAATAATCATACCTGTGTGTGCTTTTAATATAGAAAACTATATTGTTGAGTGTTTATATATCTAAACTGGAGCAACATGGAGAATGAATCGACACTACCAAATCAATGTACACAAGAATCATTGGCAGTAGGGTTTAGCCAATCAGATTGCAGCAAATGATCATCAACGTCGAATTAGTGTGGGACTTCAATTAGTGTGATACACATCACCACAGGATACCTGTGTTTACATTCAAAATGTCAGTACAAAGAAGAATCGATCGCTAGATTTGGCGATTCAGCACAAAAGTAAACCAAATTTTGGGTAAAAGGACAATATCGAATAGACATGACAATATATATATATATGGATACAGTACGTGGCACGGCAACGTGATGCTTGAACACTGCTTCCACTTCCGGGGTAAACGTGGACAAAGCATTCAAAGCCACTGATAACACCCGTCGCTTGGCGCGAATGAGCGGCGGGCCGTCGCTTGTCGTCCGCACTGGAACCAGCAGGTTCTCTACATACATTACTATTATAAAAAAAACAGAAGCACGAGTAGCATGCATATATATGTATCTAATTAACCAGGTGATGGCGGCTGCTTGGCCTCCAAGTGGTTCTCTTCTTGCGGGTCTGGCTGGCTGGTACATTTGTCGACACTGTCAGCTTGGGTGGTTGAACTTATTGGAGGAATCGAAGCCTTGGGCTTCTTGGCCGCCGTGGCTTTGCGAGTGGACGACGGAGCCCCTCGAACTGCGGCGCTTTTTCTTGCTTTCTTTTTTACCACGGTTTCTATCCACGGTATAAAGTGAAAAACGTGTTGTTTGATGTATGCCGCCAAACAAATGTGGAGACACACGACTATTGTGAATTACTCGCTATAAACTTCCAAACTTGGCGTGGTTTGACTATAATCAATATTGAATCACACTGGAGTTGTTGTGATTGGTTGAATATACTAGTCCTTTCTGTAAGAGCCAATCAAATAATCCACTCAAAATTGGATTAGCCAATAGCGTCGATCCGTGATTCGATTTGGCGGCGAGATACTATTCGATTCGATGGGGCCAGGAAATTCGTATCGAATTCATAATATTATCGTTTAATAGATCGAAAAAAAAAAAGTTTATTTGTGTATTTTCAAAACTGGAGTGACATGTGGAATGGATCGACACATGGGCAGACGAATTTAGCCAATCAGATTGCAGGGAATCATCGGTTCAATTTACAGAAACAATAAATTAGTGTGATGGGCATCACCGCAGGACACTGTTTTACATCTAAAATTCAGTCTAAAGGTCAATAGATGGATGGATTTGGCGCACATTAGCATAAAAGTCCAAGTTTTGGCTGAATGGGGACAATATTGACGATTCGAATTTGGAGTGTGTGTGGGGGGGGGGTCAATCGATTGAGCAAAATCGACAGACAATCGACCGACCAATCAAAACCCAAAACACAAATCAAGGGACCAATCAAATACACTCGTCTTCAACCATCGAAAATTCGTGTGTGTGATTTCAAATAGTGTGATGGCTTCACGATACAAAATTCAGTATACAGAACCGACCGATGGATTTGGTGAAGAATCCGTACACAAAATCCAACTTTTATGGCTATATGCACAATACGAATAAAAAACCATGGAATATTGTCCAATCGAGTGAAATTTCGTGTTGTGGTTTCTCGTTGGAATTTAAATCGATTTGATTGGCTACCTCAGATGAGCTCAAAATTATTAGCCAATCAAAACCTTCTCAATGAAATTCAACAACCAATCAGATCGATTGTGGATCGGTTTGATTCGATAGCACCCCCTCCCCAAATTTCTATCAAATCGACAATATTGTCCAATCGATTCGAAACTGGAGCCGTCAGCAGAATAGTCGAATGTATTAATAGAATCGATTAACGAACCGCCTTAGCCAATCAAAATCATCGAGCTGTCGCATTTCTGCCAATCCAAACGTTTGATCCCTCCGCATGGGGCAAAACAGTATATATATATACTAATCGTTGTATTGTATATAGTCTGTACAAGATGAAATACTAGTAGATTCGAAAGCTAGTTGGCGAAAGGACTCTCTCAAGTCCAAATTTGAGTGAAATGTACAATATATAATTATGTATACTCTCAAGTACCACAACATGCATACCCTCAAACGAACAAGAGTACACTCGAAGCTGAAATCATAAAAGCCAATGCGAGTACCTTCGACGGCATCCGTGGAAGCGGCGGCGGGATGGGGCGATGCGCTGCTTGCAGGCGGACGAAGGTGCCGCAACTCGTCCTTGTCAATGGCCAGCGTCATGTTTTGCAGGACTTCGGGCGTCAACGCGGACGGCAGACGTCTGAAGGACAAGTCAGTTGACCACTGATGTGATGAATGAATATATGCACCTCTTTCGCGTCGAGGTTGAGAGGGCGGAGACTGTGGACTTGAGAGATGATGGATCGAGGTAGATGACTTGGCGCTTGAGACGGGCTTTGGTCTTGCTTCCGGTCGCGGGTTTGTCGTCGAGCAAGATGGAACTGCGCGCCTTCGAGTCGACGACGCACTGCGCATGTCGATCTTTCAGACGATCCTTCTCCGTCCCATCGAGCATGCGTTGGACGAGAAGTTTCTTCGCAATGCGACCAGTCTACACGAACAACGTGAGGGATGGAGGGAGTACGCTAGTGTGACACAGACCTCGTGGAACGCGTACCCTTCGCCACCACCAGCAGACGAAGACGGTTGTTCCCGCTTGAGCGTGCATAAATGACTCACAGATCGATCTTCCTGGAACGACAGCAGCTCAAACGACTCGCCATCCACTCGCAGCACGCTCGTTTCGGTCTTTTCCGCGGCGAATCGGATCGACACCGACCCGGCTTGCAGCTTTTGCAGGACTTCTGGCGTGAGTTTGATGGTGGCAGCCCATTTCAACGTACTTGGATCCGTTGCATGATGAAGCGCATACTACCATCAAGAACATTGTTAGGATTCGTACATCCGAGCGCTCCATGTTGAGCGGGCAACGCACCTTCGTGTCGGGCTCCATGAGCGCTTTGTGGTGGTTGATAAATTCACAGGTTTCATATCCGGACAATCGTCACATATCCGGATACCCTCCTCGTTGAAGTTGTTGACCTGGCATTTCCCTTGTTGTTCTTGCCTTAGCCAGTGAAGTCCAGATCATGCTCGACTTGATACACATGTCACCAAGATCCATCAACACATGACGAACAAGTCGATGCGTACATATCGTCATCTCACTATACACTACAACACTTGCTCCTTCGTCCATATATATCCCAACCCTCAACAAGGGAAAAACATACTTCACATATTTCAAATGTCTATTTCACACCGACCAAATGTCTATCGCGCCACGCCCTCGGCGGTTTTGTCCAAGACATACATATCGTCGTTTTTAGGTATGGCATGCTTTGGTGCTAGAGATGGAGTGGTCGATGTACTGCCGACCAAACGTGTGCGCGTGGTCTAGCCATGGGGGGTACCCTAAGGGGTACTCGTCTTGCACGACCTTACTCATGACCATCCACATGTGACGCTGGTACATTCGGAACGGATCGGTCATGGTTTCGCTGTGTCGCCACCTTTGGTACCCAAAGTAGTAGCGCTGGTTCAAGCAGTCTTGCCAGAGGGGCACCGACTGGATCACAGTGTTCGCGACAAACTGCCCCGTCGCCATGTGCAGCTCATGGTCGAGCTCGTCGTCGTCGTGGGGGGAGACAGCCCACGACTGGGCGCCGACACTCACGTCTGCGACACCGTACGCCTCGGTCTTGATGATCGCGCGCACGATAGCGTGGACATCCTGTAGATGCAGTTCCATAGCGGCTGTCGTCAGGTTGTTGTCATCTTGCGATCGAGTTAATACCGGGCTAGTCTTACTACCCTTGGGGTCTTGCTCAAAGAGCAAATCGTTCCAACCAGCTTCACTGAGCCGTAAAAAGTACTGGACCAGTCGCGACGGCGGCGATCCCACAGTCACTTGGAGGACGGGATATCCGTCCATTTGCACCTGTTGTTCGTGAACCTCGTCATCCCCGTTGTCGGCTTCGTCGTTGCCCGACGTCCGAGTCACCCTCGCGATGAATTGCAATGCCGCCACCGCGCCCGCTTCCCGGGCCTCCCACCACCCGTCGGCTCGTCCCGCATCTCCCGCTGTGACGCACACAAACACAACTTTAGCCGTTGGGTCTTCCACCATCGCCGTCAGGACGTCCTGCATCATGAACAGCAGCGAGTCGTCTGGGTGCGCCAAGATGAAGAAATGCACCTTGGATGGTGGTGATAGTGATGTTGGTGGTGGTGGTGATCGCATCTGTGTACTGTCCACTTGACTTTTTGTCGAAGTGGTGTTGGTGGTATCAACAACCATCGAGGGTGGTGAGATCCACCCGGCGATGGCTTGGACATGGCCAGGTGCGTCCTTGGGTCCATATAATACGCACGCATGGGTATGATTGCTGGCATTCCAACGACTGGCGGCGCACGACGAGCTCGCTCCACACGCAGTGTCACAGGCGTCGACCGAGTCTGCGGCTTTGGTGGCTTGTTCAAACATAACAAGAACTGACAATGGAACGACAGCTGCAGACTCGGTCGACGTCGGCGGTATCCTAGCGGCTGATGAGTTGGTGGTGGCCAGAGATGGCGGTGGCGCCCGTCGCAAGCGGATCGTGGAAGCGTTAGACGGAGACGACTGCAACGGAATGCACAGTTGAGACGTGGGTAAGTACGTAAAGAACACGAGCGCAAACACGGACGTGATTTGAGCGCACTCACCGACCGATTCCACGTGGTGAAACGGGGTGATGTTGTCGCCGCGCTCGTCCAGCAGCGGCGACTGGAAGAGCGGGTTGCCGTCCGTGAGGTTCACCGTGAACAGCTCCAAGGGGTACGCGGTAGTGGCCCACATGGCATGGGCCATGGTGTGGAACGCGACTGTTGGCAGTGGATGTGCTCCCACTTGGTGATCTTGAATCGGCGACGTGGACGTTGGAGACAAGGACGTTGGCGCGTCTGAAGATGGAGGCGCGGACGACATCAATCGACCAGCCACGGCGCCGTTGTGAGCTGGCACAGTACTCTTTGCGAACGATTTGAGGTAGCACGTGCCGCCCTGCTTTTTTGTCCAGACGAATCGGTCACATGGTGGCAAGGCACGGCAGTCCACCGCGCATCCGTCGATAGACGTTTGGGACGTGGAATGGAGGTCACCACCCACGTATAACTTGTTGTCTTCCAGAATCTCCCAGTCGACCGAAGCTACGATCGTTGCTGCGCACACCAGCGCCATCACCATGGCCAGGCACGTCGACATCATCATTGCATGCGGGTAGAAGTAATTAGTGTGCACATTGCCTTTACAGTACAAATGCCCTACAACAATTATACTTGGATTTACTATCAAATGTTAGGTCAGTTTTGAAAAAACTATGCACCATTATATAGACACTTCCTAATTTGTCTTTCCAGAGTAGGACATAACAATCTTAACGTTAACTAACGTTATACCATATGAAGTTCGCCATCATCATGTTTTGTACGCCAGCCAAAAAGATGGCTCCAGACACAACTGAGCTCGTGTAAGCTTCGACGCCAGCACCAACCACGCCCGAGCCATCCTCGACGACCGCAGACCCCACCTCGTGTCCACGCCGGCTTCTTACCTACTTGTATGTATTATTCATAGTAGCTGTTATTAATATATATTACTCCGGAGTACTACGTAGTAGGAATATTGTGAATTATTCGCTATAAACTTGCAAAATTCGCGCAGAATCACGCTGGAGTTCTGATTGGTTGAATATACTTGTCCTATCTGTAAGAGCCAATCAAATAATCCACTCAAAATTGGATTAGCCAATAGTGTCGATTCGTGATTCGATTCGACGCCAAGAGATTCGATTTGACAGGGTTGGGACCGAATATACAATAATGATACCAATGATTCTTAATAGACATAAGGTAAGGATACCAGTGATTCTTAATAGACATAAGTAGGTATGAATATTACTAGCCATGCAATTCCAATGCAATTAAAAGTAGTAGTACATTTCGTTTCCCCACAACGTTATACTTCCAAGTACTAGTAGGATGTCTCTCATCGCATGTAGTAGTTAGTAGTTACTAGTTTTTATGGCTTTTGGTCCAAAATACTGTTAACAAGCCCCGGTCGCTTGTACTCGTGTGGGGCGCCAATCTCGGCCCCCAATGCATCGAACGCGTCCACTTGGATGATGGCGTCGCGCAGGGCTTCGACTTGATCAATCAGCTTTTGCTCGTCGGCGGTGGCGCTGCGCTTGTCTTTGCGAATCGCCGCGAGCATCTTATCAGCTTGGATGGCCTTGGGCAGTGCGTGGTGGATCTGCGCAATGCGATCCGTCGGGTCTTTGGAAATGAACATGCTCGTGGCAAACAAGTCGCGCACGCCGCTGTCCGAGCTCACGAGCTCCGCGACCGCCGCTACTTGCGCATCCGTGGGCTTGGCGTACGCGCGGCCAAACGGGAATGCCACGCCCTTCATGACTGGCCCGATCCCTGGGATGGGGAAGTTGGACGATATGCCTATGAGCGCCTCCTGGGCGTCATAACACAGTGTTGTGAGGGCGTAATCAAACACGACGTCGAGGCCGTCGGTCGTGTCGTGGTGCTGCTTGTAAAACCACAGCGACGCATAGCCCAAGTACAAGCTCGAAAATGCATCGGCAAACCGCCCGCTGATCATTTCCTTAAACTTGAGCTTGCCCCCCAACACCAGCGCCAAGTCGGTCGTGATGGCAAAGTTCGCCGCGAGCCGACTCAGCTGCGACTCGTAGTGACCCACCAAATCGCCCTTGGACCGGCTTCGTCTATACACAATCACACACAATTATAATCCCGATTGATGATATAATAAAATAAATAGCCACCCACTTGGCTCCATCGAGAATAACCACCAAATCGGCACACAAAATCAAAATATATCGACCAATCCAAACACACAACGTGAGAATCGAATAGCCAATCAATCAAATCCTTGCTTCCAAACCATTCCACAGCCTAGTAGTTTAGTATATACTATTAGTATATTATTAGTGTACAGGGGCACACTGGGTACACACATTCCAAATTCATAGGGCAAGAAATCGATCGATGGATTTGGTAAAGTCCAAGGTGTGGCTGAAACGCACGTACTCAGAATCAGAAAAACACCGACCGGTCGATTCCCCCAAATACGTACGCATGAACATAGAATCAGATATATCGACCTCTCTCCTCAGAATCAGAATCAGGTTCGACGCGCACGGACGTAGAATCAGATATAACGACTCCCCTCTCCTCAGAATCAGAATCAGGTCTGTACACATCAGCTATATCGGCCCATCTCCTTAGAATCAGAATCAGGTACGTACACATCAGCTCCCCTGACCCCTCGTATCGAATAACCATCCCACACATTCAATAATCATATACATAGGTCCGTACCCCACGGCGCGCGTTAGCGAGTGGACCGTGTTGGTCACGCCATGCCACACAAGTGCATTCGCGTGGATTTTGAACGACTTGACGTCATCTCCATGTTGGAGCGACTGGATGAGCGGGTACAAATGGGGGTGGGCACGGGTCAGTCCTTGGCCGTAAATGATCAGCGACCTCGTCAGCGTGTTGGCGCCTTCGACCGTGATCGCCACGGGTAGACTCATGTACGTGTTGGCTAAAAAGTTGTTTGGGCCGCGGCAGATCCCTGCGCCGCCGAGTACGTCCATGGCTTGGACGACGGCATCGCGGCCGCGCGCGGTGATCTGCTGCTTGCACACGCCCGAGATCACGGCGGGTTGTTCATGCTGGTTGATCATGCCGTTGACGAGGAACTGACCCGCCATCGTGATAAACGCGTGGTTGCCGATCGCCGCCAAATGCTCCTGGACGCCCTCCATCGTTGCCACGGGCACCTTGAACTGCTTGCGGATGCGCGCGTACCCGCCGACCGCGACCGCCGACACCTTGGCGCCGGCGACCCCCCCGCCCGGAAGGGAGATGGATCGACCTTCCGCGAGACAGTCCATGAGCATGTTCCACCCGTACCCGACGCGCGTTTGGCCGCCAATGATCTTGTCCATCGGGATGAAAACGTCGGTGCCCGTTACGGGGCCGTTCTAGAGCAACGTACACAGGGTTAGGACACCTGTGGCTGTCGAACGACGTCAGCAACACTGTAGTACTGGGCGATCTTTACATGCAAAAAGTTAAAGAATTGATTAAGATTTGGCGATTTAGCACAAAAGTCCAAATTTTGGGCAAAAGAACGACAATATCACGAAATATATTCGGGTTTTTTCTCACCAACACTGCAAACTACAGTAACGCGGGATGCAGTAATCACCATGTTTCAAAATATCCATTTTCACAGGTTTCAGACATATATATTTCTAGATTTCTATATATATATATATATATCAAAAAATAGGATTCCAGGCAAGAGGTGATTCACATGATCGCATTCGAAAAGACAAACATACACACTACATAGGGCGCAAGATGGGGAGTAAATACCATGAACGGAACAGAGAGGGTGTCGTGGCGGCGGCCCATTTCCAAGCCGGGATGGTTGCGTTCGAGAAGCGCGACCGTGATGCCTTCATGCCCCAGTCCTTGGAGGAGGTTTTCTGGGTCCTTGACGTCGATGGCGAGTCCCACGCATGTGGCGACCGGCGCAAGGGTGATGTCTATGACCATGTCAGTCAGGATCAAGACATTGGACTACGACGAAGGACGTACATCGCTTGGAGAATGTGGCGCGGATACCAAGGACACCTTCTTGCACTTCAACAACGCCCGTGTCCTTCATGTTGGCGGCGTCCGACCCAGAGGTGGGGCCGGTGAGACCAAAGCAAGGAAGGTGCTTGCCCGTCGCCAGAGCAGGCAAAAAGTGGTTCTTCTGCTCGTCGGTACCATAACGAAGCAAGAGTTCGGCGGGTCCGAGCGAGTTGGGCACACACACGGTAACACCGGCCGTGGTGCTGCGGGTATTGAGCTTGGTGATGACTTGGGAATGGCCGTGGGCCGTAAACTGCTTCCCGCCGTACTGCTTGGGGATGATCATGCCCAAGAAACCCTTTTCCTTGATGAACTTCCACGCCGCGAGCGGCAAGTCTTGCTTGTGGAAAATGTCGTAGTCGTTCAACATCTCGCACAGTTCGTTCACTTCGTTGTCCATGAACGACTGTTCCTCCGGCGTCAGCTTTGCCGAGTACTTGTCGAGGGCCGACAGCTTGGGGGACCCCGAGAAAATATCGCGGTCAAACCCGACGGTGCCGCTGTCGAGTGCGGCTTTCTCGGTCTTGGACATGCGCGGCATCATCTTCTTGGCCATCTTGTACAAACCGCCGTAGATGGTGCGTGTCTGTTGCATGCTGGTCATGGGTGTCAGCATGATGCGGGAGGTCACGAAGGGGGCGGCGTGGCGCGCGGCCGCGCGCTTGGTGGACGCTGCGAGCATGGGGCAAGTTTCAAAATGAAATAAGATACCCCGCCACTCTTCCCCCAAAATTGGTGAATTCCAAGGAATCTCCCTCGAAATCACGACGGTGGAATAAATGCACTTGATGTTTGTATGCCAGTTTTGGCGGATTTATTGAATTATACCTATTTTTGGAGTTTTCCAAAGAAACCAATCGCCGTTTCGTCAACCAATTTGCAAAGACAGGGCGTGAAACGAATTCGTGGTGAGGGGTTCAGAGTTCGGTCAATTTAGCTCGATGCATTCCACGGCCAAAAAATATACTTGGCGAAGCACCTTCATATACACTTGAGCCCACCGTATGGTGATAACGTGATTTGGAGATGATATATTACATAGCTCTGGTTTTCGTTGTCCTCCAATACTCCAAGTATATCCATGCAACACTATTCACCAAAAGGAAGGCGCATTGAATATTGTGGTCATGGTTGTAGACAAGGTGACATATTATAATTTATGGTGAGGGATTGTTGTTATGTATGGTGAGGGATTGTAGTCTTCGTGTTGGCAGTTTAGAGTGAAGCATGAACGATTGCCTTGCTTTGGCAGTACAAGTAGTTAACTATGACAGTCAGAAATTCCTCTTCTCGTCATCTACTTTGCGGGTCTCATGCGGGAGGTCCTGCCATGATGCACCCGGTGGTGGTTGAAGTGCAATGTCAGGTCAACAGCAGCATCAACCAGTGGATTCAACCAATGACCACCCTGCGTCACGTACTTTTCCTGACATTTGATTGGCTTATTCCATTAACTTCAAGTTGAAGTTGAAGTTAACCTCGCGACACCAACAATGATGCCAAAGTGCACTGTAAAAGGGGGCGTCATGAAAACGGCGCTACATACCTGGGAATATGGTTTCTACCGACTACGATGCAAGCAATGCTAAGTCTCCTTCACTCCATTACTCCATTGCCATATTGTGGTTGTTGTGGCTCAAAATTTGAAATTACTAGTACAGCATGCAGCAAGCGTATCACTCGGCCAAGACGATCAGCAAAGACGTCGCCACCCATGCATCGTCCGCTGTCATGTACGTCGGTCACCGAGTGGTCAACACATTCCCCACCCGACACAACGCTGCTGTGCCACCGAATGTCGAAAAATCGTCACCACCACCTAAAAGTAAACCTTCGACACGCCCAACAAGTGCCGCAGTGGCCACGCCACCAACGTACTCAAACGCGACACCATCGCAAGTACCAAGCACAGGCTACAACGCCGACCACAAGACAGATCCTTCCCGTAGTGTCATTGCCGACATCCAGCCCCCCAACAAGTGGGCCGACCCACCCAAGAAAGCGACGGCCTATGTGTCCCCTTACGCCCCTCCAGCTTGGACGACGACCGTCAACACCACCCCCACCCGCCCTGCAAATTCTCGTGACACTTTTCAACCCCGTCCTCACACCAACCAGTCCGCACGTCATGTGGTGAATTCACGGGCTTTCGTTCACCAAGCACGTCCTGTGATGGTTTTGACCAAGCAACTTGTGGCTGTCCGGCGTTTGGTGCGTGCGTGGCGTGCATATTCGCTCCGAAAGAAGCGCGTTCATGCGTGCATCATCCTCCAATCGTTGGCACGAGGTATGGTGGCGCGCCGCCGAGTCGACTTGCTCCGTGCGCCGTCCGCCATCAGTTTTGACGACGCGTCAGACCGCGAGTCGTGTTCGTCCGCCACGAGTTTTGATTCCATGTCGTCGGATCGTGAAACCACAGCGGGACGTGGCGGTATGTCCTGGGCAGACGACGATGACGACGACGGTGGTGGTGATGACGTGGAGGGTGTGGGTGGTGACGGCGATACAGACAGTGACGTCTGCAAATCGCCAAACCCAGGCTTGGCGCCCAGGTCGACCACCGACCAGAATAACGTCGACATGCAAGCCGGAGTGAATCAAACTGCCCAACGAACCAACCATGGTCATCTACTTAATGACCGAGGCGAACAAAGTGTGGACGTGCTGTGGAACCGCCGGACACAGCCAGTGCTGGGGTTGACCATGGCGTGGAATGCAGGGCTTGGCGTGCCCGTGGTCCAGACTGTGAGTCGTCGGGGCAATGATATACCCGGACGAAACCTTGTTCAAGTAAAGGATTGCCTCAGCCATGTTCAGAACACGCCCATGGATGGCGTGCGAGCGTGGCGCGCGACGCTCAAGGACGGCGAGCACCCTGTGGTTCTTCGATTTCAACGGTCACCATCAACTCAACCCTAGGGCTCCTGGCCACAATGAGAAGAGCATCTCATGTTAGACCAGTCAGAGCACTTTTTCTTCGCATGAACATCATCCACATGATGATTTGATCATTTTTACGACAAAACTTGAAGGCCACACCGACGAGCTTGTGGCTTCTGCTACTGTAATTCAAACAATTAACAGTTCCGCCAAGGTCACCTTGACACAATGATACTTCGCACTTTGCCTTCCGCTAATACGCATTGTCGTACCGTCTACAATGTCCCTCTGAACATTATCGCACATTTGGACTTGTCTAACGCGGCCACGGCAATTTTCAATTTCCAGCAGCACGAAAGGTGAATCAACTTCAATGTGCAATTTGAATGACCCAATCCCGTTCATTCTTGCTTTTGATTGGCTGAGAGCAACGAAATATCGATCGCGACCTTTCGGAATCCTGCCACCATCACAAAAGCCGTCAAGTGCTCCACACGATGGATGACTTGGGCGCAATCGTGTTGGACAATGGGTCGGGTTTGGTCAAAGTAGGGTTTTCTGGAGAAGACACGCCGCGAGGGACGTTTCAGACGACGTATGGACAGCCTCGGAACCCGGACTGGCTCGTGTCGCACAACGCTGGCGTCAAGCCAGACCGCGAGTACTTTGTCGGAAAGGAGTGTCATGCGATTCGGGAGCACTTGGACATGGTGGACCCCATCCAGAGAGGTGTGATCACGGACTGGGACGCCATGGAGAAGGTGTGGGACTACACGTTTGAGCACGAAATGCGCATGAACCCCGAGGCGATCAGCATGCCCGTGCTGTGCACGTCGTCGTCGCCGACACCCAAGGCCCAATTGGAAAAGACGGCGCAGATCATGTTTGAATCGTTCAAAACCACAGCGTTCTACAGCATGCAGCAGTGTGTGCTGTCGTTGTTCGCGTCGGGGCGTACTCGGGGTCTGGTGCTCGAAGCTGGTCACGGATCCAGCCATGCAGTGCCCATCTTTGAGGGGTACGTACCATCTAAATGTCGAAATATGGAATTGTCGTACGTTTGTATCTACAAAGTACATCAGTAGTACTACGTAGTATATGCCTATGTATGTGTGTGTATCCACGGTAATCCGATCTACCGTTAGTTGTCGTACCTTTGCACATTGTAATTCAATTTGATATATTATTAAATATTCCATTTGCATAATTGAGTTGACTGTGAGATTGATGTATATATAATTATATGCACGTTTCATGATCAACGACAAATACGGTATTTAACTTATTAGTGTATGCATATATATATATATGGATATTTGTACGAGATCCAGTCTTTCTGTACTGTATGCAGGTATGCGTTGCCCCATGCGACGCTGCACTTGGGCATTGGTGGGTATGACATCACCAAGCACTTGGAACTGCTGTTGAACCGCCATGGCCACGCGCTAAAGTCGTTTTCGCATTGCATGTTTGCCGACATGAAGGAAAGCCACTGCTTCACGCCGCCACTGAGCATCCTCGGTATACGACACCACCACTGTACACTTCTCAGAGCTATTCATTCATGCACAGAAAACGACAACAACGACGCAACCTCCATCAACAACCACAGCCCCAAGCCGTACGAGCTGCCGGACGGAACGGTGATTTCGATCCACCCGGATGTACGAGCCAAGGCCACGGACGTGCTGTTCCACCCCATCCAGTTGCCAGATGATCACCCGGCTAAACATGCCAAGAGTTTGCCCGATTTGGCATGCCAAGCCATCTCCATGTGCGACAAGGACTTGCAAAAGGACCTGCGCGCCGCGGTCGTGTTAGCGGGTGGCACGACCATGATGCCAGGTAGAAGGATCGGGTCATGTGCTCTACGTGGCATGACCACGATTGGATAGGACTGTCCCATCGACTGCATCAGGAGCTGCAGACCAAGCTCGGTGAATCCGACATTCGCATCGTGCCAGACTACAACTCAAGAGAACGAGGGTACAACACGCATCGCAAGATGGCGGCGTGGATCGGCGGGAGTATGTTTGCCTCGCTGCCGACGTTCAAGGACATTCAAATCACGCGCCAGGAATGGGAAGAATATCACGAAAGTATCATCGACCGAAAGTGCTTTTAGTGATTAACAGGTACAAGGAGCCCGCATCATATATTGCATCAAGTGCACCAGGATAACCACGAGCATCACCATGTTCAAATTTCCATCTACGCAACGCATGCATCGAAAGATGAGAGATGTTGGAGTGCAACAAGGCCAAACATGTCAAACGTACCACCAAACACTTCGTGGTGGGTTTCACGACGATTGTTGGCCACCGCTGAATCCCCAGATCGCGGCGCCGCAGCGGGTGACGCAGATGCAGATACGCTGCATGACACATCGTTGTCCGACCCACCGTTGTTCATGTCGATCCTGGCAGCACGTGGCAAAATGCGTTGTGTTCGCCAGAATTATGGAATCGATAGATTATCCGGAAGGGATGACCACAAAGTAGACGACACAACAAGTAAAGACATCCTGTCATTTATATTGCAGTTCAACATAAATATCCAGTTTATGTTAAACATTAGTATATTATTCAACACGATCAAGGTAGTTTTGCTATATGTAGTGCTCGGATTTAACTTAGTATTCATATGACTTGTTAACAGGCCTACAAGCCAGTGTACGGATACACGACTTATTTCGAGATCGCACCAGAGTGAATGAGGCTATACAGCGGGCTAGAGTAAGGACGAGAAGAATATGAACGCCATGGTAGCGTAGCTACGATAGTCGCCCATACGCACCTCGATCGACAACGGAGCCTTTGAAGCACGGAACGGTGAGTTGGCAGGTATTTTGTTGGGTTGATAGCGGCCTCGTTGCCACCTTTCCACTGGCTTTTCATGCTTGTGGATGGTTCACCGTCGAACAAGATAGCTTTGGCGAGGGTAAACGAGGCCTGCCGCTTGGATCCTAGGCATGGGCGGACTAGGTGCTTCTGGTCGGCGATGGCAGCCGCCGTTCGGACGATGATGTGCGTATCCTCAGTCGCTTGCTAACGACATGCTTGTCGTTGGTCAAGCGCTTGGCGTCTTGGTCGACGGAGTCATGCAGCTCGCGCATATGCGTTGACTTTTGATGCATAGAAGATTGTACCGCCGGCGCCAAGCAGCATCCGGAGTCGCGCCTGGAAATCCATGTGAATTCAGCTCGACACTGTGCGAGAGAACAAGTGGTTTGAGTGCTAGCCATGAGCTAGGTGGCTAGGTGCGGCGATACGACCGTGCTGCAGTCTCCATCGACTTTCGCTGGTTGGCGGAGCAATCCGAGTATGTAGTTGCGTCCGTTTCAGTGGCGACTACAGTACCCAGCTACGTACATATCCGAACCTTTGTCATCCCCATTTTAGGACCGCCGTACAGGAGGTCGCCTGGTTTATTGTGGATTATTCGTCGAGTATAAGGAGGGGGTGACTACGTGGACACTCACGATCGGGCAGGAATTGATGGCGGCGTCAACAAGGCACATCTTCATAGGGCCAGGAGGTCTATCAGTACTCTCAACCCACATGACCATTGCTTGTCCAACATTCAAGCCGTGCATCTGATGGCTACTACAGTACAACCGGTTGGATGTTTGTCGTGTAGCCGGCCCTTCGAGTGGAAACTTCCCAATGCATATGTAGGACAAACCGTGAAAGAATCGAGGGATACGGTACCAGTACAGTACTATGGCCATGCAATGAAACCTAACGTTATGGCGACTGGCCTTTCTCGGTTGATTGTCATTCCCACCATTGCCACTATAGACCTCAACTGGCGCTTTCAATACGCAAGACATGGTGAATCACTGGTTGGAACTTGGAGTCTCTACACCCTTTACGTTTGCCAAACCACGCCATAATCATGTTTATGCGATGCATGCTCACCACCCAAGTTGCCAGGGCAGTACACAGCTTCTCCTTGACCCGCTTCGCACGCATGAGATCGACGCTATCCCTCTTCTTCCATCGCGGCACCAAGTCGCATACTGTACTTCACCTTCTGAAACACCCCCCCCGCCTGCCTGTCCTGGGTACCGGTACGTATACAATCTATCGCCTACGTACGGTTGTGGTCACTTGGAAAGTTGCGCAACAACTTCAAAAGGCTGTGACTTTTTGAGATCACGGTGGACACCGCCACCAAGAAATGCGATGGAAATCTGCCACGTCATATTCGGGGTAACGTTAGCGAATCCTCCACCAACGTTCCAAAGTTCCCCCATTCACAGTCAACACCAGCAAGTGGGGGATGCTGTGGTTACTGTTGACGTGTTTACGACATACTCCAGTGAACAATTCCGTCGCTGTAACAGTAGTACTGTTGTTACGTAATCATTTTTACCAAGAGCCCCTGTAACCCCGGAACCCCTGGACCCCTTGCGCTTCCACACAATGCTATTCCCGGGATTAAGCTGCATCATCAGTGGTTAGCGCTAGCTAACCACTGATGATGCACTTCAAGCTGGAATGAGTTGTTTTGAATTTACACATGATTTGGCTATGTGCCAGAAATAACTTGGGTTTTGTATGTCAGGAGGCCCAAATGATTACGGAACAACAGTAAACTAATTGCTGATACTCCAGTACTTCCTCTCACCTCGTGTCCAACATGTACTACAGTGGGTGTACTGTACAGTGGGGCGGTTGTTTACCAGTACAATGCCCCAAGATCTCAATAGAATCAAAGGCTGAGACGACGCAATGTTCCTCCTGGCGACAGTGGAAGTACAGCCGTGCGCCATCCGTGGCGAGAATCTCGAAGATCGAAGTCCACCGATGTGGTTTCAGTATGACCGATCGACATGACATACCAAATAGTACGAGTACTATGTAGTACAGTACTAGTAGAGTAGCTTCGACGTTCCAGTGACGATACATTGACATCCGTCCGCACAGCAAAACCTTGCCTGCGTATGAGACTCTACGATATGTTTGTGTTATGTTAGGCAATCAGTTGGCCAGCCACTTGGATGGTGTCTATGGTTTATGCTACAACTGTCACCTCCCGGTCGGTCATTCGGTATGTACATGCTACAAGTGTACATGTAGGATTGGTATGTATGTACCTACCTATCGTCCCTTCGTGCTGCCACGTTTTGATTGGTAGTAGTCGCCTCGACACACGAAGTTGCCGTGCAACTTCGACATCCGGTCGTGCCTGTTGTGAGTTAGCGAGCCACATGGCGATTGGCTCGTTCGTTCGTCAACTTCAACGACAGACTCGACACCGTTGGTTGCAGGACGAGATGTGATGTCCCTTCCACAGACGACACCTGGTCGCAGTTCACGCATACTAACCATGCACGCGAGCAGCACGCTGCTCAATTCCATCATTTCACATGAGTACGTACGTACATACATACATACTAGGTACCGACTGCCTTTCGCCTGTCCAAGCACATTCACTACTAGTAATATGTATGTACGTCGTGTTGCCTTTCTACCCCAGCTAGAAGAAGAGGTCGATATGGGCTTTTTCTGTCGCAGGTGTCTGAACCGACGCCACCTCTGAGGTTGTCGTACTGTACGTCGAGCTTCATCACATCTTCATGTGGCGAAGAAGGGGAGTTGTACACAACGCAAACTATCGTCGTTGGCGCCGTTGGACAAGATTCGACGACCTACAGTGGGGAGGCGAATTCGCTACATATATACAGCATGCCAAGGCACTCCTCTGGAGGAAATCTACCCTTGTTCCCATACACGTTCCTCTCGTCCTCCTAGCTTCTCCACCGCTAACACTGTCGACGCCGCCTTGGTGTCGTTGCAGTCGCCAGGCTGGTCATGGAACACTCTGGTTATGTCCGTGTTATCAAGGTTTTGTTTTCACAAAATCAAAGCTGAATTATACAAAGTGTTAGTATGTCAATCGATTTATGACATTTGGTCGCTTCAACATCGATGATTATATACAACTATGGTATGCAAAAAGGCGGCGTGTGGCGTGGCTTTGCAGATTTCGACCTGACATTTAACCGAGTATGTCGTCCAAAGCATACAAATGTCAAGTGTTTCTAGCACGCACTCAATTGTTCTGTATTCTTTCCGGTGATTCGATATTTCCACAAAGTTGAACACTCCACACCATTCCAGTAATATTCGAACGAATCAGTTTCCACGCCACGGCCTTGCAACGAGGTTGTCATTTTGAGATCCACCGTCCGTCGCGCAGTCCATCAGCGAGATGATGTCCATCACGATACCGCGGGTCCTCGACCATGACCAAAACAACAGCAGCCCCGTTGACGACCGCACTCGATCGCCCACGTTCTCGATCTCGTCGCTTCTAAACCCCGTGGCGTTGAAACAACAGCGCGACGCCACCAAAGGGATGGGCGCGACGGCGTTTGCAAAGGATTTGACGGGCGCGTATGGGCTCTTGGACCTTCGACGCGACACACAGTGCTTCCTCTCGAGCTGCACCCGCGAAGCCACCGTCGGGGGCCTCTGCGTCGACCACACGTGCAAGGTGCGGGGGTGCCGCAACTTTTCCATCCACAACGACATGTGCCAATTCCACAGCACCGGTATCGACGACAACACCGATATGGGCGCGCTCACCACCCCGCGCATGAGGCCTGATGCGCTCCGCCTGCATCACCACCACCTGCCGTCGCTCGACGTCACCAGCCCCATGTGCAAGTCGTCCGCCGCGATTGCGGCCGCCAGCGCGCTCCTCGCCAACTCGAACTCGTCCAAGACGTACGTGCGCAGTCGGTATTGCAAGATCACCGACTGTCATAAACTGCGCCACAAGAACGGTTTGTGCGTGGCCCATGGCGGCGGCTGGTACTGCAAGGTCGACGGGTGCACCAAGCATTCCAAGGCCAAAGGACTGTGTAGTGCCCACGGTGGCATCCACTACTGTCGTGTGGACGGATGCACCAAGTACCGAAAAAAGAAGGGCTTGTGCATCGCACACGGCCGTGGCTTGTTTGGTCGCAGCGACAGTATCGGGAGCGCCGACGACGAATAAGTACTCTTCCACCGTACCTCGCATCACTATTTATCCACCCCACCACCCAAGCCTCCCCCGAATGTGTATTTAAGCCTGTAAATAGTTCGTGTAAATAAACTGACCTCCAATTGCTCCATCTTGTGGCCATGCTGCCACAGTACAACTAAGTTCACTGGAGTACAGTACTAGTAGGCAGTATGGATTGCCGTACAGTACCAGCCAGTACTACGTAGTACTAGTAGTTGATACCTCGTCAAGCCCCGGTATGCCACTGCGCTGGATCGTGATGGTACACCTAATATAATAGTATGCCGAACGTCTCTTTGCGTTGGCAAACCAGAAGCGCCTCGGGCACAGATATCACTTCGTCGGAACGAAGACAGTGTTACTGTCCAACCAACATGCTTCATAAGGATGGCATGGATGCATATCCCCATGCCATGTTGTCGTCCAGTTGCTTGTTGATGTCCATTTCTTCGGTCGGCACCCACATGTTGAACATGAGGGACACGAATCCCTCTTGAAAACGTCCACTTGAATATATCCAAATTATATGCGACATTTCATTAACTTTAATTTGGATAATATTACGGATTTACTTATAACAAGTAAAATATTGCATTGATATGTGGAATATTGACTCTTACAAATCAAATATCCACACCATTCAACCCAAAATGACTCAGATTTCTGTTTCACGCCGCCAACGAGGTGGTGCCGCCACCCAGCGATGCCGTGCAGCAGGATCTCCACCCTCTCGTTCCTTTAGCAGGGCCTTTGTTGAAAGCCATGGGTATTCTACCACAAAACTTAGCTCCAGTTTCAATGACCGTAACCCTGCATGATGGCGAGCAATCCACACTCGTCACATCCCACGTACCGGCCGTCCATGCCATCCCTTGAGGAGATACTTTGTCCGCGGGGTAAAGCGGAATCGCTTCCATTACCGCGCATACTGTGGCTTATGTGTTTATGCATTCAAAGCGATCATCTCAGGAGCGGGACGACCTGCGTCGATCTGTTGGCCGCCATGACACTCACGCCGCGTGGGTGTCGGCCGACATGATGAAGCACTTTCATTTGTGTTCGCGTTGTCCTTCGTATATATTGGACCAGTTACGCGTCCACAAACCCAATACAAGCTCATCCGAACCCTGTTCCACCCTCAGCATGCCCATCACAGCAACGACGATGCCACCTCGTACCACCGCCACAGCCCACGACACGCGGCAATACCTTGTAGTTCTGTGTCAGCAGGTTTAGATATGCACTGGACCAGATCCTTGTTGACGTTCGCCCCATCGTCGTCGTTTGCTAGCCTCCATCACCAAGACATGCTGGGTGTGGCGAGGGATCTCGCTCAAACCCAACTGGACAAAGAAGGCACGCTGAATTCCACCATCAAAGGCGGCCTCACGCTCAGCCAGAACGCAGGCAGCATTTGGTGGTGTTTTCGCTGATGAAGGCGGAAGCGTGTGCGGTGTTCGCGACGGCTTGGACGCATATTCGATCGGTGATGAACGCATTGCATGACGACAATGTGTGCTTTGTCGGCATCGTGGCCGATCGTGTGTATTGGCGTGGGAAGTCGCGGGGTGTGCGTGCGTGTCCAAGCAACGACACACGCGGCATTGCAGTTTGTTTCGTGTGTGGCCCAGCTGTCCGCAGTCGTGGTGGGGTCGATCTTGACGTCGACGCCAGAGGTAGTTAACACCGTGGGCACCGCCGTTGAATTGGTCATGTGGTGTCGGCATCCCCGGTCACACTTGGCGCTTTCCCACGAACCGCTGCGTCAACGACGGAATCAACGGAACGCAACGTCCTATTCCACATGTTTCAACACATGTCTTCACTCGCTCTCGAACCGGCTACAGTACTGCGTTCTGGACACACGTTCGAAACGTTGTGGACGCCGGGTTTTGCGCCATCGTGGGCCATGATATCCACCAATCAAGTACTAGTACCGAATTTTTAACGAACGAGACGTCTGCTACCCTGACGCTGCTTGGGCATTGTACGAACGGCCAGCTAAGGACCTCGCGTATCACTTTTACATTCATTTCGACCCGACGCGGTTGGCGAGGACGTCGCAGCTGCGTTTGCCACGTACTCAACCCGATGGTTTCAGCACCCCATGCCGGTGCAGCGCATCCAAGCGATCCTGGCCGCGGTCCGGGCCAACAAAACGTATCCCTTTGACTACTGCCTCGCGATTATCGCCACGTGAGCTCGTTCTATGTGTTCGTCGCCAACTCGCACCTGTAGCTGTGTGTGCTGTGTTGTTGTTTCCAAGCGATTTCCATCGTCGCGGCGGCGGTGGTAGCATCGGTCCTTCGAGGGATCGGATATGACACATGACACACCGCCATGGTCCTGCCGCTGCTGCACATTGGGTTCACGACAGTCACTCAATGTATCAAGGGAGTAGAGGGTGGTGAGTCACCACCCTCTACTCCCTGATGTTCGAAGATGGCTACATTCACAGGAGAACCAAGCGCAACTCATGTACCATATATTCGGAATCGGTATGGCGTCACGTCGCGAAGCAGTGGCAGGCCCACGTCCAGCGCGAGTTGGCAGGCCTACCAGTTGACGACGGAATGGACCAACAGCACGGCCTGTGCGACCTGTTTGCCACTAACGTACCCGACGCATCTTCACACCATTGATGTATCTTCCATTGGGGTCTGTTCCGGCTTCATGCCGTCGGCCTGTCAACTTGTCCATGAAATTCAAAAATGGGGATAAATCCTAATTGAAGGAGCTTCATCAGGAACAATCCGTGACTCAATGGGAGAATTTGGACGATTCGGTCATAAACTAGGAACGCTCCCTGTCGAAGTAGCTGTACTATCTCGAAGCATACAAAACGCAAGTGATGTCAATTGTTCGATTGAAAACTATTTTGCAACCAAAAAATAATATTTTGCGAATTGTTTATTTTGCCGATTCCAAACGTTGATAGGTATTTTGTATGTATTTGTCGTCGAATACAATAGAATCACACCGAAATATTAATACGAAACCAAATAATTTTCATCAGCGTTGTGGGCCACGTGGCTGGAACTTCTCCGTGTCCTACAATTCCATTTTTGCATTTTGCGCGAAGGTTGCGGCGGCGGCATCATGTTGGAGTACGACAATTCCGCGTTCTACTACTTTGGGATCTCCCTCGGGTCGATCTATGTGATCCCGATGACATACCTGAGTCTCAAGCGCATCATCTACGGCTTGTTCCTGAAAGACAAGGTCCTGGACCTGAACAACGTGCGGTGCGACAAGGAACTCGCCAAGGTGCGCAAACTGCAGGCGGAAAAGACGTCGTTGAAGAACGTGTTCAACCCCGTGTTCGTCGCCAACTTGGTTATCCTTGTCGTGCTTTGGTATGGATTGTACCAGATGATCATGCTGGTGAAGGATGACTCGGAGATTAAGTCGTTTGACCCGTATTCCGTGTTGGAGCTCGCGATCGGGTCCACAGAAAAGGAAGTCAAGCGCGCTTACCGCCTCATGAGTCTCAAGTATCACCCCGACAAAAACATTGGCGACCCCGTCGCGGAACAGAAATTCGTGCTCGTGGCCAAGGCGTACCAGTCGCTGACGGACCCCGTGGCGAAGCGCAACTACGAGCTGTACGGCAACCCCGACGGCCGCCAGTCGCTGCAGCTAAGTATCGGTCTACCCACGTTTCTCTTGGACAAGGAAAATCACTTGGCGATCTTAACCATCTACCTGATCGTGCTCGTCGTGGCCATTCCGTCCGTCGTCGCGCTGTGGTACTCCAAGTCCAAGCAGTATGGCGACAGCATGATCATGTACGACTCGTACGGTTTTTACAACTACGCGTTGAGCGAAAACTCGCATCTGAAGATGATGCCCGAGATTCTCGCGGGGTCGGCCGAGTTCCGCGACGTGCCGCTGCGCGAGTCGGACCAGGCGGAGCTCGGCGCCATCTACCGCGACCTCAAGCAGGAACAGACCATCGTCAAGGCTCGCTTCAACCACCCCGTGATCGCCAAGGCGAACCTGTTGTTGCATGCCCATTTGACGCGCAAGCCGCTCAGTCCGGCGCTTCGTGCGGACCTGAACTTGATGCTCAAAAAGTCGATCCACTTGATTGACGGGATTGTCGAGATTTGCGTGTCCAAGGGCTGGTTGCAATCGATCATCAACGCAATTGAGTTTGAACAGCACATTTCCCAGGCGTTGTGGGTCAAGCACTCTTCGCTGCTGCAGCTGCCGCACTTTACCGAAGCCGACGTGAAGGCGGCGCTTGTGGGCAAGAACGCGGTGCGGTCGCTGGCGCAGTTCATCGAGTTGTCCGAGGACGACCGCAAGGGCATGGCCAAGATGAGCGACGACGAGAAGGCTGAAGTGAACCGCGTATGCGACACGATCTTGCCCAACGTGGACGTGGAGCTGTCGGTGGAAGTCGAAGATGAAGACGTGATTGCCGAAGGGGACATTTTGACGGTCACGGTCAAGCTCACGCGGAAGAACGTGCCCCCGGGCGACACGATCGACCTCGTGTACGCGCCAAGCTTTCCGTTTCCCAAGTCGGAGCGATGGTTTGTCCTGGTCGGCGATGCCCGCATGAACCACCTGCACGCGTTTGCCAAGGTAACGTCTCAGGAGCGCGAGGTCGAAGAGAAGCTGCGCCTCCAGGCCCCGCCCAAAGCTGGCACGTACCAGCTCGACGTGTGGATCAAATCCGACTCGTACTTGGGCTTGGACCAGCGCAAGGCCGTGCGGTTCACGGTGGTCGCGGCGGCGGATCTGCCGGCGTTCCAGCCGCACCCAGAAGACGTCGAGCTTGATAACGACCCGACCTTGTTTGAACAAGTCATGTCACTGCAACACGATGACAGCGACAGCGACGACGACGACGACGACGATGAGGAGGACAAGAAGACCAAGTAGACTATGAATAATACCCATTCAATATTCGTTTACTGTTAATATAACCACATTGCAGTAGGAGGTACTGTACATGTAGTACGTACCCCTGACTAACTATAGTACGGTAGTACTACTACGTAGTATGTAAAGATTGCCCGTGTCACACTAGTTTCAGTCACACACTAATTCGATGTTGAATTCCTCCAAGTGTGGATTTGATTGGCCACTTGACTAGGGTTCTGGATTTGATTGGTCAATGGATTGTCTGCCGATTTACTGTAGTGCTGCTCATTCGATTGAGCATTTCGAATCGACGTGACAATACTAATATGTAAGGTAAACCATCAATATTGCGAACGCTTTTTGTGCAAGGGTGCGTCTGGTAACCGGAAATATTGCAATATTCAGCCCCAAAACCCCATTTTGGGGCCGAATTCAACAAATCTGATCAAAATTGAAACATGTCTTGCTGGAAGAGGTTTAACCCAAATCCAATAATTCCACGTGGGATTTATGGTGCGTCAGGTAACATTTCAAAATTGATATTCCATTTTCTCGCAAAATGGGACTAACCAAAATGCCATCTTCAAAATGGAAGTAAAAAGCCCATTTTGTAATATGGCGTTTTGGGCCTTTTCAACAAGTAAATCCCAGGTGGAATTATTGGATTTGGGTTAAATCTCTTCAAGCAAGACATGTTTCAATTTTGATCAGATTTGTTGAATTCGGCCCCAAAATGGGGTTTTGGGCCAGAATATTGCAATATTTCCGGTTACCAGACGCACCCTAAGGGTTCGTTGGAAAATATTAATCCAACTGCATTTTTTAGTGTCAAGAAGTGACTGAAATATCCTAAAAATCGATTTGTATTTTGAAATTATAACGTAACCCTAAAGAAGTGGTGAAACTTTTTTGGCTATGCATTTCGCAAACAGTCGTAATATCATAGTTTTGAATGTTTGGAAAATATATTTTGCAAAATATTATACCTGGATGTCATGACGCAATTTAATTTATACAAGAACTCAATTCTGCATTAAATTTGAACGATTTATAATAAAACTCAATTTGAAATTTGTATTGGACAACATAAAAATGAACACAGTTTTGAACTTCAAGTTAGTTCCAGTTGCTTTGCCTGAATATAATTATATCCAATGAAAAGTCCTCATTTCATAATGAAGCCATTGGATTGGATATAATGACAACCGCCGTTCGCGATATCGATGGCGTTCGCGATACTAACTACTCTGGCTGGTCCTATCAAATGTATCGACTTTTTATCTTGATTAAAGTATTGGGCGAAAGAAAAAACATCTTAATGTTTGTATGTACCTATCAAAACACATATTTGATCACCAAAATTTAATGAACTTTTTATTATATTACGATGACTACATATGACTACTCGTCTTTGGGAATTCATAGGCTGCTCAGGTGAGCAAGAGCTTTTTCATGGACATCACGATCGCAACGGACATTAAACAATGTCAAGTCCTTGATGGTAGCATCTTTCCTCATATGAGGAAGCTTGTAATCATTTCTACCCAAAGTTTTAAGAGTCGATTCCATTACCTTTTGCAAAGTGATGAAAGTTTTCGACAATGTATCACACGGTAATTCATCAAATGAGCTCTCTACTGCTCCGATTAGTTCATCTATGGTTCTAGTACACTTTTGGCTTTGTAGACTTTGAATTGAATTGAAATATCCTAACTCGAGGACATTCAAATCGGCGGTTGATTTGCAGCTTCAATGCCGCAAACACCAGAGTCAAGCAGCTTTCGCGTAGTCACACTATTGTGTGGACTTGCGTTATCCTGCTACAAATATATTATTTTACTCTGATCTTGTCGAGGCATTTTTGCCTGAATCGCCGGCACGACTTTTTCGAGAATCATCTTGAGGTAAACTTCGGCGGTTACCGTTTGAGGTACCAAAAGTGGAGTACATTTTGGCCGATTACGACTGTTTTCCTTGGCCAGCACATTCTCGACAAATGGCCACACTCCGATCTTCCCGTCGAAGATGCATTTGTTGTGGTAGTCGTATCTTGGTCTTGCAACGGCGGCAAGAAACATCACTTTCGTGATGTATCTATTGAACTTGAACTGGCGCGTCGGCAGGTCTTCGTCTTCGTAAGCATAATAACGCTTCTTGACAGTTGTAAAAAAAGAACATTTCTCGTCAACATGTGCGTGCATGCTGTCAAAAATGGTTCCTTTTGACGTCGGCTTGATGAAGGACAGAGCATACTGCACCCGTCCAAGTGCATTGGCGTCGGTCAGGTACGGCTTAGAGTGGCTTGTCTTGCGCATCAACGGCTTGGCTCGTTGCATTTGGCGGATGATGGTCGTCTTCATGACGCCGGACTGCGCTGCCAAAGTTCGCATGGTCTGGCGTGCTTGTAGCGGAACCAATTTGACTGCATGCTCAATTTCTTCGTCCGTGAGAACACATTTTCGATTTGTGTTTCCTAATTCAGTAAAACGCTTTAAATGAGTACTTGTGCAATTGTTTAATTTTTGAGTGAAATATAGAATCATAGGGTTTTACCTACACATCAGAGGTCGGACTGCCATCGCGAAGCGAGAGGCGGCCACGGTTCCATACTATCGCAATGGTCTTGCAGGTGCATTGGAACTTGCGTGCAGCTTGGGTGATGCACCCGTAAGGGAGCTCACCACGTACACTTCGCTCAAGTAGTGTTTCGTAGATGGAATGTCGTTCCGCATCGATCAGCTTCTTCTTTTCTCGGGTAGTGCTGCTGGCAGTTGATGAGGTCGGCGGTGGCATAGTTGGTCGTAGGACTAGGCTTTGAAGATGAAGTGTAATGAGCACCACAGGTAAAAAGTTAATTTGAGACCTAAGCGATTCATTATGTATGCTACCTCGTGAGACACCAATTTCTTGCCGCCATAATTTTTGAGCAAAAGAGGTCTAGATCACTCAGAATACATCCAATCAAAGCAGAGATAACGCGCTTTCTGGTGGATTAATCAGAATACTGAAACACCATGAATTAGAAAAATTCCGCCAATAACAAAAAAGTCGATACATTTGATAGGACCAGAGTACACCTTTTTTCTATTGACTTGGGACTTTTTTCAACGTTGTTGGCTTGGCGCTCATTCGAAAGGGCGATGTGTCCATTCATTTGGCCTTGTGGCCAATAGAATTGACACATAGTGCCGCAACACCCTTTGAAATGTACCATACTACCAATGGAAATGGCTCCACTACCCAACAATATGCCAAGTACCATTTCGAATCTGCCGTGCTTAAAGTTGAATTGGATCGAATATTCCTGAAGGTTGCAGTTGGGCGATCTTCGCGCCCACTTTTTTCACTTTTCAAAATCGCATTCCGTGCAACAATGGAGAACGCTGCACCACAGACACCAGTACGACGTCATCGCTCACGATACACTAACCATGCTCATAGCCACGCAAGAAATACAAACGCATCCCTTCGTCTGGAGTACTTCTACGGTCGTGCGGACCGAATGGAAGACATGGAAGTAGGCATGTAGCTGTTTGCTGCAAGTTTCGATGATTTTATCTGCTTTTTTCATGCCGTCGCGTATTTGATAATAAAATTTTATATTCGATCCAACTCCACTTCAAGCACGGCAGATTCGAAATGGTA